TAGCAAGAAAACACAAAATTCCTGCAATAATAAGCAAGGGAGTATTTTCAAAAAGAGTATATGTAGCTTCTCCGATATTGGATTTTGAAGCTGATGCTTTAACCGACGTAGATGTCTGCAAGTGACTGAACGTATTTGGTAAGACTAAATATCCCGCAAGGAGAATCCACGAAAACGCCCCAGCAGATACATTATATATTATTCCAATCTCCTGGCTCTTATCTAGCATTATTGCATAGGCAGTGGCATCTGGAGTTTGCCTGTTTTCTGGAAAAACTTCCATCAAAAAAGTCCAACCATCCCGCACTAGAGGGGAAAGTCTCGTAAAAATATCCATTTAGCTCAATCATCTATAAATTAATCATGGACTTCTTGGCACATTCACTAGTTGAAACACGTATCAGGGATGGTGACATCCTATTTATAATGTGGGACGCTCCGATCGCAGTAACTGCATTTGCGGATATCACCTTCGAGTTTTATAGCAGATATACTAGCTTTTATTTTGACGTACTTGAGACGGCATTGACGGAAAGCTGTTTCAAAAAGAGGGGGGGGGCCAAATCTTCACCGGTCTATGGATATTGAGATATAACAATATAGACTTCGAATTATTTCGAAGGACAGCTCTTTCTTAGGAACTTTCATCCTATAATGGTCTTTAGTCAACTTTCCGTATAATGTGACGCAATTGCACAATGTTAGCGTCTAGCCACGTGCTCTGTATTAGGAGAATACTTTGAGAGTTGTTTGAGAAGTCTCATTACGGCAACACATACCATCATTGTAATCAACCTATACCTAGGGGGTGAAACATTGGCCATCCTTCTAATTATACTTGTACGTGTAACTTCGTTTACGCAGTATAAAATAAAGTAAACACTAGAGGTTCCGAATTCCGAGTCCAGAGTATTGGATTGATATCGTTTTTGCAAGTTCTCCATGGGAATAAGCTCGGGACGATTGTTCAATTGAACTGCCTAAAATGCTATCCTAAAATAAGCCTCTGGCGTAACATTATGGGCTTTTGATTTACAATAGCAAAAAAAATACCGAAAAAACCTGCATCGGGGCAATTTTTGCAGTAAGAGAAGTGGCCCAGGACCAAAGCATTATAAGATAAATCAAGGAACGAAGTCTCCATAGATATCCAGCTCTTCGTCAGTTGAGTTTGAATCGCTATTTTCCTCTCAATATTAGACGAAAATATCAAATGGCAAACACGCGATCTGTTTCAACGGCCCGGCAAGCCACATCACAAGCCCGGCAAGCCACCGCTCGACCTAAGCAATCAAAACGGACGACAAATTCCGCGACCACTGGTAAACAAAGAGCCTTTTCTCTTTCATATATAGGCTCCGACGACGGCAGAAAGGCGACAGTGGCTACAAGGAATGTTTGGTATGAGAATACCGTCAAAGAATTTCTTATGGAGCAAGTAATTCGGGACCCTGGTAACTCTAGAATTGCTGGAAAAGTGAAAAAAGGATATCTCTTGCAGATAACGCTTCCGAAGGCTATGGAACAAATCGACGAATTTGCTGAAGCGATTGCTGCATTTGAACGCCGTTCGAGCCTCAGATCTAGAACAATTAGCTAAAATATGGTGAAAGAACCAGAAGAATGGGGTGAAAATAGCTGGTTTTGTTGGTGTCGGGACATATCCTTCTGTCAGAACAAGCTAGCGGTAACTTACCACTAGTGACTGAGAGATCACATCTCTGTGCTTGGTGTACGTAAACCTTGCTCTAAGCTGCGGCTCCGGGGTATGGGATTCAGGGGTAATTTTGAACCTGAGCTAGACACATCTTTGAAAATACATGAATGAATTGACTTTGGCTTGAAGAGCATGAACACTGTTCACTTAACTGTGTACACGGTACCTAGCTGGTGATACCAACAGTTGGATTTTAAAGAACAATAGCCTCTAACCCCAAAATTTCTTTCCTTCTAGAGTGTCATCTTATTTTGTATACGTATGTTTGATATGTCGACATCCGCGACACAGGTCATGGGATTCCAGCAATCTGATTCGTCTATTCGATGCATCCAGCACTAGGGCCAGTCTTAGTAATCTGGTTTCTTCATAGATAGTCATAGTACTACTCTACAGTATGGACAGTTCATTCCTAATTTTCTGCATGGTTGGAGAGCATTTTACTAGTGAATGCTGGATTTCGTGATCCTGTCATGCAATAATACACAATGATGCACACTACTTGTGGAAAACGGGTGTCATCAAAGGAACACTAACGTGACAGTAGCTGGAACGCTCCTGTATCTTATGACTTGTACCTGCGATTCCATGCGTGATCACTTAGGCTTGCCCGCTACTTCACGCACGCGCAACTAATGAGCGGGGTAACGAGCATAGACATATGTACCTCGCCGGCACCTGAGTTCCACGGGCCGGCGATCGGTCTTGGAGATATACTAAGTCGCACCCAAAGTTTACCTGCGAGTCTGTGTTGCCCGAATCCGTAAAACCAGCGTACAGGGAGGCTTGGGAAGCAGCCCTAACAGCTAAGCCATTTCTAGCATAAACAAATAGTTCACACGCCCCTACCGCGTCAAAAATCCTGGAATTTTTATAAGCTTGGTTTATGTTTATTACTAATCGTAGCGGATACCCACATCACACCCGCTATCATGGCCACGGCAGGATATTTGTGAGAGTCGGGAAGCACACCGCGTTCCTATTGGGCTACGCTAACTTACTTCTTTAGCCTACCATAGAGATCAACTGTTGAGGCCTCCTGGAGTAATCGGTCAAGTGAGCCATTCCGTATCACTCACTTTGTGGACCAAGCACCACACTCTGACCATCTGCGTAAATATTACGCAGATAAAAAAGAGCAAAAAAGCACCCAATCTAGAGTTCATCTAGCCTATCATGCAGTTAACGACTGAACCTAGAGGTCGCAGACCTCAAGACTCCATGTAGCTTGAGGAATAAAAACAACAACAACAACAATAATAATAATAATAATAATGGCAATTTGAATTTTTATGCTGCCTTATTTAGCACAAAGAGCTCTAAAGGAGGCGGTTTTCACGATGGCAATTCTAGGTCAAGGGAGTGAAAATGAGATAGAGAAAAAATATCAGTGAAATACGAAAAAGACAAGTAATAATTTTCAGAATACCATAAAAAAAAGATATCTTTAATTATTTGAATTTGGATATCAACGTTTAACTGTGACATTCAAACGAATACATAAGAGCCTCTATTCTAATGGAACAAGGTTTAGGGACCCAAAGCTCGCTTTGAATGTCATGAAGTCATGATGGGTAAACTCAGCTGGCAATCATGCTCTATTTTCTCATATATTCTTTTTATGGTTTCAGCCCTGCTCTTGGTATTTGTGGGGATTGGATGTACTGAGAAGTCAAGCCCTCAAAGAGGCCTTTTTTTTATGGAAGTAAGAAGTCATAATGACGGCTTCCCTCCTTTTATATGCTGAAATATTGACAATACTAGGCTAACATGACGGGATTCTCTGCCGATTTGGAAAATATGGTAGCAGGTATTGTAGATAAGCGATCATTATTAGGAGGTACCCCTTCAGTAGTTGCAACTGCAGAAGGAAACGCCAATAACGTGGTGTCTTCGGTTAAAGGTGGATCAGAGAACATTGGAAATACCGCAAGTGGTGCTATTCAGAGTGCCGCATCCGCTGCGGAACAGTTGCCTGAAATTGCTCAGCACGAACTTGCTAAAGTGGAATCAAATATTGCCGAGTTTTATCTGATAGGGTTGTTGGGGTATTGTAAAGGGCAATACGGTGGAGCAAACTCAATTATCACAAGTTGCAGTTCTCCGAATGCTGGCTTCTGGTTTAACTTTACGGAAGTATTAGGCCTTGAGACGACCTGGGCTGAAAAGCTATTTCCATCAGAGATTCAAACGGCGGAAACAGCATATCGTAAAGCATCGCACTTTATGGATGCAGCTTATATGATTGCCTTTATATTAAATATCGCAACTTGCATCAGTGGGTCACTTGTTGAAACAATATATCAAGGCTGTTCATGGAGCCGTAAATCGTTTGCTATTATGTCAAGTGTAAGCATTAATCTACCCCATGTGAGAGAAAGTACAGACTAACTTGCCGCTACAACGTCTAGATAGCTCTAGTGTCCAATATGGTGGCTTCTGCGACAGCAACCGGGATTTACGTTTCATTTGTTACCGCTCTAAATGCGGTTTCCACCGAGCTTGGCATTCAAACCACGATCGGTTCAGCAATGATAAGCGTCACTTGGCTCTCTACAGCATTATCTTTGGTTGGTAGAATAATGTGGGGCATCAATACCCGCTCCAGGTCACGAATTGTAGGAAGAGACCTTGTATCGGAATGCATTTGAAAGATGGAGGCGGCCATTTGCCTTTTAGTTGGTTGCTCTTGTTCCCAAAAAGGCTGAATGCTATCATTACCGTCTTAGTAAAATGTGGTATTGGAGGAACAGTTGAGAGCGGGCATGGATGGTCAAACAGCGTCACCAGAGCACAGTCGTCGCTGTAATCATCGCGGGGCCAAGACGAAGAGGGCTTCACGAGGTGCCTCTTGACTGTTGCTAGGAAACGAGAGTTAAATGTTTAGACCACAACGTTCTTAATGAGGACTGAATTCATATAGAACGATATAAGTAGTTATACAAATTCTAGTGATAGTTTGGGAAGTCCGCATTTCATTCAATGGAGCAGGGATCTGGATATCTTGACATGTGTGTGAGAATTGATTTGCACTCACTAATCTGGCTAATCTCGAAAAGACAAGTTCTATAACCATTAGAAACTTAAGGCAAGGACAGACCTTATGTAGTAATTAGTTTCCGGCTCGTAGCTTTGGCTTCACGACGATGGGTGGAGCTTCCATGACCGTTTCAGTCATATAGTATGCTGGACCGCACAATTACTGTGGCTGCTGCAACCGACTGCGGATCACCAGCTACGACAACTTCAATGTATGTCTGTTTGGCAACGCCGAAATTCTTACTCTGGGTTATCATTCGCAGGGAGGATAACAGGCTGCCCATCGACAAGCAGGCCGATGGAGGAACTGCGGCTGCTAGACACAGTGCACACGGCTGCTCGCATCAGTGACGAGGGCGGAGTGATGAGTGGTCCATGAGTGGGAACGGAAGATTCTGGGTAGCGTCGGGAAGGCCGTGACGCGCAAGGAGGCGACACGTGCCGGCATGAAGCACCTAAGAACTGGGCGGTGATTGTGGTGGATCATTGACTTTGTATTCTTTTTATTTTTATTTTTCTTTTTACTTTTTTTTTATTTTTATTTTTTTATTTTTTTTTTGTTTCGTTGGTTGGGGACCCACCCCGGGGGGTGGAGGGGTCCACTGCAATCTTTCATAAATCCTGCATCCCCGCGACATTCAACCGTTCGCCAAAAAATTCATTACTTACATCCGGAACCTGTTTGTCGTCACGACTATACCAACAGAAATGAAAAACTCCCAGAAGAAGATCGCCTATGAGCTCTTGCATAAGCTAAAAAATGTGCCGGGAGGGAAAGAAATCCTAGTAGGTACTCGGAATCTAGCGCCGGTCTACAGTTTTCTCATCACAGTTGCCCCAGAAATCTTTGATGTCCGACCATAAACGCTGCGGTTTGGTGGTTAGAAACCTGTACAATAACTGTGAGGAAATGGCTCAGAATATCGAAAGAGCGACAGATCTAGACTCGGATACGAAAATTATGCTCAGAGAACTTGGGATTGAGTCCCCATTACTGAAGACAACAGCTGGAGCGCGCAGTGGACAAGGGATTGGGCACGCGCAACTGCGTGATCGCTTCCCCGCTGGCGACACGGCACAACAGACTCGACAGCCTCGGCCGAATGCGACGCAACGCTCGACTCTTCAGCAGGGACTGCAGGCTGCAACTCAGAGCCGATCTCCTCCGCAGCCTCTCCCGGACCTGGGCGTGTCGTGGCCCATGAACCAGCCCTCGTACCCAAGCTCGGGAAATCCTCCATCGAACCACGTCGAGGCCCCGTCCCATCCGGCACCAGGCCTCCCTCAGGGCACAGTGGGCACAATGCAGCAGCAGAATGGATTCACCTTTGATCCGGCCCAGTTTGGCGCTTCAACTGCCAACGGCAACGGGCTCTCCATGCACTCCTCGCAGATTCCGACGACTCAGCAGGGTGTGGCCAACTGGGAGTTTGCTGGACAGAACCCAGTTTCCGCCGCATCTACGAATGCCCGTGCCCAGCATCCTGATATATACGACCTTGACAGCTTTTTTGAGGGGCTAGGGGGAAACATTTAAGTGTCCAGGGGCGGCGGTACTGTACTGTCTATTGATGTGTATCTCGCGTAGTCTACTTAATGCCTGTCATCAGCATGAAAGCTAAGCTCCACACTACTGTCTCGTATTCGATCCACGAAACCAGCTGCTGGATCTCGTTACCTCGCGCAGGCATCTTAATTTGCATTAAGCAAAAGACGGTCGAAGTAGGAGGTTCGTAGTGCACGATGTTCTCGATGCTAGGCAGAAACTTCTGGGGATCCTTTCCCCGTTCGTTTCCTAGACTCTGCTTGTGTAACAGACGTCACTCTACTCTGCACGCGCGAGCCTTGCCACGACCTGATAGAGCCTCCTGAATGAGTCTACTATAGGTTACGAGCAGGCTCTCTCACTACACGAATCATGTGACCAACCGTCCACATACGTCCCGAAGAATAGATCCAGGTCTTCATTCTCTCGAGTGTGACGAGTATGGACGGATGGTTCGGTTCAAAGTGGGCCCGGCGGTGAGAAATCCTTCCCCACGGTGATCGGTATAACCCCGACAAACCATGAGGGCACAACACAATAGCAAATTGACAAATACAACCCTGTCTAGTCTGGCTCCAATGCGGATATCACGGTCTGGATCCGGTTCCCAGTCTCTCGCTGCTAAGGAAATCTAGGCCCCGCGGTGTCAATTACCTGAAGATAGAGACTGAATATACATCTAAATAATATATATAATATCTATACACTATGTATAAACTCTCTACGGGCCATTCTATTCTCAACGTAGTTTCCTAAGTGAAGGTGATGACATAGTAGGAAAGTCGGCTTGAAGGACTCGATTTCCCTTTGATGTAACCCAGGGGCTCTCACGACAACGACAGGACAATAAAACATCTCACCAATAGACATTGAGGCCAACCGCAAAAGTACCGAGCGGGACCAGGCGCGACGGACCGGCTGCAGCAGATCTACGCCTACCCGCGCCGGCCCCGCAGAAGCCGCGCAATAGGGAGAATGGGATGCAAGTCGATATAGTCGGTTTCTGGGTCGGAGCGCTCGCTGCATGCCTGTGCGACAATGCCTGCATCCCTTCTTTCTACCTCTGTACACAAGATTCTTCTGACGCCTATGCAGTAGTAGACCAGTAGGGGAATCCGCAGCAGAGGGGTGTCTCTGGCCCTGCACGCCACCCAACATCGCGGAAGGCGTCCTATCCTTCCGATTGGTAGATCAATGCAGTAAATTCAGTGGCCTTGCAGGGACCCAATTATCGATAGGCCATCAAGAGCACTTGAAGACCGCAACCGTGCCACATTAAGCTACATCTGGTACGATCAACCTGATAAGCCTCCACTTAGGCGCCGAGAAAATCCCACTAAATACGAGCCCCCACAGCCGTCGTCCATCACGTGCGCGTCGGGACGCGACGGGCCGCTGATGGGGAATACTCTTGGCGGCCAACTAACAACACCCCGTGTCTACTTCAGCTTAAGAGCCACCATAGTGACATCGCGATGGGACGTGAAGGGTACACCCATGGGATGGGGATTCCCACCGTGAAATGATGGTGTGTCTCTCTCGTCAGCTGCATTGGGCCCGGTCGTGACGTGATGACAGGGGTATGGGTCAGTTTGACTGCGCCGCAGGACAGACTGACCCGTAGGACTGACTGACTTGTGTCGCAATACCACAAAAGCAACATAGGCGGGTCCCCCAGAACCAGCCGACCTGACCCCGCGCGCCACGCGAACCTAGTCGCCATGTCCTGTCTCCTAATGGGCGAAAGGATGAGCATCGGGTTCGCGATGAGCCCGTGTATAGGAGATCTCACATCCGTCACTAGATCTCTCGAGGCTCAGGCTCCACCGGTTTCCCAGAGAACGGATTGTGTCGCCTTACAGACAGATCGTGATGCCCGGAGACTTGGCCAATTGCCGTACGTATAGCCAGGGTCATTGTTGGTTCGCATTCGCACCTTGTAGTCGAGATAGGAAGGAGACAGGGGCCTGCAAGACAGCGACGATCGTACGGCGGCGAGTCATGTTCGCGGGGACCCGGAGCCCCATATCCAGTGACGAGAGTTGCTGGCTTCCTCAGGCTCGTTGGTCCTGGATTGCAGGGCCAGAGGAAACCCTCTGAGACCCGCTGAGGCGATCGGTATTGATCACTTTTCGTGGCCAGCACGAGTGGGGGATGATTCGGAGCGGTTCGCTTTGACTCGCTTGCTTTCCCTCCCGCAGGGATGGAACTTGCCGTGATCGAAAATGTGCCGCCACTATGGGTATTCTCAGAGTCATACAGCTAGCCATGCCAGAAAGGGGGTTTCCACGAGTCGGCCACCCTGGCACAGAATTGCTAGCATGCGAGTCTAGGCGGGACCATCAGAGCAGGCGCTATCGTTGTTGACTATGAGGCAGCTGCCGTCGGCATCACATCAGAATGGACACGGCCAACAGGAAGATGGGCACTCGGCGGGATGTTAGTCCCGTAAGAGGTTTGCCAAAGCGTTGCACGCGTACTCAGTAAAGTGTGAATCCCTTCTGTCTCCGTGTACGAACCTCTTCCCGATCCACAGATCATACGCTGCTATCTTGTGAACCTTCCTCCCAAGCACGCGGAGGGGTTCGATGCGGATCAAGAAGTTCCTAGCAAGCGGCAGGAGCTCTGTCCTTCCGATTGGTTTGCGGCGACAGTCTAAAGTGATCCCAGGGCGAACCCAGTTATCGATAGGGCATCGAGAGTGCTAAAACATGTAACCTGCCCAACCTTACTAGATTTAGTAGGATCGGCTTTGTTCGTCTAGGATTAGACGCCGGGGAATCAAGCAAAAGTACGGCTACGACGTTGAGGCTCTCCCGCCCGCCCAATTCTCGTCACATACGGTGTGTGGCGGCGGACGATTAGTAAGACCCCTATTTCGACAACCAGCCCTGGGCAGCAAATATCTCGCAACGTCCTGTGTTAACCAAGAGCCACCATAATCATATGGCGATGGTTGTAAAGCTTGCGCTTTTGGAATGACGCTTCCCACAGTGGAATGATGGTGAGCATCATCTTATCGTGTGAGTTATGCGGCGCAGTCAGTTAGTCCAGCGGCACACTCAAACATGCCCCCTCCCTGGAACCAGCCAACCCACCCAGGCGAATCACAAACCCGGATGCCTTTTCCAGTCGCTTCATGGGCGGCAAGGATGTTTGCTACGGTCGGTAAGAGTCCGTCAATAGGACGTCTCGCCTCCGCTACGAACCCGAGAAAACCCACTGGTTTACTAGAGAAGGGATTGAATCACCTTAGAGACTATCATTGCTGAGCTAACTTCACGCCTGCTAGGCAAGATTAGGAAAGAGACAAGGGGAGACATGTTCTCCGGGACCTGTAGCGCTATCCAAGGATGAGCGTTCTGGCCATCTTCGGACGTGTTAGTCCGGGTTGCGAAGGGCCAGGGTGCTTTCCGTGGCCTGCTAAGGTGGTCGCCATTGGTCCGCTGTCCTGACTAGTGCGAAGGGAGTCAGGCCCACGCGGTTCGCTTCAATGACTCGTTTCCCTGCCGTGGGAATGGGGCCTGCTGTCGTCGAAAATACGTAGCGTTCCCATGTATTCTCAAAGCCGAAGAGCTGACCGTGGAAGGAAAGGAATTTCGCATGAGTTGGTCACTAGTACGGAATCGCAATCACGCCAGCCGGGACAGGGCCAATAGAGCAGGCCCTGTTGCTGCTGAGCAACACAGATGCGTAACAGATGTGGTACCCCGGTTTATCATCGGACGTGAGTGCGGTGACATAGCTACCGTTAGCATTACACGAGTCTAGACATCACCGATTCAACAATAGTGTCGTGCTATCTGCAGTTGGCATCACACAAGTCTAGTAAGGTCACCTCGATGGCGTGTTGGATGCAATGCCTGCCGTTCAACGGTGACTATCAGTACTGTCACGCTGCAGTTGGATCACACGAGTCCGGCCGTGTTAGCCCGCGCGTCTACCTTCAGTCCCTGCCGTTCGCCAATGGCTATTGTCCGTGCTGGCCTGCGCCATGTTGGATCCATCCCTGCTGGTGAACGTTCGCTATCCGGACTTCGACGCAGTAGTTGGATCACAGAGTCCGATCATGTTGGATCCATCCCTGCCGGTGAACGTTCTCTATCTGTACTACAATGCTGTAGCCCGATCACACGAGTCTGGCCGTGTTCGCCTGCGCCATGTTGGATCCATTCCTGCTGGTAAACGTTCGCTATCTGTACTATAACGCTGTAGCCTGATCACACGAGTCTGGCCGTGTTCGCCTGCGCCATGTTGGATCCATTCCTGCCGGTAAACGTTCGCTATCTGTACTATAACGCTGTAGTTGGATCACTAAGTCTTATCATGTTGGATCTATTCCTGCTGGTGGACGTTCGCTCTCTGGACTACAACGCTGTAGTTGGACCCATCCCTGCTGGTGAACGTTCGCTCTCTGGACTACAACGCTGCAGTTGGATCCATCCCTGCTGGTGAACGTTCGCTCTCTGGACTACAACGCTGCAGTTGGATCCATCCCTGCTGGTGAACGTTCGCTCTCTGGACTACAACGCTGCAGTTGGATCCATCCCTGCTGGTGAACGTTCGCTCTCTGGACTACAACGCTGCAGTTGGACCCATCCCTGCTGGTGAACGTTCGGTCTCTGAACTACAACGCTGCAGTTGGACCCATCCCTGCTGGTGAACGTTCGGTCTCTGAACTACAACGCTGCAGTTGGATCCATCCCTGCTAGTGAACGTTCGCTCTCTAGACTACAACGCTGCAGTTGGAGCCATCCCTGCTGGTGAACGTTCGCTCTCTAGACTACAACGCTGCAGTTGGATCACACGAGTCCGGCCGTGTTAGCCCGCGCGTCTACCTTCAGTCCCTACCGTTCGCCAATGGCTATTGTCCGTGCTGGCCTGCGCCATGTTGGATCCATCCCTGCTGGTGAACGTTCGCTATCCGTACTACGACGCTGCAGTTGGATCACAAAGTCTGGCCGTGTTGGATCCATCCCTGCCGGTGAACGTTCGCTATCCGTACTGCAACGCTGCAGCCCGATCACACGAGTCTGGCCGTGTTGACCTGCGCCTTGTTGGATCCATCCCTGCCGTTGAACGTTCGCTATCTGCACTTCGACACTGCAGTTGGATCACACGAGTCTGGCCATGTTGGATCCATCCATGCCGGTGAACGTTCGCTCTCTGCCACTATGACGGTGCAGTTGGATCACAAAGTCCGACCATGTTCGATCCATCCCTGCCATTGAACGTTCGCTCTCTGGACTACGACGCTGCAGTTGGATCACAAAGCCTGATCATGTCGGATCCATCCCTGCCGGTGAACGTTAGCTGTCTGTACTGCGACGCTGCAGTTGGACACACGAGTCTGACTGTGTTCGCCTGCGCCGTGTTGGATGGACTGTTTCTAGGGAATACGGACTCCATCCATTCTAGTAGCTGTACATGGATCCCTACCAGCATACGCACCGCCCATTGAGTAGAACAGTCAATGCGAGTGCGTGTTGTTTCTACTGTAGGCTTAGCATCACCTTCAATAGAGTCCGCGGTATCCGAACTTTCTAGTCCATTGAGAGATTGCGCTAAGACCGTCACTACCTAAGACCCATCTGTAGGAACCGCTACTCCGAATTCAGATACCGCGGAAGAAAGTTTTGCCGAACATTAGTGAGCCACTGTGGACGGCTTCCGAGTTATCGGTGAATTGGATTTCCTCCTCGTCCAGTCGTAATGTATTTGGCCGCACTACACCTCGAAAGGCTTCTCCTTTCTTGGGTTCCTCCCAATTTCCTAGGCATAAACACCTCCTGGATCGCCACGAATGTTGAATTCGAACAAGCTCCGGCCTCACCGGTGGTGTCACCGTAAATCTCGCTCGAGCGACGTTGAACGTTGCCGTCTGGAGTCCGTGCTGCCGTGTCTGATCCTGCATGTTCGAATGCAACAACAGTGCGTGTTGCAGGCTATTCCCTCGGATACGTGGCAGCCATCGATTAGTCTTCTTTATGTCTGTTCTCTTCGCCCAAGTTTATCTTCTGGGCGACGCGCTGGTGGTTAAGCGCTCGCCAGCGTTCTACGTATACTCATTTACCTTGCCTACCTATCCCTTTTTTCCGACTTTTATTGAGCTGTCACTAGCCCTTGAATAGCCTGCTTATATTTTGTGCACTATGCCATCGTTATGGGGGAGTCCAGTACTCGAGAGCTCGCGGTGCTCGCCACGTTCTTCGACGACTCTGGCGCCCTCCCGCGGCAACCGGAAGCCAATCGACTGGCCAAAAAGTTCCATGCACACCAGAATCAAGGGCCGTTTCCAGAACCTGATCGCCAGATTCCTCACTGTGGGAGCCAGAAGCAGCTCTCCCTGAAGAAAACTCCAGTACAAAAACAGCCGAACTCTCGTCAGGGATCTTCCCATAGGAACTGGACAGATAAGGAACTCGAAGCCCTTGTCCCCTTCATTGAAAGACTAGGCCCCCTTTTCTGGAAAGATAGGGTGAAAGTGTGGAACGCAGTGTTCCACACAGGCCGATCTGTAGAAGCCCTACGTGGGCAGTACTACCGGATTACTTGGCGGAACCCACTGAACAGAGCTCTAGGAAAGCCCTCTAGCCCAACAGATGAAGCGGCAGAAGCTTCTTGTGAGCCACGAAGGTCATCGGTAGGCCGTCCGCCCAAGTCTACTAGTGGCTCGCTTGGCTCTCGCCTAACACAACGAATCAGCATCAGCCCCTCAGGCACACGCGGCATTGGTAGCGACAGCAGAACTGATCCTCAAGGACGGGAGTCAGATCATGTTGCCCGCGCCGCTGTATCAGACAATCGACAAAAAGGCCCTAGTCATGTCCTGACAATCGATGAACTCCTTCCCACCTGTGATTCTGACGAAGGTATATCAAAGCCACCTTTTCATTTTCTAGGGATCACCAAGGTTTCGCTAACAAGGTCGCTTAGACGCCTCAAAGGAACCAACAGACCAGAACGGAGAGGTCTTCGGCTCGCCACATCGACGTCAGGCGTCTGTGCCACATATGCGTGCAGAGATCTGACAGCAGGCCAGCGCCAACCCCCGTGAGCCGCTTCTCTTCGATCCCGCTTGTCTTTGTCCCAAAAGAGCGCTAGATGAGGGCTGCGAAAGACCGAGCAGTCCTGTGGTGACGCCGACGTTAACTCGAGAGCCAAGCCCTCGATCAGGACGGAGTTCAACAGCCGACCAATCCGAAGGGCTGCGATCATCGCCAAGCCCAAGTTTGGCTTCTAGTTGGACGTCTCACACGATAAGCATTCCAGGAAGCAGTGACGATGGATTGCCGGGGCCGGATGATAGTCAATTCGATCAGTCATTGCATGACCAACTATGTGGCCAGTTATGGGGCGTGCTCGAGACGCAGAGCGGGCCTCCACAAACTCCGCCGCGCCAGGATCAAGAGGCGCAGATCAAGCAACCTCAGATGCCGGCACGACAAGATCGTGCAACACAGACCGACTCCTTGCAGGACCTAGAGCCGCAGAGTCTAGTGTTGCAGAAAGAGCCTCAGCACAAAGATCCTCCCGGACGAAGAGACGGTTATCCCGCCAAGCGTCAAAAGCGGAATGGCGGGCACCGTCGGCCTTTGGACGTGTCGCCGGATCGGAATCCGTCCGGTCATAGTTCCGCCAGCGCATCATCCGCGCGCGGAGGCAGTACTTGGCGTGACTGGGCGTTAGGCGGGCTCTGGGCAATAGGAAATTGAAAAGCATTTTAGTTCCATCACGCCATCAATCCTGGTAATTCGGTGAGGTCAGGAATTGATTCCGGTACAGTATAGATCAATCCAAGAAGTAATGCTTCACATCACAACACAGGCTTTTTCCATTCTCTTTCATTAGCACAGCGTCAAACTTAAGTCCTGGCCTTGCCCTCGCGTTTTATGCGTTGGATACCCTTAGTATGTATTAAGATGTTCTTCAACGATCCAATGAAATCTGCTTGCAACTTCGGCATCCATATCGGCTACCATGATCCTTCGTCTCGCATGCGCTTACTCAGCCAGTATGTCGGATCGGGTGTTACTAGCGCGAAAGCTGTACTTGCGTTTGGCACTAGCAAGTCTGTCCAGATGTTACTGGTCCCCAGAAGTTACGTGATGTCGTTGGATGGATAAGTAGCTGTTCTCGCAAGTTGGGGAGACCTACACAGCAGACCTTGTTGCTCACTCGTCCTATAGTCCCAAGGTATGTTCCCAAGGTACTCCCAAGAGCTGGCTGCTGTTAAAGAAATATGAAAAAATTAAAATGCCAGGACACTCTTTGAACAAGTAAGCATTCAGTTACGTGTAGCGAAAATGGAAGAATCTCGGCGACCTTCTCCTTCTGCTGACGGGTTCTTTCTGATGATCATGAGCTGAGAGCGGAGATTAAGACCAAGATATACAGGTATTCTACAGTATCTGATATCATTGGTCGCGCGAAGACTCGATACGTACAGTACTGTAGCTACATTTATTACAGTTCTGGGTCGTGGAACCATGACTATGTTATTGTACAGTATCATAAAACGCTGTCGACAGTCATGGACTGGCTGAGAAATTTTCCATGAGGTGCAAACTGGTTGCGGTCTGCAACAATAATATATTACTTGATTTCATGAGGCAAGGTGGTTGCGCATTGGTATCTCCTTCACATACCTTGGAAATAGTTAACACCAAATTCCTTAGCTCTCAGATAAGCTTTGAGGCATTAAACTTCCATTTTTTCCTGAGCTTTTCTTCAAGCTGTCTCTGTAGACATGAACGTTCAACAATGATAGGGGGTTCCTAAATTGTCGAACCTGGCTGTTCAAAAGGGTGAGCAGCTTTATCTGTCGATAGGTACATTGATTGTCGAGGATCGATAGCGTCCAAAGGGATTTTTCCCCATGGCCTACTTGCACATCGTTAGACACAGTACACAGTCACTCCCGATTTACATTATTTTGCTCTCTCAACAATTTTTGATTCCACGGTACTTCACTTCGGTTGACCAATTTCCTTCTCTTGGACGGATTATCTTTTCCTTTCCGGTCAATGCATGAAGCGTCGTTTTCATCCTTCATGGAATAAATGGAACAAGGCGCCAAGTATAAGGTATTTGTTTGTTATCCAAGACGCTACCACACTTTTGTCTTGATAAAGTACTGTCTCACGGAAACTCCACAAGGAGATGCGTCGGTACTGCGGCTTTTGGATGTGGATACGTTCAAAGTATACATTTATTCAACCAGTTAGAAATTCGGTAGCATTGCTAATTTTTGTTAGAAAGCCTAGGATGCGTCACCAAGATTACCCACAAAATACTCTTGAGCAAACTACGAGACCTAGAAATGAGTCGTCGCCCAATTTCTGCGCCGAGCCAACCACAGATCCACCACCGTATCAGTCAGAATTTCCATTGTACCGTAGCGAGTACTTTCTACGTTGGTCGGAATGCCATCGCCATCGTTCTCCGGCCTATTGTGGGCGGCACCAACGCGACCCAATTAAGTTTCCCGGAGAAGGTATTTGTTCTCGGCCAAATTGTGTTGCTAGGCAGACCGTATTGGAAACGATACCTGAAATCCCGGCATAAGATTGAATTATCTCGCGATGAGATGCAATCAGAAGTGTTTCGTGACAGGAGGGCTTCCCGTGTAACTGAGTATATACTGTATTAATATTCAAATCCAGTTTACAGTTACCCCATATTATCTCACGCTGTAATTTCCCCATTTTCAAGAATCGACATTGTATTTTCATAATGTGGGATATGTCATGCAATTTTCACGAAATTGAATTACCTCGGTGCCGCACCTCCACCCCTGGTGTTTCAACTCTTAAGGTTCCAGCACCTATGGGCTACAGTACAGTACTTATGTGTGCTGCCTACAGTTGGATGGATGGATGACTTCATTTACTGACCCTGGCCGCTCACGGAAGTTGAAACTCCGAATTGAGGCATAAGTGTGATAAGTATTCTTAATCTACAGAAGAAACCCCCAGGAAGAGAGGCAATGATCAAAATGATGAGACGATCGATTGACACGCGCCTGTCTTATGCCCCTCTTTCTTGCCGGAGCGTTAACCCGCGCTCGGGGCGTGCTAACCCGAAGCCCGTGCTTTCGGATGCCGAGGGCCAGTGACACCATTACAAGCTGTTAATTCATAAAGAGTAATTAAATTATATAAGTCGAGAATGGCATCGTTGTTATTTAGCCATGATAATATATCCCCCTCATGATTTCATCACGGAATTCTTTGGAACCGGTCGAATCCAACTAAAAGCCAGGTTTGCTGCGAGAGAGATCACTCCAATGATCCATAGCGACCGCCCGTACTGAGAACCATTGCACCTGAAAATTATGGAGAAGATGATTCCTCCAAGGTTGCCAAATCCACCCACTAGGCCGGACACAATACCTAAAGATGAAGAGTCAGCATCGATTAACTACAAGCGAGAATTACACCAAAAGTGGAAACGGAAGAGCTTGCCATTGGCATAGGGATGCACGTGAGGAATAACGGCGAAGTTGGCTCCGTTGCATGCCTCGAGGAAGAACGCCAGTCCTGCTATGAGACCAAATATGGTCGTCTCAGTCGTCGGGTTGGACAATCCGATCGCGAGCTGAAATGCTCCCGTAACAAGCCCCAAAAAGGAGAGGAAATGCTTCTTTGACCAGACATTGTCTGTGTAATGATAGAAAACGTCTGCGAAGAAGCCGCCTGCGGGACGGCAGAGAGCATTCAGCAGACCGAACATGGCAGCCCAGCGACCAGATTCTGTCTGGCCCATGGTTGGGAAATTCGCTGCATAGTATGTTCCAAGGATTGAGTTGATGGCCAATTCAGCACCGAACGAGCAGACGTATGGTATTGCCACGGCCAGTGTGGATAAACTGAAAGCAACCCCGAAAGCTTCCTTGCGTGTGGGGGCGACAACTGTGTCAGACTTGAAGATATCGATCTGACCCATTGCAGAGGCGTCTTTGTCAAAGAGTGGGGGATTCGGAGCGCTTTTCTTTTCCACGTCAGCTGTGATATTGTAGACGGATGAAGGGCCTGACGGTCCACAGGAGGTGGTTCCAGAGTTGATATTGACGATGTTGCCGTCGGAGAATAAGTTGGTGGAGTTGATCTCTTCAGCCCAAAGATGACGCTCCGACCATTTGCCCGTCGGAGTGTCCTCACAAAGGAACAACATACCCAATGCCACAGTAGTGATGATGATGAATGGAACGACGTAGGCCACGCGCCAAGCCTTGTGGGGAGTCAGACCCTGGGCATGTTTCAGGACCGTGCAGCAAAGGAAACCTTTTTCAATGCTCCTAGAGCTTCCTGCAGCGTGAACTGGAACATCTTGGACGCATTCCGATGTCCTTAATGACTCTCGCCCCGTCCCCTCCGAACTTCCCAGTGAACAACTCGATTTTCTTGAACCTGCCCCAGAAATTGAACACCCCTCATCTTTACGTTCTATCCTTTGCACAGCATAAACAAATGACGGAATACGCTTCATTGCCCTCGTGCGCAGTGCAATAGCCACATTTGGCATTGTTGGGGCAATGAAACTGTATGTGCGCACGTTTTTGGCACTTCTTGCATAGCTTGGATCGACCCTCTCGGCCGAATCGGACAGCTTGGAGAACCTGGTTCTCCTAGATACCCCCCACGGTAATGGCATTGTTGGCCACTATTGGGCTTGTGAATTCAATCACGATAGGCCCTTCCCGTTCCTTCGACGGAGGACGTCTCAACCAGCTCACATGCGAGATATCTGCCTTCCCGCCCTAAGTATGGCCGTTGGCCCGCTGTAGTTCCGCCACAACTCCGGCCATCGTCTCCGAAGAGAGCTTCATTCGGCGTATAGGCACACCGTGGGCCACTACGCCCCAGCTCACCCGCTGGATGACCGCATCCGCTCCGAATGCCTTTATCCAGCCGGAGTGCTTGTGAAGGAGTTCCGCACCGGCCGCGTTGTTGGCCACCATCTTAATATCCCCAGCGGGCAGTTTCCGAGCTGCGACAAAGTATTCCCCACCCCCCAAAGCTAGGGCAGCGGAGTTCCTCTGTCTCGCTACGGCCTCACGCTGCCGTTCCGCATGCTCGACGAGCTCCCTCGGGGTCTTCATCCGGAGTTGGGTAACGGTTACTCATCACCGTAACAGTGACCTCACGGTCTTCCTGAAGCTCAAGTTCGGACACTCCTGGAGACGACGTGCCGTTGCCACGGGCAGACACCGCGGCCGCTTGGGCAAGTCCTCGCTGCCCATCCTTAGTGCTCCGGAAGTTAGTCCAGTTCGCCGCCGCTTGGGTCGATAGCGATGGACGAAGATCAGTAGGCAGAGGAGAATGGCAGCCGGTGAAGAAGAAACTACTGTTTCCCTAGAAGCCCAAGAAAAGAGGGCGGGAAAACAGAGGCGGGAAACAGAGGGACAAAAATCTGGTCGTTAATGGAAATTTGAGAAGCATACGCCTGACGCTTATTGGAACCAAATCCTATTTACCACACAACCAAGGGTTCTTCTTTGGTCTCCGAACTACCAGTAGACACGAGGAGTTGGATCCGCAAGACGGCAAGTGTCCGCTGCTACATTCCGCATGTCGGTATTGAGGTCGAGATCCCCGTGTTCCCCCTAGTGTTAGGAATAGAAGCAAGAAGAGACTTGGCAGACTGTTAGGTTCCACTTTGGTCTGTTTGCATGAAAGATCCACCAGATTGTACAGCGAATAACTGATGTGCCAATCGATCGAGATGGGGCCGCAATAGCATTTGTGGACGACTACACACGATGGGCGGTTGGACAATCAGCGGAGGCAGATGCAGACATCCTCCAAACACATATAATACCGAAGGCATTGAACTGAACAGCGCAGCCAGGAACTACGTTTGAGGCACAAAAAAACCAGTTCATCCACACGGGAAGCACCCTCCGCAATCCACAACCGGTGCAGGCGCTCAAGACCGGCAACTAAAGGACTGGCCTAAGCCACGGGATCAAATTGCTAGGTGTGGTATTTGATAAAGGGATGTGTTAAAAACACACCCCCCCATAATTGCACTAGCACCTTTTTGATTTAGCGTGTAAATAATTACTCCTATGATACATTCTATTATTACTAGTAATCACATGATTTATTAACCCTACAGTCATTATTTTGAGGCTGACAATAGACCCTGGAGTTGGAATGATAATTATTATTATTATTATTATTATTAATCCTCCGGCTGTGCGCAGCCTCAGGCTGCATGTAGCCTCCGTGCCAGTTAAGCTGAGTCATCTATGTACATGTAGTTTCGTCTCTCAAAGCTATGTCTCTCGGTTCAGTCGGTTGGTCGCCATGGCAAATTGGATAACAGATTTGACGACCTCCATGTTAGGAGTCCAGTTCTTGCTTGGGTCAAGGTCTTGTGCGGTAGGTCCTTGAGATCGTGATCTCCCACCCAGTGCGAAAGATGTGTCCCGATATCGATTTCCCATTGTTGCTCTCATCTCACCACGGTGTGATTCCCATAGTTTGCAGTCAAATAGAAAATGGTTGACAGTTTCTGGTCCTTCTTGACAATCACAGGTGTCATCTAGAGTTTGTCCAATTCGACGCAAATATCGGTTTAGGCGAGCGTGGCCAGTTCGGAGTTGTGCCAGCGTAGATGCTTGTTCCCTATGGAGCTGATCGTACATGTCCCTGGTGTGCTTTCCAGGAAGTGCTGAATCAATCGCCTTAGTGTGTTTACCAAAAGGGTCCTGCCAGAACTGTTGATTATGTGCTTGTCTGAGGATTTTTCGTGTTTTCCGCCAAATAGCAGACAGTACTCGTTGAGTCGCCCAGTCGGGGGGTTGGGTGGTGAGCTCTTCCGTGTTGCATATTGGGCCGCGGCTTTGGCCATCGAGATCCCTGAAGTGTCTTGTTCACTGCCGATCCATCCAATATGCAGGTCCACTTGGTCCTTTTGTAGTTCTCGCACTAGCTGGATGATGCTTCGGATGATTTGTTGTCCGCCCTGTACCCATGGGTTGATAATAGATTGGAGCACTGATGAGTTTGTCGCGTACACGCGGATACTCATGCATCCGATTACCGCTGGAAGCATTGCTTGTAACTCAGTGACTTGCCGCAGTGATTCCAGTATTGCACCTAATTGAACATTGTGCAGGTCAGTGTTTTCTGGATCTCAATTGTCCTCGAGGTGGACTGCGTGATGGCGTTTCCCATCATGACTGCAATGCCGAACCCTGCTAGGCCGTTGCGCGCTGAGCCATATGTGTACACCTGGATTTTTGGCTTATCAAATTCAGTTGGATTCTCTTGCAGTGCCTCATCCAGTACGATTGCATTTTTCCATTCCGACTCCCACGGACATGCAATGTAGGGGGAAATGGGTTCCACCCGTGTTTGATGCAGTGGTAGGACTTGGGTCAACTTCCCAAAAGGAGATTTAGACGTAAGGAGGCCACGAATTTGAAGGCATTTCCGAATAGGATGGTCATTGGGTAGACTGTGACAGTTGATCCAGTGGCGGAGAATCCGTTTTTGAAGGTATATGTTCAGTGGTATGATGCCCGCTTCTGCTTCCGCAACTGATCTTGACACTGTACGAAATAGGCCAACAACTACCTTTGCAGTCGTTTTCTGGATCACGTCCATTGGTTTGACAATCCACTCTGGAATATTCCCATGCTTATTCACTGTAGCCCATACTGATGCCGCATATGTGATGGTCGATACGACTAAGGATTGATATAACTGGCGAGCGTTTTGTGGTCTCAACCCTCTTAGTCGCATCAACGCTTGGCTGGCCTGGATGCCCCTCTTGGTGGCTCTGCCAATATGTTCTCGGAATTTTAGTTTCTGGTCACATATCACTCCTAGCAGTTTGACTGCATTGCTCGGGGCAATCTTTTGTTTGTCGACCTTGAGTGGTTGCGCAGGTTGTGGATTGCGGTTGGTGTTTCTAGTGAAGTGGATATATTGAGTCTTCTGCGCCTCGAATGTAGCACCAGACTTTGCCGCCCAGCTCAATGCCTTTGGTATTACGTGTTCTTGGATGGTCTCTGCGTTCACATCTGCTGACGGGCCTACTACCCACCGATTGTAGTCGTCCACAAATGCTATTGCTCCTCCGAGTTTATTGATTGGCACATCAACCAGATCGGCATTGAAGAAAAGGTAAAGGATTGGTGACAGCGGCGAACCCTGTGGGAGTCCGGGGCAGGTAATCTCCATGGCTTCAGAGCAATGGTCATTGATCACGATCATCGCGCGTCGGTGTGAACAGAAGGCATCGATCCACTGCACTAGTGCTGTAGGCACCCGCCTTTGCTGGAGTCGGTGAATTAAGACTTCTTTGGCCACTCCGTTGTAGGCACCCTTGACATCGAAGCTGACCACGCTAAGGACTTGGTTCCTGCGCCATGCTTCATGAATCCTTTCCATTAGGACATTTAGAGCCTGTTCACTAGATCTCTTCCGTCGCGCGCCGAAGTGGTTCGGTGGAAGGAGTGAATAGGTTTCTGTCAGATATGAGAGTCGCTGCGCGATGACGGCTTCTAGGATCTTGCCAAGGGTCGATAGCAGTGATATAGGACGATATGAATTTGGTCGTGACCAATCTCGTTCAGGTTTGTGGAGCGGGATGATCTTTGCAATCCGCCATCGTGATGGGACATGGCCTAACGCGATTGAAGCCCGGAAGATTTTGCAGATAGAGCTGCCAACCGTAGACCACAACCGCTGCCATACACCTGCTGGGATCTGATCCTCTCCCGGTGCTTTCCATGGGTTCATGCTCATGGCAACAGCTTCGATTTCTTCATCGGAGACTGGGTCCATGTGCAGCGGTGCGGGTAATTCTCGGGTTTCCTCCCTCTCAATACTCGGAGTAGGCGGGAAGAAGGCTTCTAGGAGAACCTTCGCTTTCTCTGTCTCATCCCTCACTGATTCTCCCTCCGGAGTGATCTGGAGTGGTGGTATAGGTTTCCGCTCGCTACCATTCTTGGCATACCGGGCAGCATCCCATAGGTTTTCTGCAGTATCCAGGTAGTCCAACCAATGTTTGCGTTTCTGATCCCTGATGGCGGTGTGGTATTGATGGCAGAGCTTCTTTACCTCAGCTTCTAGATCTGGTCGCGCGATGCCGTATCGACGAAACTGCGTCATTCGGTTCTTTGCTGTTGAGTATTGAAGTCGGAGAACGCTCAACTCATTTGTCCACCATCTCTTGCAATATGGCGATGGTCGAGCCCTGGGTGTGCAGGTTTCAATGGTTCGTGTTACATTGGTTATTAGGAGCTCCAGCTGTATCTCCAGTGTAGTTGGGTCTTGCATGTCGCCCGGGTCTAGTACTTTCGTTTGTAGCTGTTTGTTGATCTCGTCATAGGGGGCTTGTTTCCAGAGAAACCTTGGGTTGATGTGCGTGGCTCCCGACCCTCCTGCCTGTCGAATTTCAAAGACAGCTGTTATTGCTCGGTGATCTGACCCATGTTCCACTGGGTGGCATTGGCACATCGCCATACTAGTTGCTAGGGTCCTTGAGGCAATCAACAGATCGATTGTAGATTGCCACCGGCTCGACTCATATGTTATCGTCCCTCGAGGGAGTAAACTTTGCAGTTCCTGGTCAATCAGTAGTTCCACTATCGGCTGGGCTTCTCCTTGGCGGCATGAGTTCATAATATGATCTCCTCCCCAAAGCTGATCATATCGATTGAAATCCCCCCCAATGAGGATGTCGAGCTTTGAACCATATTGTCTTCGTTGGGTTTCGATCACTTCCCGTAACGTGTTGGTGGTCTGCGCCAATTGTCGCTGCCCTCTATGGCCTTTTTCTGGAGGTACATAGGCTGCAATGGCTAGGAGCCAACGATCCAGGATGGGCAGCACAATCGCAGATGATATCTGTTGAGTGGACTTCGATTTGTTGTATCGCTTTTTGTTCTTTCTTGACCCAAATCATGGAGCGAGTCAATTTGGTGTCCTCACTGTCTTTCCGATCATCTGTTGGAAGGATTGCCCTCCACTTGTTGTGTGTGTGGGTGATCCTTCCCTGTGGCGCGTAGACTATATAGGGCTCTGAGATTAGGAGTAGGTCGTGGCTTGCGAGTGTCGTGTCGTTGAGAAAACTAAGCTGTATTTCTGGGCCTTTTCGGAGGTTTGCATGGGTGACCTCTAGCATTTAGGAGTTGTGGATATGTTCACTACTCCTACTGCTGGTTTGTCCTTGCCCACGATTCCGTATGCGGTTGACTTCGTCTAGCCATTTGGGGCATTGGCGGTGAGAGGCTTGATGTTCGCCTCCACATACTCCGCATTTCTCGTGTTGTGTAGTGCATTCTTGTTTTCCGTGGTTCCCGGCACACTTTTCGCAGACCTTAGGGTGTTTGCATTGGGACCGTCTATGTCCGTATTGCTGGCAGTTATGGCATCGGATTGGTCTCTCTCGATATTGGTACTCGGATGTAAACGAGACTTCTCCTCGGATTTGAACAATTTGCTTGTGGAGCAGGCGGGAAGCGTCGCTTTCACGGTCGAGGAACGCAACCATTGATCCATATGCCTTTGGTCCACTGAGCCAATGGATTCTCTTTAAACCAGCCTCACTTTCCTGTCGGAAAGTTTCCACAAAGTCCCCATCAAGCGTCCTTCCTCCGTAAAGACATCCGCCTTTCTCACGTTGTTGACCATGATTGGGTACCAAGGTTCTCCTTTCAGTTTTGCGCCTGGCAGCGTTTCTAACCACTGCGGTTTCTCCCGGATGGTGTTCATATCTTCCTCACTGTTGAGGAAGATACGCACTGCAGAGCCAGGCGTGGATTTCACGCCCTCCACATTGATTTCCTTGGTGTCCTCTTGGTCTCGGAGTGCTTTTTGGATGGCACTCTTTGCCGTAGCTCCATCCGCTAGTTTTTGTTTGGTCTCCTCGCTTGCATTTCTTAGGTTCAGTGTGAAGTTTGGCAGTGTATGCGCCGAAGTCGTATTCTTCGTGCCTGGTGAGATAGCAGAGGATCCAGTCACAATAGAGGCCCAACTTCTTCCAGGGCTACTGATTTGACTATCGCTTGGGGTGGTGGATACAGCCGACGGTAATGTTTTGATGAGTTCTTTCAAGCTGACAATTTCCTGTTGGAGTTGATTGATTTCTGTCTGGGATTGTTGATGGAGTTCCTTGATATCTTTCCGGGCTTGTTCCAATTCCTTGCGGTACAGCGCTGCCTCGGCGGTGACAGCTTCTAATGTTTTCTTGTACATTTCAGACATACGGTTGAACTGCGCTGAGAGTTCGGTGTTGGCTCTGAGCACCATTCGGACATATTCAGGGGGTTGTGAAGTTGCCCCCAGCTCTCGGTCCACCCCGGAGGGTGTCTCAATTTCATTTTCAGCTACTGAGTAGTCTTCTCGAGTTGACGCAGATTCCGGTGTCTGGCGGACAAGACCAGACCTGGTGGTGAATCTAGTAGGTGTCGCATCATGGGCGGAGTGGGTGGACGCGTCTTTTGACGCGTCCGTCTCCCGCCCGTTGGACCTCGCAGGCATTTTGCCCGTCAAGGAGTCCAGGTAAGGATAGTTAGTAGAAGAAGAGCACTTACCTTAAATTCTTTTTAGAACAGACTATCCTAACGGTTTATCGGAAGATGCGTCTGGCCCCTTCCAATTGGACACACACATCAACCAACATATACCTAAACGCACGTGACCTGGCGATAACACCTACCTCCTAGGAGCTGGTTGGTCCTCAGTGGTCCTCGAGAGGCTGAGGTTGCATGTTCCGTAACACTTGGACGTTTCCTGTACTCATGTGTTTCATTAATACGCTTTCTGCCAATTTTGTCCCGCCCGCCTAGGCGGCTGCACCTCAGACCACGTTATCACTACTACCTCCCCCTACCACCACCACCCATGAGACAGAGGCGCAATGGCTCCGAACCTGCCATCATCCACGCGAGAGTTTATTCGGGATATGATCCTGAGCAAATCACTAACCACAGCCCAGATTGCTGATGACGCTGGATGTAGCCCGCGTTCTGTCACCACGATCCGCAGTAACCTGCGGCAATTTGGTGGTACTCGAGCCCCTCCCATTCAAACAGGCAGACCACGAAGTACCACAATCTCGATGTTGGAGGCTCTCTGTGACCACTTACAAGAGAAGTCTGATCTTTACCTTGATGAGATGGCGGTTTTCCTCTGGGATGAGTTTGGCAAGCAGACAACGCAAAGAAGGCAGCCGGGAAATACGGTAGAAAATTCCGATCAGCTTAGCTAAATGGACCTTGTGTATTGTAAACTCCCAGCTATGTACGGACCAACCTAGACATCGGTGGATCTGGTGGCTTCGCACTCAAATCTGCGCATGTGGGCCTGGGTGGAGCTGGGGGGATGTAGGATAGCCTGCATACAATCAACGGAAGATATGATGAACCGGGCGACTAGGAAAATTTTGATGATCGAGACCAAAAGGTAAGAATTAACTCAACCATCGCTTCTCGAATCTGACACGGCATTCCTTGCCCTGGCCTCGAGTCAGCTATTCATTCCGGTTGCAAGAGCAAGGGTACCTGAACGGACCTCAAGAATAGGAAACGAGTCATCATACACCAATTCAAACCGGCTAGTCGCAGTCGGCGACAACTTCTCAAACTCCGGGCTCAGCGTTGTCGAGTATGTCTGATAGATAGCTGCCAACAATGTCTTCATTTCTGCAAGCGCCAAGCTATGTGTGGCAAAGGGTTTGCGTTAGAAATGCAGTAAAGGAGGAAGGCCAGGACTTACTGCATTCCAAGACACATTCTTGCCCCGCTAGAAAAGGGCCACCACCAGCGTTTTATCTCAGCTGTCTCTGCATCGCCTGCCAGCCATCGATCGGGTTTGAAGGTGTTAGGATCTGGGAAGACTTCGGGGTTCCGATGGAGGGAAAACGCCTGGCAGCTGACGATTGTCCCGGCAGGAATGTAGTAGCCGTCGATTGTGGTATCCCGAGTGCTGGTCCGGGGCTGGGATGCTGGAATAGGAGCATATAAACGCAATGTTTCTTTGATCACGGCATCGAGAAAAGGCAGCCGGTCGCATACATCTGCTGGCAAAATCGATCCGTTGCCTGCCAGAACGGATTCCATGTCCTTCACTTCTGCTATAAGACGTTGTTGATAGTGTCGGCGTCCTGGGAGCGATAGTGCCCATAGAGCAAACATCAATGTATCGCTTGTTGTCTTGAGCCCGGCATCAAGATGGTCGGCGCATTCTGCGGCGATGTCCATGTCAGAGATGGGTGTTTTCCAAGAATTGCTGCCTTGTTCATGCATCAATCTCATCATGAGACCACAGTCGCCTGTTGGCACCAAGGTTTTGTCCTGTCGATGGGTATCAAAGGTCGCCAAAGCATAGTCTTGAAGCCCGCTATACGCCAACGGCCTTTTTCCTGGGAGGAGGCTGAGCACATCGAGGATCGATCTTAGATGCGAGCCGCAGGACATGACCAGGCGTGTATACCGTGGCAGATGTATTTGGAACCATGAATATCTGCGCGCGGTGGGTTCGTCAATGTCACTCAGGATCTGCCTATCCACCACGTCGCCCGCCAGAGCCGATGTGCCTCCGCGTTCTCCGAAAGTTATCCACGTAATGTTGTCCAGGGAAAAAAAATGCAAGCTCTTGACCAGATTTGACGCCGTCTGCGGATCCGACTCGATCAAATCTGTGAACTCCTTGGCCTTTGATTGAATCGAGTCGGCGACCGGACTTTTCAGAACGGTTGATTTAGAATACATTTGGCTCATGATCTTCTTCCGAGCCGCATGCTCGACCGAGGAGTAAAATGTAAACAGGTGTGCCTGCCCGTACACATCAAACATGCGGTAAAACGCAGGCGGACGTCCGAAGGGACTACCGGCCCCATAGATCTGGCGCAAGGCTGTCAGGGAATTGAACGAGACCTCGTTGGGACCCACGCGCACAACTGGGCCGTATTGTTGATGAAGACGATGGATTGTCCGCGTGCGTGTACCTTGGAAGTCCTCCTTGCCGAGTCTTAGGCCAGTCAGTGAGAATGGCTTGGGCCCTGGGACTTTTGCTAGAGGGCCGAAGAACAGTGCCCAGCAAACATGGTAAACTAAGAAAGCAACACAGATGGTCGCTACCGCGGCAACTGCTAGAGGCATGGTTGGGTGCAATGGACGAAGAGGGGCATTTTGGTAGAAGAACTGTAGTTTCGGGTTGAATATTCATTAAATATCCATTCTTCAGGTCGGACCAGAATTCAGCTAGCCCTGGCTCGCACAACAGGAAGCAGGAAGGGAGTTTATTAGATCGCTACATGATAGGCAAAATCCAGGCATAGCGACGGGGCTAAATTCCTGCATTGAGTATGTATCAAAGTGAGTTTCCCTCGGGAAAGTCTGTTTCGATATCGATTGATGTTAGTGGTTTAGGCTTTGCCCCCGCTGAGGGGCATTTCTCACATGACATGGCGGCTGCTATGCTTAGACCCGTGGGACGAGCGGAGCAATACTCCTAATTCGGACAAGCGGACTATCTTCCCTGCCGGTTCAACATGAGGTTCAACATGAGGGGCAGCAAACTGGGTATAAAAAAAAGATATGCTCTTGTGTCCTTGAATCAAATATCTTAACCACTAGAACTACTCCTTCTCACCCTCCTCAGACAAAGATGGCACCGGTCAAGAAAGCTCAGCCCTTCAAAAAAGCCCTGTACTTTTCAGAGGCTGAGTTCAAAGAGCGTCAACAGCGGGCTCTGGAGCTCATGGAGCGAGAAAATCTCGATGGTTTTCTCATGACGAAGCAAGAGTCTCTCTACTACTTGACCGGCTTCGATACCTTCGGCTATGTCTTCTTCCAAGCCTTGTACTTCCACAAGGATGGCTCCATGCGGCTGATCACTCGAATTCCCGATTTACGCCAAGCTCTCTACACTTCAGTCTTGGATCAGAAGGATATCCTCATTCGATCTGATGACGCCGGAAGCAACCCCGTGTCCTTAGTCCCCAAGGTCCTGAAGGAATTTGGAATCAACTCGTCATCCAAGCGAATCGGTTATGAGCCCGACTCCTGCTCCTTGACGCACCGTCTAGGAAAGGCACTAGAAGAAGCCGTGGTCGGTCTTTGCACGCTAGTGGATCACAGCGATCTGTTCACCCGGGAGCTTCGCATTATCAAATCGGAAACTGAAATGCGCAAGGTTCAAAAGGCCGCTTATCTCGCCGACTTCGCCCTCGTCCGTGCCCTCAAGCTGGCCAAACCCGGGGCCTATGAAGGCGACCTGTGGCGGGAGATTGTCGGCACGGTCTACGAGGGTGGTGGTGATGATCCTGCCAATGAGAATATCCTTGTCTCGGGCAACAAGGCCGTTCTCACTCGTTACTCGACGGGCAAAAATAAGATCGATCGACAGCTCACGTTAGAGCATGCCGCAGTTTACAAGCACTATCATGCGTGTCTGATGCGCACGATTCCCATTGGCGGCATCACCAAGCTGGCGCGAGAAATGCATCGGGTCAACATACTTCAAATGGAGGCAGCCATGGCGGCCCTCAAACCAGGCCGAGAGATTGGCGACGTGTTCGAGGCTTACGCTCGTGTTGCGGACGAGAACGGTTTCCGGGACCAACGTTTCAACAGTTGCGGCTATAGCTTGGGTGCAACTTTTTCCCCTACGTGGATGGATTTCCCCATGTTTGTGCGCGGCCAGAACGTGGTGGCACAGCCGGGCATGGTGTTCTTTATCCATATCATCTTGATGGACAAGGCCACTGATACTGCCAGCTCAATCGGCCAGACCGTGGAAGTAACTCAGGATGGGTGTGTTGCGCTCTCCAAGCTGCCTTTCTGTCTTACCCGAAGACAAACCATTGCCGCTTGGAAGAAAATCCGAAAAGAGGACTACGGGTTCACCGCTGATGAGATCGATGATGGGGAGAATCTCCAAGATGTTGAGCTCAGCGATGGGGATGTTGATGAGGAGGACTATGATGTGGAATACGATTTCAGCGACTACAAGCCGGCAGCTGCACTGGGTGACCCGGCCAAGAGTGCTTAATTATGTCAATCAATCAACGCCTGTTTGATCATAGTTTTCATCAGAGTATTCATGTCATATGTTTCTTCTGATCTTTTCTTTCATGGAGCTGTCAAATTTCTGGTTTGTTTTCGTGAGGCATCTTATATAATTATCAGTAGTCAAGCACATGTTACTGAATGTCTGCTACATTATTAGACCGCAACCTGGCATCATATTTAGCCAGTGCAGCGTACTGCCTGCTGTACGGCATCGCTTGGAAACTGGTGCTTGGTTTGAACGATTCTACGAGCATAATATCTAAAATTAATCTTCCTAACAGCTGTACACATATACACCGTCCTTCATATAATTGACTCTATCTACCAGAGACACTCAGAAATAGAGAACGCGCTCTACAATCTTCTTGGAATTGCAGCTGAAAGAAAAATCACATCTATCTCAACAATAGCTCTATCAGTGAGCCTCTGCGTATTAGATATACAACACTAAGATCCGCCAACTAGCTGTGTTCATTCATTTTCGAGGTGCTTTCATACCCACCCGGCAGAACCTTGGAGACATAGCCTGGCGGTAAGGCCTTGGTTATTCTCACTGTCTCGGCAATGGCAGCCTTGAGGTTCTCAATTGCCTCGTCGCTGATTTGATGATGCAGAGCAATCCGCTCATCCATAAGCTTCACATTGAACCTTCCACATTGCCCCAACAAAATATCCATACTCACGTTTGACTTCTTGGCGTCGATGAAATAGAAATTTGTATCAACCGGGATTTGAGGCATAACACCAAGCGCCGCCAAGTCTTTCTCCAGTTTCTTGGTTTTCTCATGCGTCTCTTTCATGGTAGGCCAGACTTCCTCCAGGGCTACCAGGGCTGGAGCCGTTAAAACACCGGCCTGTCGAATGCCGCCTCCCAGCTGCTTCCTCAGCCACCTAGCGCGCTTGATGTTGGACTTGGTGCTGGCAAGGACTCCACCAACCGGTGCGCCGAGTCCCTTTGACACACACATTGACACGGTGTCAAAATGCTGGCAGTAATCGGCCAAAGAATAACCAGTAGCTGCAGACGCATTCCACAAGCGAGCCCCGTCGCAATGAAGTCTGATATCATGGGCACGTGCGAATTCGGAGACCTTTTTTATCTCCTCCAAGGGAGTCACCACTCCGCCTATGGTCACCTCGAGACTGATCACCTTCGTCGGTGCCGTATGAATATCCTCTCCCAGGACGGTCCACTTCTTGACATCGTCTAAAGTCAAGTATATGCCATTGACCGGGTGTACGGGCGTCACCATGGCTTGAGAGAGCACCGCCAACCCAGACCCTTCCTCAGCGTAGACGTGGGCGCGGTAGTCGCACAGCACAGAGTGCGGAGGTTGGTTGAGATGAACGCGGACTCCAATCTGGTTGCCCATGGTCCCAGAGAGCATGAACAGAGCATCTTCCATTCCGGTTAATCGTGCGATTTCCTTTTGGAATTCGGTGGTGATGTGGTCTTCCTGGTACACGTCGTCTCCAAACGACGCGTTCGTCATAGCGGCCAACATAGACGGCGTCGGGGTGGTGAAAGTGTCGCTGCGGAATTCATTGGCGGCCGGTAATCGTGATGCCTTGGAATTCAACATCTTCGCGGTTGGTAAAGGTGTGTCACTGTTTGTGAGGAATATGTATGATGTGTTCAATTTGGAAGGTTTATTCTTGATCTCGTGTTATCGGAGAATATTCATGTATCTCGGGAAACTAAACAAGCTTTCCGTGGGAATTTACCATTATTGAGAGTATAAGCTAGAAGGGGTACAATGCCTTCGCAATATTGTTCATCGGGCGGAGTAAAATTCCTATGTTGTCCGCTGGGCGGAGTAAGATACTTATTAGGTTAATTACGCGCTGTAAGATGCTATAATAGGTATCACACTCTAATCTAACCGCACTTAGATTACATCAATACGTGAACTTAATTCCCACTATTGCTGCCGCCCCCACAACCTGGAACCTGTTATCGGGTTCTTTGACCTAGATCCTTAGAGCCTAGACCACACGACAAAATATCTCCCAGACGAAGTCCTACGTGATCCGAACCTATCACGCATCCATATCCTTCGATATTTTTCTTGTTTAGCTTAATCAACGCTTCTAAGAATGACCGAACCTTCACCCATCGATCAGCGGCGAGATAAGAGCTCAATTCGGTCTTGGTTAATGCACGGCGCAATTGTAATTGGCCTTGTTTCAGCGTTTGTCGCACTCTTCAACAATCCCATTCAGTCGTCTAGCTCGCCCGGGCTGGACACGTACGGCCCTGGAACAGAGCCCAGGATATGCCAGCAAGTGCCGAAACTGTCTCCAAGGAATAAGCAAGTCGAACAGTATATTCGTGAGAAAGTCGACTCTGTGGAATACCGCCGGGAAATCATCAACAAGCTCTCTGGAATAATTCAGATCCCATCTGAGAGCTATGACGACTTGGGGCCCATTGGCGAAGACAACAGATGGGATATATTTTTTCAAGTGGAGAACTATATCAAAGTCAGCTATCCCACAGTGTTTCAAACTGTGAAGCTGGATCACGTCAACACACACGGGTTGATCCTGACGTGGGAAGGCAGCGTCTCGCCTGCGGAGGCTAAGCCTATTCTCATGCTCGCGCATCAAGACGTAGTCCCAGTGCTTGCGGAGAATGTCAAGGATTGGACTCATCCGCCCTATGACGGCCACTACGATGGTGAAATTATCTGGGGTCGTGGCGCCACCGACGACAAAGGCTACCTGATATCCATTATTGAGAGCTTGGATCTTTTGATCAAGAGTGGATTCGAACCGAAAAGAACGGTCATTCTGGCATTTGGCTGTGACGAAGAGATTAGTGGCGAGAACTGCGGAAGGCCTATCTCGAATTTCCTTCGTGAGCAGTATGGGGATGACGGAATCTACTTGATCATGGACGAGGGTTCCACGGGTATCCAGAGAGAATTCGACCAGACTTTTGCCATGGTCAGCGTCGCAGAAAAGGGCTATCTAGACGTCGGGATCAATGTCTCGTCAACGGGTGGCCATGCGAGTAACCCGCCGGATCATAATGTCATTGGCATCCTGTCAGAAATCGTGGTCGCAATTGAGAGCAACCCGTTTCCCGGAAAAATCACTCCGAAGAATCCAATGTTTCAATTCCTAGAATGTGGCGCCGTCCATGCTCCCGAGTCGAGCTTTCCGATGGCAGTTCGTCGCAAGTTGAGCATGACCACCCAAGACGACAGTATCAGCCAGGAGCAACTGGCTCGGACGCTGGATGATATGAGATATTATTTCCAGACAAGTCAGTCTGTTGGAAAGATTAACGGTGGCGTGAAAATCAATGCCATCCCAGAAACAGCGTCTACGTTACTCAACCTGCGCCTGGCCGTCGAAACCTCTATTGCTCAGGTCGAGGCGCACTACGAGTCTCTTGTTAGTCCAATTGCTAAAAAGCACGGAATGGTATTTGAAGGGTTTCATTCCCCATGTAGCGCTTCGGAGAAACGGAAAATCTGCCTCTTTGGAGTGGACGCCTTAGAGCCAGCTCCCGTTTCTCCAGTTGATACCGAATCCTTCCGAATCTTGTCTGGCACCATCAAGAATGTTCTCAAGCCACTGGGCGCGGATGATGAGGTTATCGTGACACCATACCTGATGCCAGCCAACACAGACACTAAATTTTTTTGGGCCTTGACCAAGAATATTTACAGATTCACTCCTGTGAATCTGGTGGAAAACCTCAACCGGGCGCATACTACGGATGAGTTTATTCGTGCCAATGAATTCGTGCGAGAGCCTCTCTTTTTCGCAAGTTTGGTTTTGAATGCCAATGATATTGTGGGTTAGTGAAAGTGTGAAATATCAGGCGCATCTCATATTACTTCACATATTAAAAAGGTGAAGAAAAGGGTTAGAGCCTTACTACTCTATGCTTCAGTAGAACATCACCGTATAGAATAAGCCGCCTTCTAGCACCGTCTATACTTCCATCCATACCCTTCTTTCACTACAAGCTTGAAAACTTTCTGCAGAAGCGACTTTGGCAGACCAATTCAAACGAACTCGTTCTTAGAACGGAGATGACACTAGTTAAAATATGTATAGAGAAGAGAATAAACCAAGGAAATAGTCACTCCAATCCAATCTGTGTTCCCAAGAATTGAAATCCAAATTACTCGAACCAGCTGTTGAGCCAACCCGAAGTCTTGCCTCTTTTCGGTGGCTCATACAATGCCTCGTAGAGGTCAATCTGGGCTTTTATGCCTCCAAGCTGAAGGTCCGCCTCTTCCGGTCGGACATAGCGTGTCCGCTTGAAGAGCTTCCAGAAGACAAAAGCCACTATGAAAAAGCCAATCATCAGGTAAGAGGTAAAGAACGTCGAGATGTCCCAATGCCCATCAATGAACACGGAATACCCGAGGATCAAGGCCACAACGAATGTCATCACCGCGGCATAGTACGCCGCATAGGGCTGAAAGTATCCCCGGTATGGCAAAGTCTTTCGGTCGATACCCTGGCGTTTGAGAGCGGCGTAGAAATGCAGGTATGTCACGACTGTGGAGAAGTAGTTGATCATGTATGATGCAGTGCAGATTCCCACCAGCCAGTCGAGGACAGTGGCAGAGGTATTGCCAAGCTGCAGCAAGGAAAGAAGGCAGAACGCAAGCGCCGCGATGACCGAGTAGATCGGGATACCGAACCTGTTGCACTTGGCAAATATCGCGGGCGCCTTGCCGTCTGCTGCTAGGCCATGAAGTGTACGGATCGACGAATAAACAACGTTGTTTCCACAAGAAAGAACGGAGGTCATGATCAGAGCGTTGACCAGGGATGGAAGACCTTGGATTCCAAAGTTGACCATTGAAATGACGTAAGGGGAGCTATAGCACGGTTAAGCTGTGTATTCAGGGCGTGTACTGGGATGGGAAGGGGGACTTACGCAGCTCCAGTGCCGCCCTCGGTTCCATTGATATATTTGAGCAAAAGCACGTCATTGTAAGGAATGACAATCCCGACGCAGAGAGCGCCGCCAAGGAAGAAAAGGAGGAGACGCCAGACAAAAGAGGAGAAAGCCCGATGCATCAATTTACGAGGGTTCTCTGCCTCGCCAGCTGTCATGGAGATGAACTCGGGACCGACCATACTGCATGACAGATACCATCAGCCATATGTCAGGGAAGCGGGATATATAGCGGATACCCACGTGAAGGAGCCCTGAATGACGCAAGAAACAAATCCGAGAAAGCGTCCGGTGTTTCCAGGAGCGAGGTACTCGACAAATGCGCCCTTCAAACAGGATTATTAGCAAGACAGCATGCAATGGCTGGCTTCGACTTACGGGGTTTTTCCAATAGGTAAACCCATAGGCCCAGTGCTCCGGATTGCCACCAACCATGGTGACAAAAGTGTAGCAAATGAGTCCCATCATGAGGAAGACCTTGAATATGGCCAGGTAAAATTCAGCAGTTCCGAAGTACCGGACTGCGAGCCCGTTGAGCCCACTGCAACGTCCAAATTAGTTTGTTCGCCATTCCACTGCCATTGGGGTAGGTGACGTACGCATAAATTACCAAGCAAATCATCACAACCGCGGCCACCGGAACTTTGTCGGTCCAGAAGGTAAGAAGAACATTGATCGCCGTTATTTCATATGGGATGGCAAAGGCTGGGTGTAGGAAATTTAGTTCCCGGGGGCCGGGGCGGGGGAGAAGGGGGCGGGTACAGAGGCCTCAAGGATTGGCACTTACCCATAAGGAAGAAGTAGTTCCAGCCCATCGCAAAGCCCCAGGCGTCATCCACCCAGAATCCACCCAGACGGATGAAAGGGGAAGCGATCGGGAGATAGGTAACCATTTCGGCTGCACAAGACGGCCATATCAGCGTGCGCTGTGCTTAGAGAATAGAAAACAGGAGGGCTCACCGAAGCATTGGTTGACACACCAGATGACGCTTCCATAAACAACAAAGCCCAAGAAAAGGCCTGCCGGGCCACCCTTCGGTAGACTTGCGCCCATCTGTACGAATAGAGCTATGAAACTAAGCCAATTGTATTATTTTTCTATGGATAAGGCTCACTTACACGTTCCAATAGCGCCGCCCACCGCCAACAGCTGGATTTCCTTTCCACCTAGTTGCCGTTGGAGGTGCTCCGAACCAGCGGAGATGAGCTCGGAGGTCAAGGCCTCCTCGGTGCCGTGCATTTCATGCAGGCTTTGATCGAGGCCGTTCATTGCCTTTGGGATGTCTTTGCGTTCATCCACCCCTGGAGAGTGTGTGGCGGCCTCCATGACAGTCGAAGTGCCTCAAGACAAGGACAAAAGAGGGTAAGAGGGTTAAATTAGTGGAAGGAGAAGAAAATGGATGAATTGCTGTTTGGTGAAGATCTGAAATTGAATAGAAAATGGTGGAGTTATTAACTTTATGCAAGGTCGAAGAACGAAGGAGCAACTTTCCTGATACGCCGCTACACGCCTCCCTCCTGCATCTCGAAGATACCCGCACTCTGAATCCTGAACGTGGCTCTTATCGCCCCACCTCCCCAGACCCAGCCATCTTGTTTCATGAGCGCCGCTTTTAAGTTTTGAGCCCCTCTTTTCCCTGGCTGGGAACTGACAGACGGTGGCGTAACCGACCACACAATAGTACGGCATGTCAGATAACGTATTTCGTGTATTTAATTATTCATTGCCTTTCCCGCGGAGAACATGCGTACCAGCCGGCATCGCATATAGGGCTAGGTGGGTTTTTGTTGCGGTTTCTTCGGTGACATTCCAGTACTGATTTTCCTCCAGCGAGGCGCTATCTCCACTTCTTCTCTTTCCTCGATCGTTTCCAAAATGTCGAAGACATTCTTGCCGCAGGGTATTCTGTAAGAAACAGGACAGCGATGATGGAGCTGGTCGGATCCAGCTGTTTGGGGATGTATCTTGTTCTGGAAGGAACGACCATGGTGAGTGCCCCAGCTTCAATTCGTCCGTGATTATAGCACAGTGTTAAATATAAAGCGCAGCTGCATGACATGAATATTTTCTTGGTTTCGTGGTACACGCCCATTCTGCTCGAAGCCTACAAGTTCTGGTTCTATGCTATCTGTATAGCAATTGCTAAAACCGTCTTGGATCTCCTCTTTGGCCCGGCGGCGCCCAGCACTCCAAACGGCTCTGTGGATGAGAAAAAGAAAGAAGAGGCATCGGGTAACTCCTCATCCTCGAAACCGGTCCCATTTACTGTATATCTCTTGAGTCGGCTTGTAATTGACAGTTTGGACTTGACTATTCCCGGGTCTTTACTGGGATGGATCACCGTGAGCGAAATGGGGGTTGCCATCGCCATGCTGGCAAGCACCATACTTGTCTGGCCAACTGCCTGGGCGAAAACACAACAGTAGATTGGGGTTGTTGAGAGAAAGAAGAGGATGGATGCGATGGGATACTCCAGCCCTGAATGAGATGGAATTAGAGACTTGGGATTGAAATAATCCCTGAATGGAGTACTTTAGACCCTCCATCACAATGGCTAATTGCAATACAAAATAAGTATACGGTAGCCTTTTCAGGCAATACTAGAGTGCCTTGCCATGTTGATGTGCTTGTGGGTACTTCCAGGTTCGGTATTGGCGATCCTTAGGCGGTAAATCGATGACTGCTGTCTATGGTAGGAACAGCCTCATAGCAGTTGAAGGTGGGACGTGATGAAACATTTGACTGGCTACGGAAGTCTTGGACAGTTTTGGTCCGCGGTGCCTGGACCCATGGTGTTGTGGTGGGTAAACTAACCCGCAATACTAGAGTGCATTACTAGAGTTGGGCCGACTTTAAAAACTACTGCAACTAGTAACTGGACTGCTTAAGTCGAAAGGGCTCGGGGGATGGAATATGATTCTTTTTAAATAGGGTGAGACTACAGCGACCCACCCCCGAGTATAGCGACCCCTCTTGGGCTAACTAGTTAATTCACTACTCACCCGCCACCCCAAAACACCCTAGTAAATGCGATATTGAACAACTTCATATCTTAACAACCATAGCTTATCACAATGTCATCTTATTAAATTATAATCTATATACTAAATCTAGCACATCTTCAAAGTTTCGGCAAACTTTAGATTATTTTGATGCAAAGATCTATATTTCCAGCTCGCAGAGCCAGATTACAATGTATTTTTGGGTAACACAAGATAAGAACCCTTGAGCTATCTTCAAGCTAAAGTATGTCATACCTCATGCCAAGGAACAGTTTTATATGAAGTTTCAAGCAAAATTGACCGTTAGTTGGTTGAGATATGGAGTTTTTAAATATCGCTTTTATTATGGTGTTTTGGGGTGGCGGGTCGGTGGTAACTAGGTGGCAGGGTGAGTAGGAAATTACGTTAGCTCTTCAGGGCGGCCGATTGGCTGGACTCTTCTGTATTGATAAGATAGCTTCAACTAACTAACGTAATCAACCACCGAGCGGCGAATACCACCGAGCGGCGAATTTCCATGCGCCCCATCGTATTATTTAGATTAACACTCCACAATTATACTCTATTAGACTATCTAAAAGACTAAATGAATAGCTATTTATTAGGACAACCTCGTATAGTATGCCCAACAGTCCTACAGACACTGCAGTGTTGTGGAGCTCGCTGGCGAGGCCTTGGTCTAGGCTCATCAACCTGCTCATTAAGCTGTGTATCAAGCTGCTGAACTCGATTTTGACCTTCTTGCACAAATAAAACAAGATCATTACCAAGATTAGCACGCCTCCTTGCCCTTTTTTTTATTTTCCGCTCGTTCTCCTCTCGTAGAATCTTAATTTCTTGTCGAAGAAGTAGGTTTGTATTCATTGCCATCTGCGCTGCTTTTTCGAGGTGTTGAATATGCGAGATTGGACTGCTAGAAAGCGTTCTTTTCTTTCGAAGACTTCTCTGTAGGCTCCGGGCCTTATGAATAACCTGACGAGGATTCTGAGGTGTCTGAAAAGTAGAGGAATTTGAACTTTCAACTTCTAAAAGAGGTGGTGTTGGCGTACGAAGTTGAAAGGTAATCTTTTCAAGAACTCAGTCTGGATCAAGTGGCTTAAGACCAGCTCCTGCGAATCCACTACATATGTTCTCCCGATTGAAGACAGTTTCGCGCGCAGGTGGATATAGATGTAGAAAGTCTTCCTTGTCAATGTGGTTGTTGCCGGCAGCCATCATCTCCTCAGTCAGTTTCCTATACGCGCGTTTAAGCGGCCCAAAAACACCAACATCCAGTGGTTGAAGAAGATGAGAAGTATGGGGAGGCATGCAGAGGCAGATTATTGCATTCTCTTTACAAAAATCATCAAATTCTGCAGTCAGATGGCTAGAATGGCCATCAAGAATAAGTAACCTCTTCGCACCAGTTGAGTGGCGTTTAGAATATGGTTCGAACATCTCCTTTAGCCAGCGAAAGCCAATTTCATCCGTTGTCCAGCCATTCTGGCTTCTAACAAGGGCATATCCCTTATTAAAAAGAGAAGGCTCCTGATACCAAGTAGCTTAGTGAGATTCGGCTTTTAGGATGATCCATGGCGGTATAGAAATCCCTGTAGAGCTCACGCATTCGATGATTGTGAGCCATTCGCGATTCCCCTGAATAACCCTACGAGGCCTTTCACTGCGCTCCACTGCGGTAATAACCTCAGAGGTTGAGCAGAGGCCCATTGCAAAGCCAGTTTCATCAAAGTTCCAGATATCACCCTCGTGGATACCATGTTCTTGAATAGCCTCTCGTACGGTCGCAAACCACTGTTTAATGATATTTGGGTCCTCCTGCTTTGCACGCTGGTATGTAATCCGCCGGTTATATCGTGTACGTAGTGCTGGATGGCGTTTAATAAACTTATACGTCCAGTTAACGCCAAGGGTTGCAGTAGGATCTTGTGTGCGGTCGCGAAGAAGAATCTGCGCCATTCCACGCAGAAACTCAGGCCGAATTGAAAATCCTCGTTTGTCAGCCTCTAGTAGTTTCTTCTCAAGCACCTCTTCTTCAAATTGATTTAATTTATGACCGTTGGCGCGTGTTTCTGCGCGTGATTTGCTTCCATTGAGTCGACGGCGAAGGGTAGTTTCAGGCACATTAAACGTCTCAGCGGCCTTCAATCTTGATCTGATTTTTTTATTTTGAATGCAGAAATAGCCATCTGAATGCGATTTTCTTGAGATAGAGGCATTTTGGATAGTGATGGTGAAAAATAACGCGTGAAGGAAATAATGCAGAAGGTAGACACGAAATTCGCCGCTCGGTGGTTGATTACGTTACAGTGTTTTGGTGGAGTCAGATGTGGGTCTGCTCACTAGATAGCCCTAGGACGGTGGATTACGTTAACTAACCCATGCCGGTCGCCTCTCTTTCGCTCCTGTGCATGATTTCCTCCTCCCTAACCGACCATCGACCGCTGCGATATGCGCGTAACCAAGGGCTGTGCTCGCTGTCGCCATCGTCACGTCCGCTGTGTAGTGCCCATCGGCGCCTCGTCATGCTCTCGCTGTACGCGCATGGGACGGCCATGTCATCTTGAGCCGCGCTTCCAGTTCAAGCCAGTGCGCCATATATACCAGCAGTGTGATAGTGCTCCGGCCCGCTTTGACCTCGTCTGGGATGAACAGCAGGTCTGGGTGGGGGTCTCACGGCCAGGTAAGCCTCCCTTGTGGTGGGATGACCAGCTTTCCTAGTGACAAAAAGCCCCTCCAGTGACTTTCGTGCGCGAGACCGACGACTTCACGCCCTCTGAGACTGACGACAAGGACCGAGGCCTTGAGCAGCCATATCCACCACCAGACGAAATCCAACCGACACTTCCAGAAGAGGTTGAATATGTTCCGACCGATATCTTTTCGAACGATTCTCCCAGTCACACACCAAGCGATGTCTGGGTACCGTCCCCGCGAGAGGCATACTTGATTCGTTGTTATATTCAAAAGATCGCAGCTGTGGTGAGTTTTCTACCGACGACTGGCATGGAGCGTGGCCTAACGGCAGCAGGCGGATATCTGTGACCCCCAGTCTCACTTCAGCACCGAAGTCCCACGCCGAGCACTAGAGGAACCAATGCTGCTGAAAGCTCTCCTGGCACTTGCTGCCAGACATGATGCCATCTTGACAAATCATAGCGACTGTGAAGCGTCGACCTTTCACGGGGAGTGTCTGGAACTACTCATCGTCGCCCTGAATCAACCAGAGGAGAATTATGACGATAATCTCTTCAGCACAGTGGTTGTGCTTCGTTTCTACGAGGAGCTTGAGAGGACGACCGACAGGAAATGCCACCTCCTCGGGTCCAACCGCCTGCTCAATCTCATGTCTCGGTCTGCGTCGTGCGGAGGATTGGCCGAGGCAGTGAGCTGGCAATTCCTGCGCCAAGCCATCTACTCATCCATAGCTCAGTATGAGCCAATACAACTGGATCTGCGGAATTATGAGCGTTCTTCGGTCTTTCATCGCGATGATGATGCGGCCCGCGCCAATGCCATCATCTTTTCCTGTGCATGCATCACTCAGCTATGCTGCGTCGCGCGGGGGTACGCCATTGACCGGAAAAGCTGGCAGCGACTGGCAGACTGCGTGGAGGAGTGGCACCGCAGTATGCCGAAGTCCTGGCAACCACTGCGATATCAGCCCCCGAATCTGTCCGCGGATCGACCCTTTCCTGAATTATGGATCATGTCCCCCCCTGCCGGTCTGTCTCGCACCCTCCCTGATGCGACGCAACGCTAACGCATCCTTTTTCCAGTGGTCGGTTTGCAATATTACCACGCCGCTAGGATATTTCTCACCTTGTCCGATGCGCCGTCGCAGGCGATGACGGACTATGAAATGGCCCGAGCCCGACTCGTTGCAGAAGTCTGTTCAGGTCACCTCCCTGTCGTGTTTCATCGCTGAGACCCAAAATAGAAAACGATTGCCAGCCATCTAGTGACTGCCATTGGACTGTCGTTATCGAATGAAAATGTTCAAAGCAGCTACTTCATTGCCTCGCACTTGCTCCAACGCTGTAAGTGCTTTGCTCGATGGACCACTTGGTGCTTTCTGACCCGTATCCAGTTGGATATTGCTTGCGGCAGCCAGCTGAGCAGCAAGGATCACTGCAGTTTCTGTCTCGCGTAGAGAAGCTCCTCGGGTGGCGCACCTCGTGGATCGGGCGAGAATTGGAGTGCCAGTGGATGGAGCTGGCCGCCTTTGACACCGAGGCCGGTTGAGAGTCTCTTTGGCGACAATCGGGTTTCTACCCCAGAACCCAGTCAGGCCCGACCAGCCCACGTTGAGTTTGCCGCATAATCCATTAGGCGCCTGGTGCACTGACTCCGGTCCAGGAGTATCTCGATTTCGACGTCAAGCCGGTGCGGAGCTCTCACCAGCGGATGAATTAGGAATAAAGCAAAAAGACAGAATTTCATGAATGGGTGCCCAGGAACCAAAATGGTTGCGAAGAAAGTTGGCGTAGCCATGCCTCATGTCTGTTCATATGCCCCGGTTCTAACTCCAAGCCTTTGCTTTTTCTCGACCCTAGAGCACTCGTTGATGCCGAAGGACTCGTCTTCCTTGGAATATGCCGGCTAGCAACCGCATCTCTCTCTTCTGTTTCTGGCGGAAGGGTCTCTTTCGTTTCCGCTCTGGATGAGTCACTTCGGTGAAGTCAATTTCAGTGACTGGCCTTGTTGGCCATTCCTCTACATCCGTTTGTCTCGGCTGTAACAGTGTGTTAATTCGCTGCTCCAGTGTCTCCTGAGGTGGCCCCTCTGGTAGCCTAGAGGCTTGTTGACGGCGCCGTTCAACCAAGTCCTATAGTCTTATGGTCTCCACTTGGCCCTTTCTTTACGTAATCTTTCATTCTGTCTAAGCGTATTCGTATATTGCCGTACTGTACCTATCTGGGCCGACGACTTAGTTATCCCACCCTACTTATATTCAAAGACGACTACCGCATCGCCACATCGCCTAAAGGCTATACATCAGTCGACATTGCCTTGGATTGACTTCGACATTTCAACAAACATACAAAACCCTGCGCACTTGGATATTCGCGGCTTTCCTTATGGACGATTACAGCTCTCACCTAACCTACGATTTTCTTGAATTTGGCGAACAATCCGAGACTATACGGTTCTGGTTTATTCCGCATACAGCACATCTTATACAGCCTCTCAAAGGACAGTCATTACAAGTCTACAAACACTGTTTTTGTACGTGAAATAATCAAATCTATCAACGGAGCGATTCAGCTACCGACCAAGCATATTTGCTTCGACCCAAGAACCAATCTATTTCTCATAATTTCAGTCACGAATTCACATTTATATACGTGATAGTTACGGGAACGGCGCGTCCGTCAGGCGGCAGATTACTGACTTAGCCTGGGTATAGTTGTCCAGGGCGTAGGAGCCGAGCTCACGGCCAAGGCCAGACTGCTTGAAGCCACCAAAGGGGGCTTGGTAGGAGAGCATGTTGTAGTTGTTTACCCATACGGTGCTGGGACGGGTTAGCCATATATAGAGAGAGAGAGGCAGAAGTAAGGGCGAAATCTACCCAGCTTTGAGGGCGTTGGACACGCGGATGGCGCGGTTGAGGGTCGTCGTGTGCACGGCAGCAGCCAGACCTGAAAAGATATTAAATCAGAAGCGGATTGACATATTTGGATCCTCAGGGTTGTCCAAGACGTACCGTAGCTGGTGCTGTTACCTATCTTGATAGCCTCGGCCTCATCCTTGAACTTTTGGACAGCAATCACGGGACCAAAGATCTCCTCCTGGGAGATCTTCATGTCCGGAGTGACATCGGTGAAGATGGTGGGCTGGATGAAGTAACCCTCAGTGCCATGACGCTCGCCACCTAAGACGACGGTGGCGCCCTCCTTCTTGCCGTGGCTGATATACTCCATAATGCGGTCAAACTGGAGCTGCGACACCTGCGGGCCCTGGAAGGTGTCTGCCGCGAAGGGGTTGCCGACCTTATTCTGGGCAGCACGCTCCTTGAAGCGGGCCACAAACTTGTCGTAGATGCCCTCTTGGACTAGCAGGCGGGAGCCGGCGCAGCAAGATTGGCCGTGGTTGAAGAAGATGCCGAAGTTGGCCCAGGAGATAGCGTTGTCGATGTCAGCGTCGTCAAATATGATATTGGGCGACTTGCCACCCAGCTCAAGCGTTACTTTCTTTAGGTTACTCTTGGCGGCTGCCTGAAGGATGGTGCGGCCGACTAGAGTGGACCCAGTGAAGGCGATCTTGTCGATATCCATATGGCTGGAGATAGCAGCACCCGCGGTGCGGCCGAAGCCCGAGAGGATATTAACAACGCTAGGGGGAAGCCGGCCTCGACGATGAGCTTGGCGGCGTACAGGCCGGATAGCGGCGTCTGCTCGGCGGTCTTGAGGACGACCGTGTTGCCGGCAGCGATAGCGGGACCGATCTTCCAGGCCCACATAAGGAGGGGGAAGTTCCAGGGGATAATCTGACCGCAGACGCCGACAGACTCGTGGCGGGTGTAGATAAGGGTCTCGACGTTGGAGTCGATGGTCTGACCGGTAATCTTATCGGCCCAGCCACCGTAGTAGCGCAGGGTGGCGGCCGAGATAGCCACATCGTTCTTGGCCATGGTCACACTCTTGCCGTTGTCCAGGGCCTCAATAGATGCCAGGGTCTCGATATCGCGCTCGAAGAGGTCAGCCAACCTGGTGAGCATGCGGCCGCGGTCTGACGGCGTCACGGTGTGCCAAACACCCTCGAAGGCCTCGCGGGCGGCTTTGACGGCGATGTCGACATCTTTTTCGGTGGCCTCATGGACGGCGACGATGGGCTTTTCGGTGGTAGGGTTCACCGTCTCGAAGGTCTTACCTTCGACGCCCTTGACGAACTGGTTTTTGATGAACCTAGAGGAGGGGTATTAGCACTTGGGGTGGAGGCTTTATGAAGTCATCACTAAAAGGGGGAGCACGGACAAGCGCAAGGGCTGCTCATAGGTGACTGTGGGGGTCTGGATGGTCGTAAACAGAGACATGACCTGTACCGGGATCACTGGAGGAGAATGCAGGAGAGAAGGAACAAGAGGAAGAGGGAGTCACCGAGGTCGGTTCTTATAGATGACAAATGCTGCCGTCGACACTTGGTGTCGGGATCGACCTGGGGGACACGGGTGTAGACAATAATTTCCTTCGGTATATATCTCGGAAAACAAAACAAGCTTTCCGTGGGAGTTTGTCATTATTAACATTGTTAGCCACGAGGGGTATAATGCCCTACTAACACTCTTTATCAAAGCGGAGTAAGATTCCTATGTGGTCCACTAGGCGGATTAAGATGCTTTTTATGTCAATTACGCGGTATAAGATTCTATGATAAGTGTCACACTAAACTCTAATCAAACCGCACTTGGAAGCTCAGATCCACACGTGAACTTAACTTGGTTTCCACTATTGCTGTTTCTCCCGCAATCTAGAACCTATTATCGAGTTCTTTTATCTAATATATCGACCGGGTTACCGGTCACAAGGACAATATAAACGATAGGGAACCAGATAAATAGACATGCGCCAATGTAGTAGTTTGACGGTACTACATCTAACCGTACGCCACTGCAGTCTAGACCACGGACGAACTCCTACATGATCCGAACCTATGCCGCATCCATCTCACTCAGGATTTTACTTTTTTTTTTTTTTATCAACGCTTCCAACTATGACCTATGGCTCCTGGATTAGGAATACATCCAGGTTTTGACTCTGGTGGTTGATGAGGGCCTCCGTTCCTGGGGAATTTCTAGGGGCACCCGAAACTATGTAACAGGTTAGGATAACTAATGTAATTCCCAAGCGAGCGGACCCTCCATAGCATATCAGAGAGTTCTGAGAATAATTATATCTGCGGTAATTGAGAAATACATATTTCTGGCCAGTTGATCTAAAGGGTATTGCAATATAATTCAATTCGAAATAGCCCAAAATTGATATATGTTGCTCTTTATGCTTGAAAACGCTTATATAGTAACAATAAGGTCAAATTAAGCAATGCTTGTTGATTTACAGCTTTACAATAGAACTTGCGTGAAAGGCCTTATATACAGCGGCGAAGTCTCTTTGAACTTTACATGTCTGAACGAGTATCCAGAAAACCCAAAGCGAGATCCTTGATATAACGAAGAGGAAAAAAATCGCTATTGAAGAGATGTTTGCTATCAACGAGGACGAAAAGACGGCGCAGAAAAAATCCCTCGCGCAAATCAAATCGCTTCGTTCCACAATGGATGAAAAATAAGTTTGCATTGCAGAATACTCCAAGCAAATACAGGCTGCCCAACAACAGATAGCGGACCTCGAATCAGCCAGCTCACGGGAGCTCGCTAAAGTCTCACAGTCTGCCAAATATATCAGCACACTCCAGAATAATTTGAAAGAAAAAGACAAGACAATTGACAAAATGAAGACCGTTAGCTCAAACTTAAAGTCGATGTTTTCATCAGAGCAAAAGAAAAAGGAAGAGCTAGAGGCCACCAACGCCTCAATAGGTAGAGAGCTGCATACAAGTATAGGTCGTCTTCAAAGTCTGGAAGGTTTCCTTGTTGAGCACTCAGAGATTGATGAAAAATCAGTGTAAGTGGTGCGTACTGTAAAAATTTGATATCATCCATATGCTGACAACCTCTGTCCATATACACAGCACGACGAGCTTCTCGAATCTTTGGGCTTTCGCTGCAAGCGAAGTATTTCCATTCTTAGAGCAAGAGGTTGCTGCAAAAATCTTGAATGTTTGTGTTCAACCACTTTCTGCCACGCTTTACGCTAATTGGATTGATAGGACAAACCGACCTAGGAGAAACTTAGAACAACAAACTTCAGAAATCTGCCACACTATGTACCTCTGGTCCCTTCAAACACCCCCGGAGCCAAAGGGATGCGCTTTGCTATGACCCTAGCTGTTCTGTCAAGGGAGATTGACCGACACATATTTCGACCGATGTACATTCTTCCAGGAGATGCCCAGATTCGCGATATCCTCAGTCATCTTGCAGAGAGGAACAGCGAGAAAGAAGCTTTCTGCCGGCGTGTGCTTCTCTCCATTGATCCTGATGCCGAAAATGAGATTACCCAGTCTGAAATTCGAGCCGTCGTCCGGAGTATGTCGTCATATGTGTGGGGGCTGCTCTCCGAAACACAGCATGATTCGTTTTGCACAAGCATCGAAAGGATAGTGCAGAATGCGGTTGAAGTTTGTATTCCAATCCAACATGCGCAACAGAAATATGAGACTGATTTCGAGCTATCTGATCTCGAGGACGATGAATGGAGGCACTTTAACTTTCCTAATGATTATACAGCTCAGAACGAGTAGGACCTTAATCTTCTCACCGTGTTCCCGTGTATCTCGTCGGTGAAAGACGGCGATCGAGAGTCCTTGACCGATATTATTCAACTCCGCAGCTTACAAAAATTGTGCTTGGCAGCGCAGAATGAGGCCACTCAAATAACAAACTCCGCCATCGCAAGGAGATCATCGAATCGTTCCAGAAGAAGATCAAATGCTCAAAGCACTGCGGGCTCAACTGAGCAGACTTTTTTGATTGGAAGTCCAACCATAGAATGATTGTTTGGGTGTGGAAAAGGCTTCGCAAACACTGATAGCACTGGAGAATTAATAGGGAGCAGGTTGGATCGCCCCGGCATCATTTCCTAAGAGGTCCGGAATGGGAGAGGGAACGGAGTCATTGCCGGAGTACACAAATTTACAGCAACGACCAAAGACCGTCTCGTCAATATTACCATCATAGGCCGTGGTCGGAAAAGAGTTCTCCAAGGCCTCATGGATTGAGAACCGCTTTCGTCTTCTCCGATAAAAAATTTACTACGGGTGTCTCTATCCTTTTCTAATAAGCCTTATCACTTAATTTTCGATAGCTCGGTATCATTTCTGTTACCAACAACCGGTTAATGGCCCTGACGATGCCCCAAATGATTGACAAACTCTGTCTCATTTATGATCAGATATTAAGATTAGATCATGCTAAAACTTCGACCTCCAACTGACGCACCCATAGTCTGCCATAACCAAAGACTCCATCTTCTATGTCAAGTTCCAGCCAGAGTTTCATATCGTGTCGCGCGATAAGGTCTTCACAAACAGGGGCCACGAAGGTCGAGCCTAGATCTTATTCTAGCATCCCTAGGACTAAGTAGGAGGGTGCTATCATGTCATATCCACGCGGTGGAACATGGGTCGGACCACCGAGCAATCCATACGACCTTCCGAACTGAAGCACGACAAAGCCCCCCTGCCAAACCCCGTTTTCTGTTCCGCGAAGCACCGTGGGACGACATCAACCGAGACTTGACATATTTACAGACTGAGATCATAGACATCACAAACCAGGCGGAGCTAGAGGCCGCAGTGGGAAGCCTGACGAGAAGGATAGGCCAGACAGTCGACCGGCTCGTCCCAGTAGCCCGGCCATCCCCATATGGCAAGCGCTGGTGGACCCCAGAATTGACAAGGATGCGTGATGAATACACTTGGACCCGGAATCGATGCACCCAGGCCCGACGATATGGATATGTTCTAACTGAACTAGAGGAGGCGGCATCATACCTGAGAAAACAATACCAAAGGAAGATCCGAGACGCCAAGCGACGGCATTGGAAGGAATTCTTAGACAATACCGACAACATATGGAAGGCGGCACGGTACCTAGAACCTAGGGACAGAGTCATGGGAGTGATCCCTACCTTACGCATGGCAGAGCAGACTATCAAGGATGACCGGGAAAAGGCGAATACACTCTTACAAGCCTTCTTTCCGCCATTACCTGACATCCCGGAGGCACCGCCTAGAGATACACCGCGGAGGGAACCCCTCCACATGGAGCTAGTATCCCCGCATGAGATTAAAGCAGCTCTAATGAAGATAGCCTCATGGAAGGCTCCCTGTTGTGATCTATCATACACACCGGAATCTATTCCTCTCCTCCACGGAATTACCAGTATTGATTACTAATCAATCTGGAGGTCGGAAGCTGTATATAAACCCTCAAGTTTCCTGTCTAAAGAATATGTCAAGATGGAAAATGACAGTATAGACTAAGAATTGCGCACATGGTGCATTTTTGGTCTAGCGGTTATTTTGCCCAGATTCTGAGCGACAGTTATGAGCCCGGATCGCTTTTGTTACGGATGGCATTGCAGGTCGGACGTTCGAGCCCAAGAGCCAGCAAACAAGGTCGCGGAGGGATAGCCCAATTTGGCATCACCTATATTATGACCAGCGGCAGCTAGGGACAGATTATGAACAAGACCAGAGAAAGCAGCCCCGTGCACTTCCCACCTTTGGAAAGTCTCAGGAACCCCCCAAACATAGCTGTTTTTGGATGCTCCCTGGAGGGGTGTGTCAAGATGGAAAATGACAGTATAGACTAAGAATTGCGCACATGGTGCATTTTTGGTCTAGCGGTTATTTTGCCCAGATTCTGAGCGACAGAATACAAGCAATCTTTCTCTGAATTACAACAGGGGGTATTAAGTCAGAGAGGCTTTGCATACTGCATCAGCGACTAGCCCAGATTCCTTCTTCAAACACTATACCTCTGATGTTGGAATCCCCTGATCAGGAGGAGCTGAGTGATTGTATGGCATAAGAGCAATGTAAAACATTATAAGATCGCTGTCAGTCACTAGGACACTCAGGTTTTGTTTCTCGGGCCGTATCCGAAACCATCCTAATCTGTGTTTGGTTTAGCGTAGATTACCATTTTAAAATGATCGCTACGTTCTAGATTACCTGTGCCATCAACCCCGCCTGCTTGGTCAATCGGCCAGCAACGAAAGCTTCACCATGGTAGTCGACATCATCCATCGACGCACCTCACCCTCTACCAAACTATCGTTTCTAACTAATACACTGTCCTCTGTTTCATCTATCTGTCGAATCTCCATCTTAGTCCATGGATGGGGTTGCCAGGCCACACACTTCATCCCTCTTATCGCCCGCCTAAGCGCGGACGGAGAAGACGCTGACCACGGCCATCTCTACCTGGCGGTGGATCTTCCAGGCCACGGCGAGTCACCAGCATGTATCTTGCCCGAGCCTGAGAACGGCGGCGTGGCTGAGCTCGTCGTCGCACTAGTCTGCGAGGTGCTCCATGAGCAGAAATATTACCATGGTCTCAGCAAAAAAGAAAAGCCGATTCCAATCGTGTTGTACGGTCATAGTATGGGCACACTAACGGTCTTGGAATTGTTAACGGCATTCCAAGGCCTTAGCCTGATGGAGGTTTCTCACCTGGTTCTACTCGATGGTGCTTGGACCGGCGAACAAACGGCCGGGCCGTTGAATTATGACGACCTACGAAAGAGAGCAATACAATACCGAGAGTCAATTCAAGAGCGGTTGGGACAGTATTTCGGTCCTCGAACTTCACCGGAATTTGAAGCTAAGACCCGCACCAGCTTCGCTGGCTTGGATTATGAGTATGCGCTACGCATGGGTCACTGGTATCATGGAGTGGGAGCCAAGGCCGCACAGTCGCTACAGAATCTTGACGCGAGGAATAGGTTGTTGTTGGGTTCCCGAGACAAGCCCGTTCGTGTATTGATTGTGCAGAGTCAAGAGGCTCAGGGACCCGGTGGGAGACATAGCCTCGTCAATGGACAGACTACTGCGCACATGTATTTTGTCCGTCGCCACCTTGCCTCGGAGTGGATGCAAGAGCTGGTAATAGAAGGGACGAGTCATTATCCCCATGTGGATGATGTCGACGAGGTTGTGGCATGCCTGGCTAAGTTCTTCAGTCAATAGGCGGCAAATAGTTGAAGATGTCGGGATTCCACTGTCGGGATTCCACCCATGGAACCATGGACAAAAGTTCTGCAGCACTAAACTGCATTTGTTTTTTGACATTCTTGGCATTGTGCGATCATTTCGCTTACTATGCGTTCTGTACTATAAAAGAGATAGCTTGATTATACTCAGAATGCCAGACTTCTTCTATCTTGAGATCTTGACTACATCCAGACATTACCACCCAGAATTGGGTAATGAGTAGTAGGTCTGGTATCCACTTTGTTCGACAGAAGAACAGGGGCTGTTTGAACAGAAACTAGATGCCGATTAGCGTTTGGGCGGCCTTGCAACCATCGTCCGCCGTAGAAAAAAGGAGCGATATTCATAACGACACCGGTTTATTTGTCTGGCTCGCTCCAACCCTCGGAAAATCAGATCTTCAAATTTATTCAGCCCAAATGCTGGCGAAAATTGCACTGAATAATAAACCTTTCTGAAGTATTGTGAGATCGGGAATCGCCTTACAGAGCTCTTACGGCTCACGTGAGGTCACATGATCGACCCCTTGTGTATTTAATTGTTGCTGCACTAGTCATTTTACGATACAACACTCATTTCGTCTTACAGTATTACCAAATGCATGTCATATGACTAGAGTGTGCTGGGGTGTTCTTGCGGGAACCACAAGGACAAAGGCCCTGCAAGTCGACCTTCGAGGTCTCGTAGACCAAGACCCACTCCGATTCCGATGTCAGCGATCTCGACTCTGGCTTCCTTCCCGGCTCGAGTCGCTTCAATGATTTTTGATCCATTTATCGTTTCACAGTACTAACTAGCGTCATCATATCACGATGCGCCGGCACAACGGCCTCTTGTCATCGTGCGAGCCCTGCCGCCGAGGCAAGCTCCGCTGCGACCACAGTGTCCCCACTTGCGGACGGTGTCGTCGTAAGGACAAGGCAGCTGCCTGCGTGTACAAGCTAAGTCCAACACGGGCCCGGCAGTCGAAGGCAGACATTGCTGCGGCGACGCCCCCAAACCCCGCGACCATGTCTCCGACACCACAAGTGACGGTGCACGCTTCGCCGGGACCCCGATCGCTGGCGGGCCCGCAGTACGCCGTGCGAGACCGCTACATCGAGAACTGGAACCACCGGCTGGCCTTGAACTCCACTCCAAGCTTCCTGGGGCCAACGAGCTTTTCGGCAGTCTACAGCGAGAACGAGGCCAGTTTGAAGCAACACTCGTCTGTCACGCCGCTGCGGCTGCCGGAAATTAGACTGCCCGACGTCGCCGACGCGATCGACGACCACCAGGCGCAGTTAGGCGCTGACTTACTGTCGCTGCTCTTCGATGACTTTGGGCTGTACCGCCGGACGGCCATAGCCTGCGATGAGCAGATTAGCGAGGGCATCCTTGGCCTGCCGACCGTCCGTACCCTCTGCGACCTCGTCGAGGGGATGTATAACAGCGTGCCGGATCATCTGGACCCGCAGTCGCGGCTGCTGGCACTTTCGCGGCGGCTATTCGAGGGCACCGCCCGTGAGCTCGTCACGCACGCGACCATGACACTCGATGAGTATCTCGTTGCCCTCGCAGGCCGCTGGGAAGTCATCGGCTTCATCCTCACCATGTCCGGCGTATTCGCCGCCCACGCGACCCTTGACGACCCGACCTTCCACGGCCTGAGCCTCACCGCAAACGACCACAAGAACCTAGGCATTCTGGCCACTGCTGGCGGCGACCAGTGTCTGCAGTTCTGCGACAGCTTGGGTGTCATGAGCGACACCCTCGGCTGGCTCCTGATTCGACACATCCATCTGCTGACCTTAGTCTGTGGCGACTATGGTATGTCTCTTCAGGCACCGAGAGGGAATGATAGCTAATGACCAGACTATCGCCACGGAAACGCCTCGGAGAACTCTCGACCCTCCTCTTCGCCATTGGCTATCACCAGCTCGATGCCGGTGAGCATCTGCCCTTCTTCCTTGCCGAAGGGCGGAAGCGGCTCATGGCGTCCGCCTATGCCCTTGACAAGGAGCTGGCGACGTTTCTGGGCTGTCCTCCGCTGATCGCTTATCGCTTCTGTCGCATGCAATTGCCTCTGGACCTGGAACCGGCCGAAGTGATCGCGGAGCCAGCCGTGCGCGGGGCCGCCATCCACAGACTGGACGCCAATGGCTGGAACACAAAGGCTCTCATCAATGGTACTTCGTGGTGTCGGATGGCCGTGCTCCGGGGCCACGTCCGTGAGCTCGTGCTAGAACTTTCTCTCGATTCCGGGGATTTTGATATTCGGCAACGCGTCGAGTATGCTCCTCTTAATCACTCCAGTGCGATACCCTGCTAATTCCCCTTCAGCGAAGTTTCGTCTCTGGCCCAGCAGGTGCGTAATGAAATTCCATCATACCTGCAGTGGGACGGGAACACCGAAACCACCATGCGGCTGACCAACACATTTGCCGTCTACCTTCATCTCGATCTGCTGTACAGCGACTTCCTCCTGCAGCGCATCCTCGTCAAGCGGTCCGTGGGGGAGTCTGAAACCCTGATCAGTCTTGCAAACCAGATGCTCAAGGCCGTCCTTGCCCAGATTTCTATCAGTCAACGATGCGGCAGACCTTACAGTCTCGGATGGACGGTATCCTCGCCCTTGTTCCCTCAGCACACCGATATTGTCGCATGCTGACGTTATAGATCCCCTACTTTGGCCTTCCCTCGGCCGGGATCCTCGCCATTGAACTTCTCCGCCGGACTCAAAACCCTCACCCGCGGCCGAACAAGAAGCCCTTTCCCCGCTCAGAAGTGATCCAGAACCTCAGCATCCTCGCCTCACATATTCAGTACATCATCCTGCCCCAGAAGGGCAACTATGAGGTCTGCCAACAGGGCCGCAAGGCCATTTTGTACATTCTGGATCACGTACTCTCCACGCACGCGGATGCCACCGCACCGGTTTCTACGGTGCCGAGCGACTTAATCCCCACGGACTGGCTGAATGACGAGTGGTTGAATGACGGGACCGAATTTATCAGGTGGATTGACACGCTGAATTGGGATGTGTAAGGTCGACGATCTGGATCGCTGGCCTGTCGACTCTGATGCATTTGGATATCTGTTCGCACTCTCAGCCACAAAGTCCATTGAAGCCTTGAAACAGATGGATGTGCCTTGAAGTCAATTACCACTTGCGGGCGGAATATTGACCTTTGATTAGCAACAGCTTATTAAAAAAGCCACCGATTGTTAGGCGAGTTTCTCCTTGCTCGGTCGGTTCAAAGATGTTCAAGAATGTTCTATATCTATTGGAGTTTACAAGGCCCAGCAGCCATAGGTTAGGGTATACTGGCTTTACAGTCGATGGATAGGAGGGTGATTTCATTTACCCCGAACACTCGCCGGAGCGATCTATAGGACGCCATAACTAAACGTGCCCGTTCTTGAAACAATTCCAAGCAGCTGGATGATTACGCAATGGAGAAGCGTAACCAATGTTAACAACAAGGATCTTCGGCTCTGAATTCATGGAGTTGGCAGGTGTCAGTCGGGAACTACACTAATTCTCGTGTCTCACCCCAGCTCCTAGTTCATTCCTCTTCGGATATGTGATGACCTATTGTTCTCTCTAACAGGCAGCTAAGAATAAAAGGAGTGGATAGGAAAATTACAAGCGGAATTGCGCGATCGTTATGCTTCGAATTACGAACATAGGGAGCGTTTTGATACCATGTGGAATCAGTCTCTAATCTAATAATCAATAAACTCGGCTCGCGAGGCAGCGACTCGATTCAGCATGCCGATGGGGAGTTCGGGGTCGGGGTTCGGAGTCGGAGTCGGAGTCGGGGTAGCGTATGTGCTATGAATTTGGGTTTCGCGTTCAGTGCCGGAGTTCAAGCCCGAAGGTATTCAGTCATAGGGTCATAGCTCAACAGCAAGAGGAAATCTAAACTTGCACATCTGCATGGCCTGTCACACTAATAGGGTTAGACTCCGCACAGCAATGTCTAGTTAACAAGCGAGTGTCTGTCGGAGTCGGAGTGAAGCTATTCAATCCGGAGTTGAACACCGAGCATTAGGGTGCCTTGCCTCTATATAAGAAACGAACAGATTCTAGGTGACCTGAGGGATTCTACATCAATCAATATTTTTCCTATCGGGATTGTGATTACCATCCCACGCTCTCATCTTACTCTGACTTGATATTTACTCGAATAAGTACCGGATATACATTACTGGACCATCTCATTCAATCTGATATATACGACAACACAATAATGGCGCCCTTCACCATCCAGCGACCACCCTCCGCACCTGTCACTCTCCTCCCATGCAGCGATATTCAGCTTGCGGCGGATGCGTGGAAATTCATCAAACGACAGGCCCAGCAACTTCGTACACGACCACATTCGGAGACTGAAACAGTTTCAAGGTGTTATAAGACGGAGTTGGCGGAGTCTGCTATCAGCAAAGCAGGTACGCTGGTTGTTGACGAAGGGTTCACGATGGGGACGATGGGAAAGAAATGAATCTTTAGTTGGATCGATGTAAGTGTTCCCCTGCTTGTTCTTGACTTCCTTGGCAGGGAGTGTTTGTGTGCGGGGCTAATTTTGATCAGGGAGCCAGGAAAGGGAGACTGATTGCGGCAGAAGACTGTACACATAGGGACCTGTTTCTTTAAGCCGGAGTTACCCTTCAGAGTGATCAGCGAACGAAAAGCGAAAGCACGAAAAAGAAACAGTATATAGGAACATTACTTGTGAGCCTTGAGGGCAGAAGAATCGTCTAGTCATCCAGCGAAAATTCTGGCAGATGAGTAAGGTCTTTAGCTATGCTCGTACCAGTCTATTGTCTGTTGTCATCTATGTGTAGCTCATCTAATCCATCCGTTTGCCTCGCTCTTGCGGTGCTTCGGTCGGTTAGGGTTTTTGCCTTAGAACGCTTGCATTATATCAAAAATCTCAACAGCGCGTCGTGACTAGCAAGTTATATCTGCTACTGGTCAATCATATTTTAATTTACTGTGGATTTGTGCTTTGAATCCTTTACTTTAGCTTATCCTGCTCGAATTGAGTTCATTCAAGTATCTCCAGCAGCTAGTGTCTCCGCCCTCGATATGCTGTTTGGGTCCAAGTACGGTTTCTCGCCAATGCCAACCGCCCGGTGGCCATATCGCTCTCCAAGTCCTTTGTAGTCAAATGTGGCAGTGTGAAAAGCGCAGCGGTTGTTCCATATGGCTAGAATAGTCGGTTAGAAATGAATAATGACGCAAGTTAATGCGACTTACAAATATCGTTCGGGTTTCTCCACTTGAACCTCACCTGGAGGTCGTGGTTCTCGAGGATAGTATTGTAGAATTTCTTCAGCAGCTCGTCCGATTCGTCCGGGCTGAGCTCGTTAATTTCTTTGGGGAATGGCCCAACAGCCCACACACTCTTCCAACCCGTCACAGGGTTGGTCCGCATGATAGGACGAACCGCGGTCAGCTCCTTGCCAACATTCTGCGGGTTACCCCGTGCCTCAGCATGGACGTAGACATTTTCTGGGTCTGCCTTAACAGCCTCGAGGGAGCCCGAGCCAATATAGGTTGTAGTCAGACTGTCGAAGAACTTCTGGTATGTCTGGTCCAACAATAACAATCTCCCCTCCAATTAAGCTATGACGATCTTCTAGGCCATCTTACACTGTCAGGTGTTGTTAGGGCTATTATTCGCCTGCAAACAACCATTAACTGGTTAGGATGGTCGTTGGCTGCTATCATCACTTGTTGAGGTTCTCTGGCCATAGAGATACCTCGTAAGTGATGACTAGCACACACCGCATAAAAGGAGGTGGAGAAGGAGAAAGAGGTCTCCCAGCAGATCATCAAATTACTTGGCGCAAGGTTGCCTTCACCATATGATTTGCAGAGATCCACCATAGAATCCTATAGAAATACATGGGCTTTCTTTCCATACGGTAATGTAATCTCATGTCACATATTACTGTAATCTACACGACGCAATTTACTGACCCCCTCAGTTTGATGCGGCCCGTTTAATAAATGATCCGCGCTAAGTTCTTGGCGGTGGGGCCGGGAAAGAGTATCTCTGTGTATATTGGTCAAGGCGATTTCGAGAATGGCTGTACTGGATTGTACATTGCTCTTCCAGTTATTTTCCCGCCTTTTTCTTTCAGGACAACGATTGCTCGACTTCGGGGCTAACGTCTCCAAGCGTCTTTTGAGATTTCTCCAAAAATTCCGAACCGAATGTATTTAAAATAACGTCATCTAAAGGTTCGCTCCTAATGTCGGATCGTTCGTATGTAGACTCTTGACGGGGTAATGGAGGCTCGGAATGACCACAGGATTCCAAAGGGGCATTGGCTATCGCACCAAATTTATGACGTTCGCTTTGTGGGGCTGTTGCAAGTAATTTTAGTCCAAAGTAATACTCAAGCCATCGTCAAAGCTCACCATGTGCAACATCGCCTTCAGTAGTCCCAACTGCCTCTTGTTCATCCTCCTCAACTGGGAGACGATTTGTTGAAGAAAGCTCAAAAGGTTGAATACAATCGAAGCACTTGCAAGGCAGCCTGGAGGACGAATCGGTCACCGCAGCTTTGTTTGACAAAACGTGATTGCTCTCGCCATCCAAAATCGCCCAAAATTCAGGAGTACTCAGAATCTCCGTGTCAGCATCAGAGTCATGTGGCCCGAATTCATCTTCCGCACCATACTTTTCGCTATTGTCGATGATGATTGGGTTAGAAGTAGAGCCCGTTAGAGTAGACGGATTACTCAGTATGCCAGGACTAGCTTTAGTTCCTGACTCTGGTAACCGGGAAGAATCACACATAATCGGAGTTTTTCAGTCGTACACAGCAACTAAATGTTGTCGTAGCTGATCAGCGAAGCAATTTTCATCACCGGGACATCTCGTACATACCCAAGACTTTCCACAATTGGTCTGTAGAAGCGGGTTCATCTGTCGGTTCGCAGGAAAAAATATGTCGTGTAGGGCGGTGATTTCAGATATTAGTGGGATTCGTATGAATGTCTCCAACCACGAAAAGGACAAGTAAGCACAGCCTTTAATATCTTCGCGTTTACCTTGAATTGACACCCAATGGGTAGCATCCTTTAGTCAAGAACGAAGATAGTCTTTCTACTAGGCTTAGTAACCGCAATATTAAAAATTGTCCAAGAATTCGACCCGGATCCTCACTGCTCTTGTTTGTCGCATCCTAGTAAAAGATGTTTACATTCCCAGGCGCTCAATGAGTGCTCCTAGGAGTTGAATATCCATTGATACTCCTGGGAAGACACTGCTTGCTCCGAGGAACACGAATTTCATTCTCGCAAGTCGTGTTGCATTCCTCGGAAAACCTTGCACGAACTTAGAACCACTCTTACGGTTTACATTTCGTTGGCGGGCATATATCCAGTGATGCTGCTGTGCGTACGGAGAGTACGTTTGCATGAGCTGCGGTGAACCTAGGTCACTCAGTAGGTTTAAACAGCCTTTTAAACTTACGATTGAACAACTCTAGGCACTGACCACTGAAACTGAGGATAATATGAATCTACCCGTCAGGAAGGTCTAGCAATAGATATTCTGTACTATAGTCTAATCACCAGTTCACATGAAAATGGACTGGTTGAACAACCGAACGTGGCGTGGTTCCACCAAAGAATTCTTCTTCGTTTGATGGTGTGATCATGACAGTTGATCGGTTAATTTGCACGCGTGATTAATCCTCCTAACTGAACTGACTCTGTTCAGCTCCTTTACTTGATTATGCGCGGTTACTTGTTAGAAATTTTGCAACATAACTCATAAACCGCTGGTTTAATGTGCCCCACTTAGATATTATGCTACCAACCAATGAATGATGTAAAGAAGGGCTGCATGATAATCGAGTTGAATGCTACCATTATACCAACTGTTATTCGACACACTGGGCTGTGTGCTACGTACAGTATAGGGGATAATTTGAGCAGAATGAGCAGAATGAGGATAGTAGTGGTGGTAGCACATTGCACAAGCGATTGTTTTTCTTGACTTACATACCTCTTTGATGTCGAGATGTCGACTAACTTCGCATACGCACCAGTTCTCACAATGCATCCAGTGTTGGTCGTTTGTTGCATGATATACCGTGAAATAATCCATCGGTACAGCTATTATGCAAAAAGAGAATACTGTTTGAGTTGTTTATACCCTCAATTACCTGCGAGTGGTTGGAAGTCTTCCCCAGTGGTGACTGGCAGTCAAGCTACGGTGTTTTCTTACAATACGCATACAGTAGTCTATCTATAGATAAAATATAGAGAAGTTGGGTTTCGCAGAATATGTCACGGGCCCACTCAATCGATTAGTTACTCTGAGACTAGCTGCCAATATAGTACTGTAACAGAGGATTCCCATCATTGCAATACATTTCTCGTAAATGCTGAGCCGCATGCCCTGGCTTCCAGCTGGCTCTTTGAGGCCCTATTGTCTATCGCACCTATAGACACATTGTACAGTACTTCTCTGTGCAAGAAGGGTTCTAAGTCAGAATTTGCGTACTGTACGCCTACCGCAGGAACGGTGTAACATTAAACCTGGAGACCTTGGTCCAACATGGAGCATCGCTAAAATACGTTCCTTGTGGCGATATCGTTGAGCGCGCAGCTCAGTTATACGACTATGAAATTCTGATCCACTCACTGACCCTCATCTGAGCGCCCTGGTTTTGCTCGGGAAGGCAAATAAAAAGATCTAAATATCCATTCTATTGACTAATGTTAGATAGCAAAAACAGGAAGCTATTGAAGAAGCCCATGAGAGTAGAGCAGAGCATCCGGCTGTGATCTTAGGAGAACCCTTCTCCCTTGAGCGCGGCTCTCAAACCCACAACTCCAATGCGGAGGAGATCAACATTCTCCTCGATTTGCTTCCGCGTTTCTCCCTGCGAATACTCGTCGATATCCCACGCCGCCCAGACAAAGCGACCGTGTAGAAACTTAGCCTCTTTGGTGGTGGCCCAGACAGCAAATGAGCCTGGAAGCTCGACTATCGGCACAAAGTTAATAAATCTGCCTATGCTGGACGAAGAGGGGAAAGATACCATCATCGAATGGCAGGTCAGTCTTCTGGATACCGATCTTTGGATACTGGTCATTGTAAATCACGCCTGGATGGAAGTTGATAATTTGCAAATCATCGGCAGAGACGTCTTTGGCAATCTGCTGCAGCAGCATCGTACCGGCGTTCTTGGTCAAGCCATAAGCAGGACGCAAGGATGCAGGAAAGGACTGGCTGTCGTACAGCATGTTGATTGCCTGGGTGGACACATTGACGATGGTCTATTGAAAATATTAGACTTGCAGATGGTTTATTCTTCGTTCAAGATGAAACCCTGCCACTTACCCTTGGTTTCTTGTCGTTCTGCTTGTGGAAGCGGGCCACCAAATCAAGAGGGCCGCGAACATTGACCTCGTAACTCTTCCATACTCGTTGGGCCCCAAGGTCAAGGATAGATTTCTGGTCCGTGAAATCAGCAGCATTCAAGATGAGAATGTCGACAACAATTCCATCTTGCTCCAACTTGTTCCACAGAGCCTCGACAGCGGAACGGTCTGCCTGGTCACACGGCTCCGTGATAACAGTGACCGACTTTCCGCTATTCTCCGCTTCGCTTCTGAGCTCTTTGCCCCCACTGGTGAGCACATCCTGACGACGTCCAATGAGGATCACCGTTGAAACATCGGCCTCGATGAACTTGCGAGAGATGCTCAACCCGATTCCCGTGGCACCGCCGGTCACCAGGACAGTCTTGCCCGTTTGGCTGAGTTCAGGGCGAGTAACATCGATAGTTCGATAGGGCTTTTGGTGAATTACTTTAGTAAAGTCCGTGGTGTTTTGCTTGATGAGGTAGTCGAAATCCATCTTTGGCTAGGCTTGGAGCTGAGAAAACAGGATGATTTAATGCTGGAGTCTTGCGGTTGAATTGATGAAGATAGAGTGGAAACAGCGGACCATCTAGAGGGCTTTATATCCTTCAGCCCTCATCTTGGGGAATTCTACCTGCGGTGATTATCCAAGCAATCGTGCGGCGAATATACAAGCAGCGGACTATATTGCGGGTGCTCTGACCCTTTTGGGCCTTAGCGTCCGCCGTACGCCGCCCGCAAACCACGTTGCGCAGGAGCTAACCGACTTGGGCTGCGCTCCGACTGGATTGGTAAGCCCGCAGGGGACCTCTCGGAAAATCCTCTCGGCATCAGCTTGATCCCTTTTCCACCTGAGCATATATCCATAATATCAAAATGACTGCCGTGGAATCGAAAGCATGCAACGACTGCAAAAGGACCAAGCGGAAGTGTGGCAAACAAATTCCAGCATGTACCCGATGCAGCGCCAAAGGACTCGGATGCGTTTACCCAGCCTCGAATACACGTTACGTCTTATACACTGCCAATGGGTAGCGCTTCGGATATTACCGATCATGTACAATCTATACTAACAATATCCAGCTTCTCAACTCATCTTGAACAATCACAATCGCCTGCAAACCAAATTGCGTTCCCTTCCAGTCCAGCAACTTGGCCGATATTGCCAGAACTTCGGACTGCATGGTTCATCACTCCCGACACATGGGCCACAAAACCATCTAACCCAGCTAATGGAACCTCGACTACTACCTCCGAGGCGTGGAAGTATATCAACAAGCTACAGGGTTGGATTGCGACCTGGGTAGGAATCGGGAGCAATCCCTTCATCCATGGTCGGCTACACCAAACCCGACCTCCTACTTGTATCAAAGATGCCTTTACCGCAGTTTCAAGCTATATCATTCGCACATCCTCGACAGAGGAATTTATCTTTCAAATTCTCGAGGATCGTGCAGCAGCTCTAATCAGAAGTCCGGGGAGTCCTCTGCAGACACGCTCGACTGCTATGCGCATGTAAGCCGAGTGCAGGCTCTGACGATATATACTATCATCCGCCTCTTTGACAGTGATATTCGTCAACGACATCTCGCCGAACAACAACTATCAACCCTCCGCTCCTGGTCTAACGAAATGCTTGCCAGTGCACGAGACGCGGCCGAGAATGACGACTTGCTTTTGTACAACACATCCGAAGATAACTTCGCAATCAAGCAAACTGTGATTGGCGAGCTATTACCCATAATCAAGCACGATGAAGTTCTTTGGCACTCATGGATTCTATGTGAAAGCATCCGGCGCACGTGGCTGGTGTCACAGATGGTGTATGGGATCTATACCACATTACAGCAGGGTCTAAATGAATGTCCCGGGGGAATCATGTTCACAACGCAGAAAGGGGCTTGGGATGCTCCGTCTGCCTTTTCGTGGACCAAGGTTTGTGCTGAGAAGAATGTAGGTTTTATGCAGAGGAGTGAGACGAATAAACTACTGTTTCAGAATAGCCCGGAGGAGGTGGATGAGTTTGCGAAAACTCTTATGGTACTTGATGTTGGACTGGAGAGATTACAAGATTGGGGGTGGAAGATTAACGATTGATCCTTAGAAAAAGATTTGCCAGCGCAAAATTGTTGGCGGAGACCCGGGTAGGATGACCGCTGGGATGGGATATTCCCATGGGAAATCGGGATATCATTATTATTATTATTATTATTATTATTATTATTATTATTATTGTGATTAAATCAAGATTATTGTTCATACCGAGCCCTAGAGCTATGATAGACCGCGTTTCTGAGGCTGGAGTGGTTGGTCAAGCACAGTGCTTCTTTAGGAGAGATCCCAGTTGGGATTAATATTCTTCTTCCCGACGGCTTTGATATCGGTGGGAACAGCTTTTGAAGAAGTTGATCGCAATGGAAATAGAAAGTATAGAAAACAGAAGACGCGCATCGCTGGATCAGCTATCTTCAGTATTAGCAAGGATAATGGACTTCTGTTGTCTACAACAGGACACAACAACAAGAAATATGAACAAGATAACACTAACAGGATAGGAAGTATTATTTACAAGTTCGACCAGCAAGCAGGGACACATGGAGCACCGACAGGACATCATCAACAGGAAACATCGACAAGATATCATTGATTGGGAACATCGACAGGACAACATCGATTGACATAACAGCATTAACCGGGGATATCTACAGGACAAGGCGAACAGATATCATCGAATGACAGCATCAATAGGGAGCATCAGCGGGAAGCATCAACAAAGAGCATCAACAAAGAGAATCAACAAAGAGAATCAACAAACACCATCAACAAACACCATCAACTGGAAATATCGACATAACATCAACAAGGAAACTCCGGCTGGATAACAACAACAGGATAACATCAACAGGATAACATCAACAGGTCAACATCAACAGGTCAACATCAACAGGTTAACATCACCAGAATGCATCAACTGGGTTATTGCAATTTTTGAACCAATTCCAACGACTGAATTGATTCAGACATTGGAGTGTTGGAACTGGCAGGGGTTGGGTGTAGGAACTGGTTTTGACGGAACTGGTTTAGACATTGGGGTGTTGGAACTGGCAGGGGTTGGGTGTAGGAGCTCGTTTCGTCGGAACTGGTTCTGACAGAATTGGTTCAGACATGTACCTTAAACTAGTTCCTTCTCTTCCATGAACTCCTCCAGAATCCTATTGACTTCATCCGCCTTCTCCAATTGCAGCCAATGCCCACCGTTTACATTCTCGACTTTGAGATCAGGGACGAGTAGCCGCATTTGCTCCGGAAAATTGGCCGTGACGGTGATTATGTAACCGGTAGAGGCGATTAGCAAGGTTGGGTGTGTCAAGGTGTGAGCGGGTGTGGGAATTTCTATATTGCATATTAGTAGGATGCGAGAATTGTAGGTGATAGAGCACAAGTTTCAGGGGAAGAAATTGAACGGTAAAAGAAAGATAGACAGGAGGTATAGAAGGGGAAGTGGTACTTACTTTTCTCATCTTCTTCATTGATATTACGCAAATTAGCCTTATACCAGTTGATCGCAGGGCCATAGCCGCCTTTCTCGAAGGAGAAAGCGTTTTGATAATGCTTGTGGTCCTGTTCAATGTGAGCTAACTGGGAAATTCCATGTATTACAGCGAGAAATTTTACTTCTGATGTCAGATAGGCCGGCAAATCAACAATCTTGCCCTCGGTCAACCAAGTGCGCAAACCGCCTGGGGCACCCTTGTATTTCTTGTTGATTTCATTGTCGTTGGCGAAGAAGAGCGATTCCACGGATTCGGACTGTAATATGGTCAATATCCAGTAAGTTAAAATTTGCTGAGTTCAAAAGGAGCTTACATGTTCATTTAGGAGCCTCGGAGCATCGTCTTCGTTGAAAAATTGGAAATACCCGAAGATCGAAAAACCAAGCTTGGCTTGCACCGAGCTATTGATACGTTGTATCACCGCGGTAGTGAGGCTACGGCCAGGGGCAATATATCCGTGGTCGATGAAGACATAGGCAGAAAAGCGTTCTGGATGATAGTTCGCTAGCCGTGACAAAAGGAAAGATCCCCTGGTGGAAGAAGCGTTAGCATAATTGCACGCTAACTCGGCACACCTTCTGACTCTCCCGTTCGAAAAATGAATGTGACAACTGGCAGAAACTAAGTCGCAAAACATACCAATCATGCGCCACGCCCACCACCACTCTAACGCCCTCTAAGACCATGATCTCAACAATATCCCTCGCCATACCTTCACCCTTATACACCTCTAGCTCACTGGGCCTCGACGTTTCTCCGAATCCAAGCAAGTCCGGAGCTAGGATTCCATAACCCTTTGCTACGAAGAAGGAGATTTGATGACGCCAGTCGTGCGAGGTGGAGGGGAAGCCGTGTAGAAAGAGAATGTATTGAGTGTTGGGGTATTGGGGTGGGATATGGATGTAAGAGTAGGTGAGTGCGCGGGCGGTAGTGTAAGTTGAGTGAGGGTAGGCCATGGTTAATTATACTCACTGGGTGGAATGTGAATATTATACAATGAGTTTACGACGAAGGTGAGTAGGAACTGACTTATATACATTTAGTCCGGTCGATAACGAGTCATTCATTCTAGATAAGTACTGGCGTTCCAGGCATAGAATCGGTAAGACTATTAATGGCTCACTCAGCTTACTCTCATTGGCTCCAGCGTAATATTGCAGAAAACCTACGTCATGACCTCTACGCACCTTTGGGCCCAACATGGCTGCAGTGCGATATTGAAATAGGAAAAAAAACCTTTTGATACGCTCTAAAGACTGCGATTTGTTGTAATGATTTCCGACGTCTTGCTGTACATGAATACGAACACTTGTATTGGAAGCACGTAGATGCTTCGTTTTACGCACATTAGGTTGTGCACGGCGTTGCAGCTGTTGATTGTTTACGGGGTATTTTTGGTTTGCATTGTAAGAGACCCTTCATCTACAAGTCGGCCTGAACTGACATTCCATTCATTGTAGAAAATATCTATGTATCAATCGTTGCTGTTCGACTGAAATTTCCCTAAGCAATTGAGTTGAGCAGTGAGTTGAAACATGGCACTGGCAAGTAAATTATATCTAGTTGATATATTGCCAACCTGGCCGTTCGACCCAACCTGAGTAGAAACAGCGATTGTCCTGTCGTGCCTCGTGTAGAGGTCTTCAAGTATGGCATATCCAGCCTGGATATGCATCTTGGTCCGGCTATCAAGTTCTAGGAGAGACTCGATATAGCTGAAGACAACGCTCGTTAAGACGGCAAGCTCTAGACTTTGGGAAGATCCATCAAGCCGACGGCGGAGATCCCGAATGGCCACGCTATAATGTCGAATTGAGAACGCGATCGCCGGGGGTGTGTGCCATATGCCAGGATGGTAACGGCTGCTGGTCAAGGCCCCGATTGCTAAGGCAGCATGATGCAATGCTGGTTCGGCGAGAGTGGCCCGGAGGATGATGTTTCTCCATCCGGGGAGCTCGAAGAATAAAGAGAATTCCCCAGCACAAACGGCTTGGAAGTATTCCATGTGTATATGTTCGCCATACAGTAAAGGCCTGGCAGAAGGGTATTGCAGACCACGGATGGGCAAGGTCATCGCGTACTGCGACGCTTCAGAGGGAGACGACGAGACAAAGTCACAGCTCCAGCCCGCTCTGATACAGGGTGAGCAAGCTGGCCTGGCCTCATCGCACTTTTTATGCCTGGTTCTACCGCAAGATTTACAAGCTGATAATTGAGAACGGGCGGAGCTTACTCACTTGCATGTCAAACATCCCGTCCTGACCTTCCGAACCCCCCGAGCGCCATGGCGTAATTTCCTTATCATTACTGGACCATTACTATGGTGACTCAAATAATGACGAAGGATTGCTCCGCGAGTCTGTTGAAGTAGAGGAGCGAGATCCAGGAGAACTGTTACGAGCGGGAGAGAAATAATTTAAGGCGTAAGCGTATGAAAGATAAGGGCCACCTTGGCCGTCATGATTGGCTGAAGCGTAAGTTGATGTACGCTAATGGCGGTTAGCGGATCCTTCTAAAGGAATTTGTCATCAGCCGCATGTGCGTAATTTCCAGTCTCGCCGGCCACCCGGTCTGCCCTGCCACCCGGTCTGCCCGGCCATCCCCAAAACACATAGTAAATCTGGTTTTATATCTCAGCAACGACGCATGTAAACTACAGTACTTTATCGGTTTTTTCTTTTCTTTTTTTCTCTTCTGAAATGGAAGCCGGGAAGCGAAGCCCGTTGAGGCAATTGCCATCGTTCTAAACGGTCCCTTGAGCTCGTGAGTTGACGGGAGCGAGCTGGTTGCTCAAGTTCATGCATTAGCGACGCAGCGTGCAGCCAACAAGTAGGTGGCTGCCTTGAAGGTGAGAGCCTGGTCGCATCGATCAGGGGCGGGTAAACTATCTAAGGTGCCACTTTCTGTGCACATTCGCCAAGGCGCTACCGCCGAGAGCTGGCCACTCGCTGGACTCGGACGTGAAACCTGCAATGCTAAGCAATAATGATGGCATGTATGCAAGGCGGCACGAATAAGCAGAGCGGCCAAGTTCTGCCCGCAATCGACTGACGACCGACATAAAAAGCGTTGGCCCAAGTCTGCTGCTAATTACTGTACCGGCAGGTTGAGCATGAGTTGTCAAAGAAATATCTTCTTTGGGTCCGATGATTCAATGTTACATATGATTATAGGCCGTGTCTGGGGTCAGAACTTGAGAGCCATACAAGGAATTCAAGGTGCTGCACTGTATAGGTCGATATGGATGATAATGGAAAAGCTGCTGGACAGTGTTAATGGTGAGTCCCGAAGTTGATAGGCGATGAACTTGCCTACGGACAAACAAGGACAAGAGAAGCGACCAGTGAGAAAGGAGCACTTTCTACCAATGCCAAAAAAAGAAAAAAAAGTAAAGTAGTAGACGGCAAGCGGCATGCCAGTAGTCGCAATGTGCTTATTTTGCGCGGTCGATTTGCTGAAGCTCCTGCCTCGTACGCACCTGCGGCATCTGCCCACGCCCACGCATTCTCCACATGATCGCAGCGAGTACCCCTCGGTCTTTTCTGTCCTCGCTGAGGTTGCCACCTGTGCGTCACTTAGCGTTGCAGTGTATGCTAGGTTATTCGACATTTTTGTCACCCCATACCCGACTGTGTATAGTGCATCACTGGGGACCCATCGTCTCATGCACATCAATCGGGTTCTCGATCCCCACCAGAAAGTGACCAGAAACTCCCAAATAATGAAGTTAGATGTATACACTGTTCGAACCAATGATCGATCCGCTACTTCTCTAACCCGGCAGCATTCACGCAGGATGTTCCTCTCATCAAGCTATCGAAGAATGCCATGTCGACACCCTGGAAAGTCCAGTCATTTACGTCAGTCGCGATGGGGGAAGTTCCCGATGCGGCTGCAGAGCGATCAAGTCGTGGCTAGAGCTGGGATATTGCAGCATGGACTGCTCAGAGCCCTGGGTCACGCCGTGCAGATGGCTAAGCGGTGGTTCATTCGTAGACGGCGCATAAGCTAGTGTTGCGAATGCATCGTTCCATGCGACGAACGATTCTCTCTGTGGGGATTCACCCTGGGAAGTCTGATGCAACCGAGAGGGCGCATTGCCAAGCAACGGCTCTCGAGAGATAGGACCCTCGCGAGCAATTTTGATGACGCCAAGGTATGGGATACGCAAGCGGAGCTCTTCGCCTTCTTTCTTGCCCCCCTGCATATCGTCCTCTCCTCTTACGCTCCTGGTGGCGTAACTATTTCCTTCAGCTGCGTCTGCTTCGATGTCGAGTAACTGTCGAATCAATTTGGCACTGTTTTCGGCTATGACTTCCTTGTTCACGTTGCTGATTATGTCCATTCTCTCCAGGGCTTGATCTAGCATAGCGCGGTCGCTCAAGCGCTGATGGGCCAGGAAGTTGATCGCTCCTGGATGATGATGAGCGTCGAGATGAACAAGCAGGAGCGTTATTGCTGCTAAGAGGGTAAAGAAGTCTACGGGCCGCGAGCAAGATGACATGGGGTTAAAGCTTCGGTGAGCAATGAAGCGTGTCATTGTCTCCCGGCTAGCATTGACGCAAGTCATTTTGGAGTACTCATGCTCGGGATTGTCGCCTATTGGTATCATATACGGTAGATGGAGCTGGATCAACAGGCCATAATAGTAGACCTGGGCTGCCAGGCGTACTGTCTCCAAGAGGGCATCCGGAGATCCTGGTGTGATGTTTTGAAAATTCGCCGGACGCCAAAAGCTTGCTGGCATGCCCTCCGACACTCTCAATAGCTCAGAGTCGAGGGATTGCGTAGTCGTGATTTCGGTCGGCGCAAAGGCACTTTCGTTGCGTTCCAAGATGCGAGATGCAATTACTGTGAGTAGTCGTTCGAATCTGCCTAACGGTGGTTCGTTCCGCAACACCGACATCGCTCCCATACTTTTATCATCTGTACCCTGAGGTAGACCAAGCAGCAAGCTTAGATAACGATCCACATAAACGATACGGAACCACATAAATTCTGGCTTAGCTTCAAGCTCTGGGTCGATGCGTCTCAGTGGTGGCATAGGAGAACGGTGCAGGCCCATCAACTGGGCGACTGTTATTGCTCTGCAATACACCACCCAAGCCCGTCGAAGGTTGCCACTATTCATCTCGAATACGCCCTCTAGGATGATGCAAATCAGACTCTCGATGGTTTCGTGCATCGCCTCCTTGGTCGTGACCCATGTTGTAGCAGCCGTCATCAAGCGACGCATGAGCACGCTTCGTGGTTCCGAAAGGCCGAGGGGGTTTTCCCCACCCTGAATTTGTAGAGTGATTGCAAATAAGAGCATACGTCTGGCCAACATGACCGGATGGGTGTTCGGATCAGGAAGTTCGCCTATAGAGCGTGGGGTCGCAAGCGTCTCGTGGGTCAGCATGCTATGCGGCTGAGTGTTGATGACATAGAGGTAATGCGACACTTTTGAGCTCTCTCTGAGCAAAATTGTGGCATCCTCTTCGCTTGGAAAGGCTGCAAATAAGTGGTCACGAGCTGTTCCTTGACCCGATATTCCACACAAGTCCGGTATGAGGTGTGATGAATTTGGAGCCGATCCTCCAAGAAGCTAGGCTATAATTAGGGAATAATTAATTATGAAGTGGTTCGCGTACCTCTGTCGGGGTGGGAGGAGGTCGATTTGATGAGAGCGCTAATTCATTTGAGCGAGTCTTTAGAGCGTCAGAGTTCGAACGCTTGTCTTGCCGTAACCCTCTTGGAGTCTGGCCCGTCGACTCCACGTCTTTGCTAGCAAGGAAGCCCTTGATGAAGTCCTCAGCTCTTGCGATGCGTTCGCTGAGATGCTGGTTCCCTTTTCTTGCCGCAGACAGATTTTCCGGCATCTCCTGGCTAACACAAGGTGCACGCCGGCGCTGGCAGCAAATGCAAGTGACATCCTCGGACGATGCAAATGTGCATCTGATCTTCCGTCGTTTGCACTCCCAGCAAGATCGCGTCCCTTTGCGAACCTTCCTCCGTTTACCTGACCTTTCTTGGTTGGGTGAGACGCGGCCGTGGCCAGTAGGCGTATTCGGGGGTAGTACCGTCGCCGGCTCTTTATCCAGGGCGTCAGTCATGGCTGGCCGTCGTGAATGGACATCAGGGTACTGCTCGCCCGTCACTTAACTATGATCTCCGACACGGCGGAGAGAGTCGCTATGGGTCTCTGTACGGAGCCTCTAGGTGATTGGTCGAGGTACGATTATTTCGGGCGAAAAGGTTGGCACAACCGGACACCTGCCTAAAAATGCAGTTCCAATTTGTCAGCTCTTCGGAGATAACTAACAAATTAATTCCACCAGTCCGAGATTAATTACCAACAACTGCGGGCAGAGAAATGCTATAGTCATGGAAGGTGGTGTGCGACGTTCACCCGTTCGGCGGAAGAACGCACGTCTTATAATTCGGAGCTGCTGACAGAAAATTAAAAATCCAGGGTAAAGACTACAAGTCATCTCAATTACACTGTGTTTCATACCAACTACTTGTCCGCACTGCGAACCATCATGTCATTCTCAAAGTGCTGCATCCAAGGCTTCGCGTGGCAGGGCACACCCACGGGGCACACCGGCAAACTCGCCAGCAACGACGTCTACATCACCGGCGACAATACGGACGTCTCTATCCTGTTCATCGCTGACCTTTTCGGCTGGACATTCCCCAACGTCCGCCTCCTCGCCGATCACTATGCCCGCGAAGTCGGCGCAACAGTCTACGTGCCGGACTTTTTCGGCGGCGAGGTTCTAGATTTCGATCTCATTGCCGCGGAAAAGTTCGACCAGCTGGATCTGAAGGGCTTTATAGAGCGGAATGGCCGCGAGCAGCGCGAGCCGGAGATCTTCGATTGTGCGCGTGCCTTGAGACAGCAACTTGGATATAAGAAAGTCGGGGCAGTAGGATACTGCTACGGCGGCTGGGCGTCGTTGCGTCTCGGTGCAAAGGAACATACATCTGTGCCATTGGTGGATTGTATCGCGATCGGGCATCCGTCCCTTCTCATCAAAAGGGATATTGATGAAGTGGCTGTCCCCGTGCAGATTCTGGCGCCAGAGATTGATAAGGCGTATACGACGGAGCTCAAGTTACATACGTTTGAGGCGCTGCAGCGGTTGAATGTGCCGTTTGACTACCAGCATTTTCCGGGCGTCGTGCATGCGTGTTTGGTGCGTGGCGATGAGAAGAAGCCTGGTGAGAGGGCGGCGATGGAGAGAGGGAAGAATGCGGTGGTTGCGTGGTTCGGACAATTTTTGAAAGAAGCTTGATAGTAGCAAGCTCGGCAGGGGCATGGTCTTGGTAGAAGTGGGTTATAGTGAGTGGGTTATAGTGATCTGAAATTAGGTTCTTACAGTTGTTTATTTGAGGTACACAACTTGGATATTTTTGTAGGGTTGAACCTAGGTTCACTGATGTATTGTATACATCCGGAAAAGCAAACCGCTACCCCGCGCTCGAGTGAGCAGTGGAGGCCACGGCGGCCGTCGAGTCCAAGCTCTCAAAACGTGAAAGCAGTTCGAGTAGGTCGTATGTTGTCCATACTGAAGGAGGGCCTAAAAACTCGCAAGGGTGGGTAAGGTTCGAAGTGGGAGGTTGGCTGCTCCCCAACTCATAACAGAGCACCAGAAGGCTAGTGACGGATAGTAGTAGTTGTAGGGAAAATAGTTGGTGATGAAGCTGAAGAGAGTGGGTTGACAAAAACGAGAAAGGAAGCTACCCACGAGACCTAAACTACAAGAAAGTCGGTCGCATAACTAGCATAAACGAGAAATCATAACAGTAGGCAAGTAGGAAATTTGGGTGCAGATACGAGATGATAAAGGCAGACAGTCATAAATAGCCCCGGGGGTTTGAATGCTACCCATCTGATCCATCAGTGCACAAGATGCAAGACAGGAACGAAAGATAGAAGGAGAAAATATCCTCCCACTACTCAGCGACACGTTTGTGTCACACAGTCTTTGGCCCCCGCTCCTGATGTTCACGCAAAAACTTCCTCAGTCCAAAGAGCAAAGCTCCGTATCAGAGTTGTAGTACTCCTTACCGTCGTGGTTACCCGCTCCGTTGGCCCCCAGGAATGTCAACATCCAGCATAAGTTTCATGATTGCTGGCCAATTGTCTACTGCCATATTCGAAAACAGACTCCCCTACATATACTCGCAGATTATTTCCCGAACCCTATCTTGGAACACGCTAGACTACATTAGGTTTAGGCGTAGATCTCATTTTCGCCGATAAGGTAATTAGCAAGGCAGCAAGTTTACCGTAGCCTCCGAGGCTGAAGGTGACCGTCGCATTAATAAGCGAGCCGCTTGGTTAAAAAGCGGTTGCTTCGGTCCTCCCCGTTATCAAACAAGTCGACGTCAATTAATTGCTTACTCAACTCGAATACACTTCCAGTTCACAATGCAACCAATATCCGAAATTGACTGGGACAAAGGTGACAAGGATGGACTTGTCTCCGTTGGCTCCCATAGCCTTTATCTGTCCGTTTCGGGGCCAGATCGCAAGCCTGGAGAGCCTATCGTCGTTCTCATGCAGGGCGTTGGTAGCACGATCGACGAGTGGGTTGCAGTGCGAAAACTCGTGCTTCCATTTGCTCGATGGTTGAACTACGATCGTTCCGGGATGGGTAGGAGTGAAGGTCCCGACCAGACACCACCAAGGATATCTGCAGCGTCAGTCGCAGCAGAGCTCGATATTCTCCTAAAGAACGCCGGTATCAAACCTCCGTTTATCATTGTCGCTCACTCGTGGGGAGGCTACACTTCTCGCGAGTTCCTAGAACTCAGGCCGAATGATGTCGTGGGCATGGTGTTTGTGGATTGCATTACCGAACATTTCTTTGACAGTGGTGCGTGGGGTTTGGACGTCTTCTATCCAGTCCTCGGTGACCAGGATTTAGTTGAAACTACCGGTCTTGCGACGTCCCATGTCCTATCCGAGGAGGAGTGGAAAGCCGTTCAAGGCGAGCAGGCTGATCCTCGACATCAAGCCACTGAGGCTGCTGAGGTACAAGCGGTGCCGAACGACAGACTGACATTGGTCTCTATGAAGCAACTCGAGAAGCTACCTTTGAAGGATTATCCGGTCAGTGTAATCATTGCGGATACTCCTGGAGATTTTCAGAAAATGTATGACTTTGGAGTGGCCACAGGCAACGGAACAGAAGAAGAACAAACTCTGTTTCGGAAATGTCTCGATAGATGGCGGGAGATGGATGAGGACTGGCAAAGAGAACTTTTGAGGCTTTCTCGTCTTAGCAGATCTGTTCGTCTGCATTGCGGTCACAACGTGCAGCTATTACAGCCACAGAGCATAGTTAAAGAGATACAGTGGACCATGGATAGCTGCAGATAATTCTCAATCTGCTATGAAGCCTTGAGATCTATTTCTTCTCCCTCAGACAACTAAAGTACCTTGAGAGTATTTGTTCGTGATTTGGTTGCGGCCTCATCGCCATTCTCAACCACATAGGAAGGGGAGGGACTGCAAATGGATCGCGTGTCGTAGGGGCTGCTAAAGAATCCTGGGGTTGGGGTGTACTGGGAGTTCTGTTCCAATGGATCAAGCTCTTGGGGCTTAGAGATTTAATCGACATGATACAGTACTGTACGGGCTTTGAGTCATCTCTAGATCCAGACTCAGCCCTTGAGATGCTACGCCAAACTAGTTTCTGTCTAGAGGCGTTCTCTTCAGCATCGAGTTGTGCGTCTCGCTCATTAAGCATTCTCTTCGAGATAGAACATTTACCTCTCTTCTCACCTTTCCGTCTAGCGGTTAGAGAGTGGCCATCCTCTACATAGTTGAAACAGATATTTAGTCTGAGTTTCTTTCCCCGACAAAGCAGACCTAACCACATCACGAGTTGTTTTCGATACAGTATTATAACAATGATTTCTTCGGCCATAAGATACATTTCAGCAGGGATTGCTGGGGGAGACGGTAAAATTAGACTAGCGCGTTTCGGATTATGGTTCGGGAATTAATCCGCGTGAGGATGTTGGTATATCTGATTTCGAATATCGCTGTATATAGTAAGCTTGCTAGACGCCTAAGACCCCGCTCTGACTGAAGCTGAAAAGTACGTAGAGCCTCCGTTTCTCATTCTATCGACGTCTCATGGTTAGACAAAACGTCAGGATGATTAGGCCCCTAAGGTCTGTTTCTGCTTCGCTAAGCACTCTCGTAAGAGCTCACCAGCATCAGCATTTCGACCTAAGGATTTCCAGGGGAAGGCAAGATTGGCCATACTCGACAGCGTGTCAGGATGGTCCTCGCCGAGCTTCCTCTTGCGAGCATCTACGGCCTGCACCCTGAGCTTCTTGGCCTTCTCCCACTGGCCCTGCTCCCTATATGTCGCCGCTAGGTTGGCTATACTCGACAGCGTGTCAGGATGGTCCTCGCCGAGTTTCCTCTTGCTCGTCTCCATCACTTGCACCTCGAGCCGCTCGGCCTCCTCCCACCGGCCCTGGTGTGAAAACGTCGACGCCAGGTTGGCCATACTCGACAGCGTGTCAGGATGGTCCTCGCCGAGCTTCGTCTTGTGAGTCTCCACTACCTGCACAAAGAGCTGCTCGGCCTCCTCCCACCGGGCCTGGTTCCAGAACGTCGCCGCCAGGTTGGCTATGCTCGACAGCGTGTCGGGGTGGTCGTCCTCGCCGAGCCTCGTCTTTCGAGTCTCTATCACCTGCACAAAGAGCTGTTCGGCCTCCTCCCACCGGCCCTGCTGCTATACGTCGACGCTAGGTTGGCGATACTCGTTAGCGTGTCAGGATGGTCCTGGCCAAGCTTCATCTTGCGAGTCTCCATCACCTGCACCTCGAGCTTCTCTGCCTCCTCCCATAGCCCTCCTAGCCGATATGCTGTCGCCAACATTGCAGTGCTATCAAGGGCTTCTCCATCGGTTACACCCAACAATCTCACTCTCTGCTTCCTCGATTTCGATGCCATCTCCCTCGCGTCTGTAATATTGCCGCTTTCCTGCGCATACCATGCACCTTTGAAAAGTAGCGTAGCCCATTGTAGAAGAGACTCTTGCGAGTCTGGCCGCTGCAACATAGCAGATTTCAGATGTGGAAAGAGCGACCGACACTGTTCCCAATTTTCAAATTCACCGGTCGGAAACTTCTGGCATAGATTGCTAATAAATCGTTCCTTCCATAGCTCGAGCTGGCCATGAGTTTTTAACCATGTACGCACAGTTAATTGCACTAGTCGATGCATTGTGAGCACTGCGCTGCGTTCTCCGACCGAAATCAATGAATAGTCGCTAAGTGTTGTAATATCATCTTCAAAACACTGATCTGTGTCAGAGCCAGACGCATTGTCTCCATCCTCTCCGCCAGAACTGTCTTCATCCTTCTCCAGACACAAATTCCTATTCATTTCCTGAATTTTCGGAACTTGGAGGACACTCTCCTGGATTCCCTGCCGGTCGAAAAAGCTCATAAGAGAGAGCAGGCCCGCTGCAGATGGTCTTACGCCTTGAATGTGGTCAAAGGATATTTGCCACGTGAGCAGAATGGAGTTCTTGGCCTCCCAGTCTCGGTAAAGAAGACCTGCTTCCCGATCGAGCAGCCTTACTGCTTCGCGATCACTATTCCGGATTTTTTCTAGGTATTGCGACACAGAGCAACGGGGTGATCGATGTGTGATATAGCTAGCAGCCTGTACGATCGCGAGTGGCATAAATTCGAGCGCCTCGACTAGCTGCTCCATATCCTCAAGCTCCGTAGGTGTGTGTAGCTTCTGCTGCAGTAGATCCAGTGCTTCGGCCTTCTTCATTCGTTGCACAGCAATGATGTTCTTCTGATCGGCGATGTCTAGCGCTACTCTTCTATTCCGGCTTGTGATAATGATGTAGCCATTTGAGCTTTTGAGGAGGTACCTTGGCGGTGGCTGCGTCGAGGCATTAGTCTGGCTATTTGCCTGGCCCTCCTGAGTGGTCGCCGAAGGTTTACGTAGGAACCCGTCATCGTCGACATTATCGAGGACGAGAATCCAATTTCCGATCTTTTCGTCCTGTAGCCAATTCCCGATGAGTTGGAATATATTAGCGGTGCGATCCTGCCGCCCAGAAATCTTTACTCGATCTGCAAGGTCGCGGAGGCTTTTCTCACAGCGGGCCGTGTTGCTGGCATGGATCCAGAAGACCCACGTCTCTGCTGACTGCCGTCGGACCTGGTGGGCATATTCGATGGCAAGTTGTGATTTCCTGTTGCAGAGTCAGCACTCAACGGATCGCCTTAACGCCGAGTTGCCCCTACCTGACGCCGCCGAGGCCGACGAGCGCTATTCTGGAACCTGGGATCGAAGCTTTTTCATGAATCTGGCCGATTGCATCGCGACTGACAAAGTCTGGGTCGCGCGGGAATGGCACGGTCGATAGAGGCTCTGGGCGGGGTTCTAGTCGCTCTGGGACGGAAGTGACTCTTAGTCAATTTGGCTTCCACATGTTTCAACAGCTCCTGAAACCTACCCGGGGGAAGATGAATCGGACCGTTATTAATCCCGACCTGGAACCCATTATTCACGCCAGGAAATGTTACCGATGTCGATGTCATTATAAAAGCAACACATGGAATATTAGGTCGGCTCTCAGGAAGGGGGATAGGAACGGGCCATATAACGAGTGAGGGGCATCTCAGCCCCATCATCATATGACTGGACGGCGCTACGCGCTATACACTATCAGAGTTAGACCAAATTAATCAGTCCCGGGTTGTAGGCTGAATGACGATTATCCCGCATATCCGGCACCAGGAAACACTACCACCATTACCCTGCCAGCTGTCAACAACGAAGCAAGTCTTCTCGCATACATCGGCATACCATCATCGTCAAAATGAATGGAAGTCATCTCCCCACGGTAGAAGATACCACTGAGGAGCCTAGAAACATCGTTGCGTGTTAGATTATACCAGGAAGGTGTCACGTAGCGTCGTAAGTCACTGTTTGTGCTGTCTAGTACCGTATAAGCCTCGAGATCGTCATTTGGATAAGGGAGTGGCAGAGGAAAGTGACACTTGCCAGATTCCTCAGGCCCACTCCAGCTCCTCGTTTGCATTCCTGTGGAAAGTTCTAGCTTCCATAGCTTGCGCATACTGTGAGAAGACATGAAGTCATGGATTAATTAGAGTAAAATACTGTATAGATGACCATACAGGAATATTGCTATTCCGGAGCTATTCTTAATATAGTTTGGTAGATCTTGACATTAGGGTTCGAGAAACAATCGAAGAATTTTGGTGGTGACACCGATTTCCGGAAGTATTGTATTCACAGCAAGTTGACAACCGAAATGAAATGCTCCTGTTCATTACCAGATAGTACTGTATAGTTATAGACTTTTCGTATTAACCGACTATAACGAAAAGAATGTATTATGCGCAGAGGTGAGGGTGGTGGTACATCCGTCTGGAGTCATTCATTGAAAACCAAACAACCGGTCCAAGAATAATGTAGTGTTCTTACTAACAGTCGAAAGCCTCACGTGAAGCCTCCGTAGTTGCTATCATACTATACTATCCTAGTACTGGGCAGCCATTGTTAAATCTGGACATAACTTGCCATCAACTGTTTTATGACCCCCTCAAATGGTTGAATAGGCTCTGAAGAATGGACTACCACGGTGGAGGGGGGCAAATATGCCTCGTCCTATAATTCTGTTGAACATCACTTCAGCTAGTCAAATTGTGCTTGGGAGTTTGGACTGCAGTAATTTTCGGAGGTCAAACTAGTGGTGTCCGTGCGATCACGGCTTATCAAGCAAGCATTTTGTGGTGAACTCTTGGAAGCTTTTAAGACGATTGTTGTTTTACTTGAGGATGAATTAAATAGCTGGCTAGTTTATGCAGATAGTAGAGATTACAGGACCCATCCTGAGACATTCATTGCTGCCATGCATTTTTTTCGGCACTAGGAATTGAGATCACAAAGTATATATGGGGAAGAAAGGAAGACTTTGGACAAATACTCCTGCTAGTCGAAAAGCAGAGGCCGCTAACTCGAGCATGTTGATCTCGCATCTTCTTCCCAACGGAGCTCTAAAATGACGTGTCGCCTCAGTTAATCATAACACCAAGTCAACTTAACTATTAGTACTTATTAGAAGCTCCATCACAAACGCGTCCAACCTAAGCCGAGATACCGCAACGGAGCCACTCTCAACGTCACCATGATTTGTTTTATACCACATCGACAATCGGTACTGCTTTCTTCACGTTCTCAACCCAGTCACGAATATTCTCCACGAAACTTCGGGCAATTCCGGGTTTAATCCCCTTGGCAACGAAAAATTCTGTGTTTTGGTCCTTATAGATGTGCTCAAGGTCAAAGCCATCTGACAGCGTTACGTCACAGGCTTGTCGAAATGCTTCTTTGAGGGTGTTATCCTCTACACTCGAGGCAAGCCACTCACCGTACTCTTTGACAGCTGCGTCCCGGAAACCGGGAATGTTTAATGGACCCATATCCGTCAATCCTGCGAAGTCAACAGCTCCCTTAGAAGCCGTAATGTCCAATTCAGAAGAATGAGACTGTGACGGCAGAACATTGATGTTGATAGGAGGATAGGGTGCCCCAGCCGCAAGGGTATTTCCCCCTTTACGCTTCTCTTTCTCTAATCTCTGTTGCTCCTCCATGTATAACTCTTCTCTAATGTCATCGGGAACATCTTTGTGTGTCTCCACGACACCACCTTTCTCCGCGTAGGTAATCAAACGTCTGAGGTGATGCGTGCGGAGTTGATAATGCTTTTTCCCCATTGGGTCCAGCCAGCAATAGGGTCCTAGGTGGCAGGAAGCCGTGGCACATTTCATCAAATTATAAATACGGCGCCAAATAGCTTGTTGTCCACAAGCGTTCTCTTCAGCATCGAGCTGTGCTTCCCGATCATTCAGCATTCTGTTTGTGGCGGAAGATTTACCTCTCTTCTCTCCTCGCCGTCCAGCGGTTAGAGAGGTGCGATCCTCAACATAGTTGAAACAGATGCTCAGCCTTAGTTTCTTGCCTCGATAGAACAGACTCGACCACATCTGGAGCTTTTTCTCGATGGTAGTCCAATTAATATCGATCTTGTTGAACCGCTTGGTCAGGTCACGATGGGAACGATCGTTTACAGAGACAACAATCGTAGTGTCATCAGCCCTCACCCTCCGGTCATTGGAGAATTTCCCTTGGAGGACCTTCTCTAGTTCCTTCTCCAAAGTCACCTCCCAGAAGGCGCTTGGGGCCAGAACCACGTCTTCTTCCGTGTCTTTTGCCACAACCTTGTTGTTGACTGTAACTCGCCACTCTATTAGGTAGTGGATACAAGTTGGCGGGTCATCGTCGTAATCTCTTTCCGCTTCCCACTCGGACAACTGCAGAAGTTTGAGGGTATCTGTTGTTGGCTGGTTTGCTGCCTCGAATCCACTCTCAGGTATCCTGGATCGACAAGGGCTACACGTGGATCGCGTGTCGTAGGGGCTGCGGAAATATCCTGGGGTCGGGGCGTACTGGGAGTTCTGTTCCCATGGTTCGAACTCTTCAGGCTGAGAGGTGTAATCGATGTGGTACGGACTTCCACTCATATCTAAACTCAAACAAACTCTGGCAGATCCGTCAGCCTATGTGGGGTTGTCAGCTTTTCGACAGACGCTAGTAGCGAATGACGATTGTAGGAGGGTAGCCATCGGAATAAACAAGAAGCATGTTCTCCTACCAGAACCAGTCCTCTATAGCACCAGCACGGCCCTTCTTTTCATATACAGTCAAATGAGTGACAGTAAAACGAGTGGACGAAGGCTGCGTGCGTGAAGGAGGAATGAATGGGCAACGAATTTGCCAGGCCTCCAGATCTTCCACTCTAGGAGGTACTTTTGCCAGGAACATTCTACACGATTCTATGAAGATTTACAGTATCTTACAATGACTCATTTAGCAAAACCACTCGATACGAAACAGCTAAGCAGGGATTATTTATGTAGTAACCAAATACAGATTAGTGCACTTCGCGTTAGGTTTCAGGAAACAATTCGTGAGTGTACGAAGGGGAATCTGTTTTCGACTCAGACTGTATACATATATATCTCGGCCGATGGCAACGACAGGGATATCCAGCTCCAAAACAAGTCCACTAACTCACACTGACCATATAAAGCATACGTCTTGTAACAGATCAAGGCCATACGTACATTTTTCAATTCATAGATACTGCAAACTGGAAGGGAAAAAGAATACGTTGCTCAGACACAATCCAGTACAAAAACTGGTCGGATCCAGGAACTAGGGATTATCACTGGTATCGGATTCGACCAAGATTTTGCTCTGGTACAAGATTGGTCATCAGCTTCTTGGCCCTCAGCCGTCGACTAATAATCTCACGCCAAGCTAGTATGGTATGTAGTCCAAGTGACTCAAACATTCAGTTAATCTCTTTATGGTCTCGAAACGGCCATCCCATCTCTAACAGATCAATCTCTTCTTGGTCCTCCTCGCCGGTGGCGATGAGAGACTTTTTGGGCTCGGCAACCTCCCGGGAAGCGTTTTCATACTGTTCATTGCTAATCCAGCCATCTTCACTGATACCCCCAATTTGGTCCCTCCACAGATTGACTGTGGCTTTCAGCTGAAACCATAGTTTCTCCTTATCGATAAATTCCACCAATTAAGCACTGGTGAATTGCACAGGGTAAGTGACTCCCTCTGTGCCAGGCAAAAGAGGCCAGTACTCAACCATGCTAGCTACCATAAAGGGTATTCTATGACGAATGCCTTGCGTTGCAGTAAATTGGTGGTCGCGGGATGTTTCTCTGAGTATGGACTAGGCAAATGTTCCCGAATCAGAACGCCGTCTCTGTCGTGTCAACGAGGCGTCTACGACGCGGACCTCACTCGTTCTCTTTGTTCTCCGTTTTCACCTGGCCATGTCCTCGATCCTGAATCCCCTGCTCCGCAAAGCTCTCATAATTCAGGGGTAATGGCAAACGAATGGTCATTTCCAGATAGGCGAGGAATGAAGATGTTTCATACCTACCACAAATTGACCCACTGCTTCCTTTCACGTGAGATGTCTACCCAGTTGGTTGCAGCCGGCGTAGCTGATGCCTTGCCGCCGATATTCTTGACTGACGAGCGAGATGAGTCGGTGGCTTGATCCCGAGCACTCCACACCATCTGCATCATATCCTTTGCCGTGCTGTAGGATTGTAACCCTGTCTTCCACCACGCTTGTTCCAGCCAGTGTTGCAACGCTTTTCTGCGGGTACCCGGACTTGCCTCGCACCCCGATATGAAAGCCGGCCATGGGGTACCAACGCCTTGAATATTCTGCTGCGCCATTGACTCGTCGAAACGCCTGAGCGCAGATATGACGTTATCAACATGGCTTTGAAGGATCCACTCATTCACATCCCTCAACCGTCGGTAGAAGAAAATGACCAGGCCAGAATTCAGCGCTTCAAGCATGTACTCGGTGGGACGTGGTTTGGGCGGAGCTCCATCGGGCAGGGTGTGCCGAGCTACGAAGGTGCAGATCCTATCTTCCAGCCGCTTTATTCGAGTTTTCAGCCATTCCTGCATCTGAGATTTTGCGCCGAGACTGTCCTTCACGTTGGACAATCTAGTTGTCTGAGACAATAGACTCAGCCAATGTTCTGAAATCCCGTAGATCTGTAAAAACATCGTCTCATGATATAATCTTGGGTCTTCAAGATGGACATCTTGTAAGACAACTTCATGTTCTTTCGGCAGTTGCTCATAATCTGGCTCTTCCCGGTCGGGTACAATTTCCAATCGCAGAAAGTCATCGAGCCTTGCGTCTGGGCCAGATTGAAACTGCAACGCAGTCACCCTCTGTTCGGTGATGGCATTTCCCTTCCCGTGCAGAACGTATGTGCTTTCTCCAACGATTCTGGCCCAGGTATACATGTGATGCAGCAGCCGAGCTCGTCTCGAGAGATGCCGTTTCGACAGTCCGCGGATGCGCAGAAGTCTCTCGGATTCAACCATATAATATCTCGCAGCCTTGTGATCTCCAGTCATCACGGCCCATGCTAACAGGCTTAGCAAAGCTATCAGCTGGTCCTTATACTTGGCCTTGTTGGTTCCGTCCATTTCGGATTGTAACGACATTTGCAGACGACAAGTTGCTTTTTCTTGGGCCCTGTTTGCAATCTCACTCCAAAATGTTCTATTGCTCACTCCAGGCCCAGAGGGGTTGTGGGCCAGGTGATAAGCAGAACATGCTAGAAGCGCATATAGATTTGCGATGTTTGCGCTACTCACAGGCAAGTTGAGGTAAGTGAGACTTGCAAGGGTCTGCGTCGCAGAGCTGAAGTTCAAAAGCTTATACGGAGACTTGGCGTGGTACGGCAGAGCGGCGATGGCGCCTATGACGTTGTCCACGAAATGCTTCAGCAATGCAGGGCCTTCATTAAGAAGGTCGCCATCCTTCACGGTGTTCGAGTTCGGAGTGGACCATGACATTGACGGTTTGAGTGTATTCGTGTAATCACCCAACTCAGTATCCACTTCTGGATTGGTATCATCGCCAATGTCGATGTCGCGACGTAGTGGATTGCACCATGCCTCGAAATTGAGATCAAAAAGATCGGACCATTGCAAATAGTCTGTCAGACTTATGGGCGGCTCAAAAAGGGAGGTTGAGGTAGCTTGCGTGGTTAAGAGCGTTTCTGCGTGTGCCAATGTGTCTGCGGGCGGCACGGTGGCTGTAGGTGACAATGTTCCCGCGGGCAGAACAGCAGCAACATGTGTAGTATCCGGGTTACCAAGATCGATTACGCTGAAAGGACCAACGGCAAACTCCTTGGAACTCTTCTCGTTCGAGCCTTGGGGCCATATATCGATTTCTGCCAAGGAACTGTCGAGCGTGCTAGGCACAGTTTGCTGTGTCAATTGTGTGCTCATTAATAATTGTTTCTCCTCTGTAAGTTCGTCAATGAGCATTCTCATAGGAAATCGATATGTCATTCGCACCGGAGTAAAGATGCCGCCTCCCTCCTGCGTTGAGGGACGTGCCGACTACATTCCCTTTCGCAGACCCGGCATCAACCCATTGCACATTCGTCTGATAGCCTTGACATTCAAGAGCTGATGCTTGGCATGCTAGGCACTTCGGTCGCACCTGGTCACATTTGACGTGCTTGCGCCTGCAATTGTCACAGCTACCAAGCAAATGAGTACGTGTTCGGCGTTGAGTCGGCCGCTTATATGGCATAGTGTGCATCGGAAACAGTGACGAGTGCGGTTGAAGTAGGAGAAGGAGGATAAGCCGGGCCACCCTCGCCTTCAAAGTCCAAGCTGCGATGGATGGACAACCCCACGGCAACCTAGTCTGCGGGAAAATATGGTGGCCACGCGTCCAGATTTCACCGCATTCTCTTTTGTGTGGACCCATGGACCATTGATGGACCGCCGGCCGAAAAAAAACCCCTGGAATACCGGTATTATACACCGTAATATTTCATATATTTACTGTAAGTGGTTGAATTTCGTGGCAGATCTGGTTCGAGATCCACTTCCCCACTGGCATTGGCGAGGCCTCACATTCAGCTTGGTCACGTGATAACCACCATGCATTGAGTTCTGGCAGTTCTGTTTCGCCGTTCCGTCAACTAGGGTGAACAAGGATCTACGTGATCAACCGATATGCGTAAATATCTAGGGTACATGGCGTAGCATAATCTCTATTTGGCGCGAACAGCCTCAGAATCGGGGATCAGGAACGAGACAAGTCGCGATGAGCCGTTTGGTTGGAAACCATTTGTGGGAAGGAACTTCACACACCCACCACGTGAGGAGGAGGACGGGAGCTGCAGACCGTGGAGTGGTCTGCAGAGAGCCTGTCAATAAGGGGCAGGGGCCCCATAATTTGTGACCATGGCTTCGCAGGGCGCGAAACATTCATCGGCTTTTCCCCTAAGAAGAGACGAGTGCGGGGTAGTCGTAGTTACGTGTGTGAGACGGAAGGTGGTCTCTCGATCGGGAAGGTGGCTGGCAGATGAGGAAGGAGGTTCAACACACACGTGTGAACCCACATGCCTATTGTTTAGGTCAGAGGGAGAACCTCACTTGATTGACACCCTTACTGTGCAGAAAACATTGCGGACTTCCGAGCTCTCTGACCTACATTACGACAAACCTGGTGTGTGGTGTGACCGAGGTCATTATACGATACCTGAAATGCTTCCCCAACAAAACGTTCGACATATTGAGCACTAATTAGGTAAAGAATGGTTGGTAATGGCCCGCGCCAGCATATAAGACACATTGTGGTCATGTTCGCTTAAGCCTACTAATAAACCCACTCATAATAGTGTTTGTCATCAACGGCGGTTGTGTTCTTATCCTGGCCTTTTTCTTTCCGGATATGCCAAATGACACTGAAGGCCGACAACTAAGAAGAGGGAACAAAGGAAGGAGAGGGGAAGGAGAAAGATATTCGCGTCGTGGGCCTCGAAGGGGCCATTTTACGAGGACGACTCAGAGAGCAGGAGACCGGAGTCGTAAGCCTCGTCTGCGAGCAGACCCACATGCCATTTTGCATCTGCAGTGACTCGCATCTCACATAACCGTGCGAAGTTCGCCTTTTGGATATCAACCTGCGCCCAGGTCCTTTTCAACGCAGCCCAATATCCGCCATGGCGTCAATGAAACTTCCGTCACAATTGGATTTGACACAATTCTACTGTGGCAAAAACATCGCCGATGTACCAAAGCCCGCGGCCGTGCTGGACAGAGCAATAATCCGTCGACATTGTGAGCGTATGAAGCGCACAATCAGGGCCCTCAATGTCGGTTTCAGAGCCCATGTGAAGACACACAAGGTTGGACACACCCCGCGGAAGTCGCAAGCAATCTAAGGACTAGGTAGCTAAGACCGACCCAGACCTCCGAGCTGTCCTGGATGCAGCTCGACAAAACGAGCGATGAAGCGAATTTCATGGCATCCACTCCTCTTGAAATCGAGATGCTTGTCCCAATGCTCAAAGACGTCCGAGGAAACCATCGCGTCAACGTGCTCTACGGAGTGCCGCTTGTGCCCTCACATGTCGAGCGTCTGGCGAAAATCGCGCTTGAGCTCGGTAAAGAGAGTCTTTCAGTGTTAATCGACCATCCAGATCAGCTACCATACCTACAGGAGTTCGCTTCGATCACGGGCTTCCCAGCCTGTGTCTTTGTTAAGGTGGACACCGGTTACCACCGGGCAGGTCTCCCACCTCTGGCTCTGAACAAGAACGGACTACTAGAAAAGCTAGCTGCCGCGGAAGGAGCGGGTAACGCGAACCTTCTGGGGCTGTATTCACACAGTAGTCTAAGCTATGCTGCAACAACAGCTGAAAAAGCGATGGCTTATCTCATCTGTGAAATCAAAGAGTGTGAGGCCGCACTGAATAGGTGGCAATATCTCCTCCCCAAGAACAGACAGCTAGTCATTAGTGTTGGTGCAACACCCCAGGTTGTTTGCTCAGAAAACCTACTCCAAGGTCGAGTATCATCTGCGAAAGCAAAGGAGCTGATGTCTCTTTTGACAAGCTCGTGTTCGACTGGCACAGCTAACAAGGCCAGGATTGAACTGCACGCTGGAGTATATACTGTCTTGGATATGCAGCAGATATCCACGAATGCCAGGAATTACGCTGGTGAGCTTGAGGACGAGATCGCCCTCTCTGTTGTTGCGGAAGTTTGCAGCGTGTACAATGATGGCGAGCGGGAGAAACCAGAGGCGCTTGTCGCGGCGGGAACCCTGGCCCTTGGGAGAGAGCCATGCGGTAATTATCCAGGGTGGGGTATACTCTCTTCCTGGAGAGGGGGAGACGTCACAGGTTCTGCTGCTGGTGACCGGCTGTTTGTCGCGCGGATCAGCCAAGAGCATGCCATTGTTCTGTGGCAAAAAGAGGCGCAAAGGAAGATCCCGCTTGAAATTGGACAGGCCGTCAAAATTTTTCCGAACCACGCGTGCATAACGGCTGCATTTTACTCGTGGTACTTTATAGTGGATTCGGAAACTGACCCGAACGCATCAACAATTGTCGATGTCTGGGTGAGAGCTCGAGCGCCGAGCATGGATCCACTGCTAGCCACGAGATATCAATAAGTTTGTGACCAGTTATACATGTTACCAATATCTGTGTCGAAGAGCTAAACGAGCCATATGCACTCACACGTTGTATCCTTAATGTAATTGGGGAGGTAGTGTGCTGTTTCCGGGATATTTTTCGTCTGCTTGCTGCGTAGAAGCAAATACTGCTAAGACAGTTTCTGGCTTCTTCCTTACTCCCTGCATAGCTTGACTGAAAAAAAGTTTCTCAAAACAGTTCAGACTATTTCATCAGTACCCGTCAGTTGTGTATCAAGCAATTAGCTCACGACGCATTTACGCATTCAATATTTCAGCTATGGGAACCCACATACACCAAAAACCTCACTCTTTTACACAACTCCCTTCTTCTACAAAGGCATAGGTGCGATAATGATACTTTGCAAGATTCTTTGCAAGATTCTTGGGCAAAGAGATTGACAGGCCCGCATCTCTCGCTCCTTATCTATAACGTAAACAGTTTAACGGGCGAGATGTCTCCAGGTTCATCTTTCGAATGTCACTGGTAAAGATGATATTTCTATTCAGCACAATCCGCTCTAGTCTCTGGTGAATACTGTTCTCCAACAAGACTCCACGACGGTAGAAGTAACAACCTTTCTGCAACTAATTTCCTTCCCGAGCTTTTCAACTTAGCCAAACAAAGCATCACCAGTGTAAACCCTGACCGTCTTCACTTGCGTATAGTTGTCAAGTGCATAAGACCCCAGCTCGCGTCCGAGACCCGACTCTTTGAAGCCACCGAAAGGAGCCTGGTATGAGAGTGTGTTGTAGGTGTTGACCCACACGGTGCTGATGAAAGTGTTAGCACTCTCAATAGAGGAATCGGGTTTGATTTGCTGCGAAGGATACGCACCCGGCTTTTACGGCTTCGGAGACGCGAACCGCGGTGTTAATATTGGTGGTATGGACCGCTGCTGCTAGGCCTAGATTTTCATTAGCATCCGATATATGTGTAAATATGTCTCACCCACCATAGGACGTGTTGTTTGCAAGGCGGATAGCCTCTTCCTCACTAGCAAACGTCTGAACAGTACAGACGGGTCCAAAGATCTCTTCTTTGACGATGCTCATATCCTCAGTAACATTTGAAAAGATAGTAGGCTCGATAAAGAACCCTTCCGAACCGATGCGGTTGCCACCAACTTCAAGTTTGGCTCCAGCTTTCTTTCCATCATCGATATAGCCCATAATTCGATCGAATTGCACTTTCGAGATTTGAGGACCCTGGAAGGTATCGGGGTCGAATGGGTTTCCAACCTTGTTCTGCGCAGCGCGGTGCCTAAACTTTTCCATAAATGTCTCGACAATATCCTTGTGAACCAAAATGCGAGACCCAGCACAGCAGCACTGGCCATGGTTGTAGTAAATGCCAAAATTGACCCAAGAAAGGGCATTGTCAAGGTCAGCATCCGGAAAGACGATACTGGGAGACTTCCCCCTAGTTCCAGAGTAACCTAGAGCCACCAAAGTAAGCCATTGCCACGGGAAACCAAGGTGCGAAACCGAACCTTCTTCATATTGCTCTTGGCCGCAGCTTGGAGGATGGAACGCCCCACGGCTGTGGAGCCGGTGAAGGCGATCTTGTCGACATCCATATGAGATGCAAGCGCAGCGCCTGCAATCCGTCCAAAACCAGAAATAATGTTGATCACACCTGGCGGGAAGCCTGCCTCCTTGCATAATTGTGCAGCGTACAGTGCAGAAAGCGGGGTTTGTTCGGCTGTTTTGATGACAACTGTGTTCCCTACTGCGACTGCTGGGCCTATCTTCCATGACCACATCAATAACGGGAAGTTCCATGGAATGATTTGACCGCAGACGCCGACCGCCACATGACGGGTGTAAGTGAGATTTTTTGGATCGGTGTCAATGGTTTGGCCGACAATCTTGTCAGCCCAGCCTCCATAGTAGCGTAAGCAGCCCGCTGAATTGGCGACATCCGCCTTCGCCATGGACAGTGCCTTGCCATTGTCGAGAGACTCAATTGCAGCCAAGGTATCACTGTGTTTCTCGAATAGGTCCGCAAGCTGAACCAGTAGACGGCCTCTCTCGGACGGGGTGACTGTTTTCCAAGGTCCCTCAAAAGCGTCGCGGGCGGCTTTAACGGCAATATCAACATCTTTCCCAGACGCTTCAGCCACCACTGCGATGAGGCGCTCATCCTGTGGACTAAAAACCTCGAAAGAACGACCGTCCAGTCCCGGGACCCACTCGTTATTGATAAACCTATTGTGGATGAGCCGAATTAGACAGAGAAGAGAGAGCATAAGCTAGTCAAGTGATGGTAACTTACAGGCCCAATGGTTGAGTGTATGTGACGGTGGGAGTCTCGATTTCCGTAGTGAAACACATCCTGCAAGTTATTCTCCAGATGTTACTGAAATTATTGCTGGGATCACAACAGGTCGTGTTATCGCTTCATAAAAACAAGTTGTCTTCCCGGTCAGTTCGGTTTTTATATAGTGTTGCAACCATAAGGACTCAGTGCACTTCCTAGCTTGCTACTATTACAAATCATCTTGTTACGCTTGCAACATACGATTTCCTTTTTAGACATCAATTGCCTAATGTGATTCAGGTCATTCCCAAGAGCCTATTTCCAACAGACTCCATCTTCCTAGACTGCCCCGTCGAAACTAGACCAGACCAGGCTCAGCATCTGTCAATTCTATCGGGCATAATCCCGAGTTGTGGGCTTGGCAGGTCTCGAGGCCCGATCGGCAATAGGATAAGGCTCCTCACAATCCACTTGCTTCCATCTTGGAAGATCCGTGGCAAACCTATGGCGGAGACCTGAAAGGGAAGCCGGGTTACCGTCGCATCCGATCGTCGAGCTGGTGAAATCCAGGGATGGATGAGTCCAAAAGTGAGAAATGCTGTGATCGGCATAAGTCCAGAGTCTCCTCTTTGAGTTTAGTGTAGGCAGCAGCGCTTTCCGAAACTCGGCCTACTTACTGCTAGTTAGTCGATGTATCAAGAAGGCAGCTGCTCAGTGGTCTTAGCAACTTCTTGACATCGTTTCGAGCAGAATAATGTGCAAGCAGACCATATTCCTTTACCAGGAGCCTCCTCGTGTCCACTTTCCCCTACTTTTCAGTTCAGCGGCATGTACAGTACGTCCTGTACAAGGCTGAGATCACATCGGCTTTGCCATAAAAGCTTCCGGTCCACATTACACAGCGTGCGCGTATTTGTAGATATTTTAGTGCAGCCCAAATCCGCCACAGAGCAAGGTTGAAGAATTTCGATTAAGGCGGCTACGAGATCTCAACATGGCAGGGCGCTTTCAGGCCTTTGACGCCAAAATCTTCAGTATCGAAGACTTGAAAAATGAAAGCATTAAGCGACTGGACAAAAGCTATAGCGGTAGGTTCACTTCGCTCAGGCAACGAAAGGTCGCTGACTCCTGCCTGCAGATTATTACAATGGCGCTTCTATGGATCTTTTAACGTGAGACCCTGGTGTCCCTCTCACTCCAAAGCAGCTACTCACTTAGTCTTGTCGTAGCTTACACGATAACGAGTTCGCATTTGACCGCTACAAACTACGGCCGCGATGTCTTATGAACGTGTCCAAGATTGACACGTCCACGGAGTTCCTCGGGAGCAAGGTCGGTGTTCTGCTTTTCTGTCATGCTGATTAGCTTCGCAACCTCTGTTATAAAGTTGGCAATAGCTCACTGCCAGCGTAGATCTCATTTCCCTTTGGTTTCTCACCTGCAGCATACCATGTCATGGCGCACCCTGATGGCGAGATTGGCACTTCTCGAGGTGCAGCAGCACATGGCGTCCCAATGGTCCTGTCATCTTATTCATCCCTGCCTATGCAAGATGTCATCAAGGAGGGGAAAGGGAATCCCTATGGGATCAACATCTTGTTTCACAAAGACCGCGGCATCACTCGCATGATGCTGCAGAAGGCAGAAGGTAATTTCGATGTACATCATATTTCTCATTCTCGAGAAGCATCTATCGCGAGCCGTGCTTACATCTGTTAGCTGCCGGATACAAGGCTGCATTTGTCACCGTAGATTGTCCAGTTTTAGGAATCAGGCTCAACGAATATCGAAACTCTTTCATGCCTCCAACAGGCATGTCTTCGCCAAACCTTAAGAGGCCCGATGGGTCTGAATTTCCGCCGGAGGACGTCGACTACGATGACAGTGTCCTGTGGGTGGAAGGCATGAAGTTCCTGCGAGAGAACACCAAGATGCAGATATGGACTAAAGGAGGTAAGATGCATGTCACCTGCATCTCCCAGGCTTTACTGACGCCGTCCCTGTGATCTTTAGTGACCTCCCCGGAAGATGTTGAGATGGCCATCAAGTGTGGTGTCGACGGAATTGTCATTTCCAACCATGGTGGCCGACAGCTCGACGGTATGCCAGCGACTCTTGACGTGTTACGCCAAGTTGCACCTATCGCGAAGGGCCGGATCCAAATCGGCATCGACGGAGGATTTCGCCGCGGATCAGATATTTTTAAAGCAATCGCTCTCGGGGCCGATATTTGTTTCAGCGGTCGGGTCCCAATCTGGGGATTGGCTGTAAGTCTTCCTCATCTCAGCACGGTTCCTACGCAAAGAACACATCTGAGTAGTGTCATAGTACAACGGATCTAAGGGAGTAGATCTCGCACTCCGGATTTTGAGACGTGAGTTTGAGGTGACTATGGCTCTCTGCGGGTAAGTTGGTTACACTAAAGACTGTTTCAAAGGCTATTTTTCAGTCGGCTCGAGACTGACATGTCCTTCCAGATGTCAGACTCTGGCAGATATTAGCCGATCACGCCTCGGCCTGTTACTTAATGATGGTAACCTTGCTCGCTTGTGATGGTAGATGCTTCATAGATTCGATATGTCCTATGGTATTGTTTCAAGCTTAAACAATGGCGCTCTATTACATAGATATAGATATTCCCCTAGCGTTCCGAGCCCTTGATGACATCTCTCTGGCAAAGTTTAAGGAACTAATTCGTCGATATTATCTAAGGTCTCCGACGGATATAGAGATTGGGAATGCAAATGCTTCAACTGTAATTTTCCGGGCTGCGTTCAATGGGACCAGGAGCTCAAGTCTCAGAATTTCCTTTCTCACGTAACCAATATTCCTTGATTATCCAACAAGAGGATACCCGAAATCCCGTATGGTATTTACATGTGCTGTATTCGTACGCGGAGGATATTGTAAATTATAAAAGCATGCTTGGATATCTGGCGTTCAGCCAAATGCGATGCTAGCGCGAGCGGGGGGGTTAGATGCTCTCCACTACGAATATAGGTATATATCATTAGTACCTGTCACGGTAGAAGCCTTCAATCAGGTAGAGAAGTATGGGTGGAAATGTAGGGAAACAATACAGAATTGGAGACCACTACTGCTGGATTTTTGAAACAAGACTGGATCTTGAGGAGGTTCGGCTAATCGGAGCGCATGAGGGTCTTGGGGAACCTCGTGTCAATAGTTATGACGTCGTCGATTCTGCTTCTCGGCCTCGCTTCGCATGCGTTCTTCCCCTTCACATATTTGCGTTTCTCTGAAGATATTACCAGATATCTTCGCGCCCGGTTCAAACGACGATTTACGTAGTCCGGAAGTATTATCGGGTTTCAAATGGGTACAGACTGACAGGAATGGTATTAAGGGAGTGTTTTGAAAGGCAAGCCGAGTAGAATTCGCACCTCCGGACATGTCTATGCTTGGCCATCTTTGCCATAAGCCGAAATACTCACTAACAGAACGCCCCACGCAGAGAGGATCGCCTTCCTAATTTGGCAACCACCTTCCCAATCAACAGACTTGCCTTACATCAATGCGCCTTGTTTTCTACAGCTGGACCGTCAAAGATTAGCAAACTGAACCAACATGGGAGTTGTCTGTTAAAATTTCTCGCGGGACACTCTGCGGCTCCACTTGGGCGGGTTGGCCTCCTCCCTCGTGAATGTGAACGATACCTGATATTATCGATTGCTTACAGATGGGCGGAAGGCTGTCCATGCCTTGTCGGGATTCTTTCCGAACAAAAGGAGTCCCCAGATGCAGCGTCCGTCCATTAGGCGGGCACTACAGTTAGTTGTCTCAATTCGGGAGATATAAGACAGAAGCGTCAGCAACGCAAACACACCACTCTCACTGAGTGCCCAATCGATTGTACCTTACAGCCGAACCAACCGTCGCTTCCGATTCCAACCATTATGGCATCCCGAAAAGACCTCAGCGGAATCTTCGTTGCTATCCACACCCCATTCACCGACGATGGGTCCGAGATTGATAGCCAGCGCCTCCAGCAACACATTGACCGACTTCTTGCTTCTGGTGTTCACGGCATCATTCCCGGAGGCTCGACCGGCGAGTTCACGGCTCTCAGCATCGATGAGCGCAAGCGGTTGACAGAATTGTGTATCAAGCATGTGGAAGGGCGAGTTCCCGTCGTCGTTGGAACGGGCGCTCTTAACACCGCCGAATGCATTGATCTTGCGAAACACGCGGCAGCAGCCGGTGCCGCGTCGTTAATGATTGTGCCGCCGTTCTATGACGTATTGTCGTTTGGGCAGCTACAGAGCCTTCTTTTCGACATCCACACCGCATCGGGCCTACAGCTGATGTACTACAACAACCCTGCTGCTAGCGGCCTCACTCTGACGCCGAGCCAGATGGCGAAACTGTCAGAGTCGGGTTGCAAGTATGTCAAGGATACTGCAGGGGATGGACCTTGCCTGACCGAGCTGATTTTCGAAAAACAAGACGAAATCATAATTTTCAACGGCTGTGATACGCTCACGCTTTATGGCTTCGCTGCCGGCGCAAAGGGAGCGGTTTGGGCGACTGCAAACCTTATTCCCGAGTTAGCTGTTCAACTATGGGACGTCGTTGCTGTGAAGCATGACCTAGTAGCTGGCAGAGCACTTTGGGCTAAGATCTTCCCCATCTGCAAGTTCCTGGAAGCTCATAACGTCAGTGCTGCCATAAAAACCGGCCTTGAGTTGCTTGGATACAAGAACGGTTCAGTGAGAAAGCCATTTTCTATGCTTGGCGAAGATGAGAAGAAGGAGCTCGCGGGACTTTTGAAGGCAGCTGGCTTGAAAGTCGTTGCTTAGAATGAGAGTGCCCGCTTGGTGCAGGAAGACGCTACTTCTGATACTTCAGCTTGTCATTCTTCGTTCACCGACGTGAGCAAGAACTCCGAAAAAGTCAGAAATGAAGCACATGGTCCTAAAAACATATTGAATCTGCGGGAGATGTGATGGGTCGACTATAAAGGGTGCGGTTATGCAGATACGAGAGAAATTTAAGGAATTCTGAGGTAGAAGGTGCCGAACTTTCTAGGTACACAACACTAATAAAAGCTTACTTGAAGGCCACTTGCGACATGATGAGGTTGCTCCGCTATTATATGAAGAGCACTCAAAATAATCTCCGGTTTGTTTGGAGGACTCCGGAAGATCAAGAACGAAAGGGCCGGAGGATTGATAATGCGAATTGAGAAACTTGTACTGGCCAAGCCACCAAGAAAGTCGGGTCGGAGTAGGAAGAAACATCCTTAGGACCTGACCAAGGGACTGGGGGCTGACAAAGAAAGATTAGCGCACTCCGCCGGGCATCAATAGGAGCCCACAAAATTTTCAAATGCTTACAATGCAGTCATGGTCCATATGCCGCCTTCCCAGAAAGATTGAGGAGCGCGGCCTCGGGTAACTCGTCCCGCGTTTGGTCTATTCCGCCACTGTTAGATTACCCCAAACATTGACTGCACTGATGGATGTCCTCATCTCCGCTAATGCCTGTTTGTTTCACGAGGCGAACTAGGATAAAGTTCTGGTGTCAAGTGACATATTTTTTTGCCCCCTGCCGAAATAGGAATTTGATTTGACATTGTTTCTCCCCGGAAAGGCCTGCATACTCTGAAGAGAGCGACAACGCTTCTAGTTACTACCCAGGTAGGATATCTATTTCATTGCTTATGGATCGGGGACTGAATACGTGACAGTGGAAGCGTTGATCCCCCGAAAGAGATCATTTTTGGAAGTAGGTTTTCCAAAACGCGGGCCTAGAAAAGATTGAGAACGATAAAGTTCTGCACAGTAGTATGGAACAGTCCATTTCCCCGGCTCTCTCCAACTTCAACATTTTCATATGTATCCAGCGTTGGACTTTTGGCTTGTCTCCTGAGACGAACAGAACGCCGACTCTTCCCCCTCACTAAGAGGTCGGGCTTTTGGGACCCCACTATTGCCATTTTCGACCTCTAATTCTCGTTTGTATCGCTATTGTACACTTTACAAGAGATGCATGGAGCTAGTGAGAGTTGTCTCTGTTTGGTGTCCCAACTCCTGAGAAGCGAACCCTTAAGCTAATAGGACAATAACCGAATTCAGTCTGGAGTGAACAAATTATAGCATGTATTAAATATTCATCCGGTATTAGGGTAGACCCTACTGGTTTGGTACCGAAGCGGTCAGAGCAAAATCCTAAATACCCATGGGTATATATGGGTATGCAGATAGGTCGGCGGTGTCCCTGCCGATATGCGGCCCTGGTAAAGTTTGTGGGTACTCGGTGATGCGACTATGCCTGCCACTTACCATGGTCATCTTAGTGCTACCCCCGCATAGATCCGTCGACGAAAAGAGCGAGAAGCCCCAGAGGATACGGCAACCTAGCGCAACACAAAATTGGACCACAAATAAAAATAGCGTGGCTTCCCACAACTGAATCGTTATTTCAGATACCTTAAACGATGCTCGCCTACAGTCCTATGCCCATTCAGAGGTCTGCACTTGCTTTTCTCCTGCTCATGCTGTTCGTGCTCTTCGTTTTCTCTATTCCCCTTTAACCGTCGTCATGCTCTACTTGTAAGGGATAATCGCCCCCTAAAGTGGGACCCCCAACCTGATATTGGTCGCAGATCGCCTGGATAGGTTTTATCTCGTCGTGAATTGAAGTTGGGACTGATGCAGACTCTCCATGGAAAGTATGATACCGGAGGGAGTGACGTTGTTTGAACCGGGTAAGCCAACCATCGGAGAAAAGAGGCTATTGGAAGCTCAGCATATTCTGGTATTTTCCTCCAATATTCGATCGCTTTAAACCGAAGTAGTGGCCCTGTTATCGGAAAGCCAGCATCCTGGTGTCGCTGCTGCCATTCAAAGAGCTTTTCGTCTAAAATAGGCCAATGCGATGCTGAAGAACGCATATTTAGACCAGCTGGACCAGTATCAAGATGCTGGTATTTGGATGAAAGGATCTTCGAGACAGTGGCGCGATCGATAAGGCGACCAAATTGGGACCGAAACCATTCAACGCAGGCTTTCTGGGAAGACTTAGGATGTGTTTCAGATGCATAGACGCGTATAGCCTGCTTTGGGCGTCAGATATGCCCTTCCTAGCACGCCTGGCGGTAGGCATCTCGGCCGAAAGGTTGACTGAATCCTGCATTGTGATTGGTCTGCTCTGTTGACTAAGCAAAAATGCGAAGGAAAAGGGGTGTGCTTTAGCTGAATGTGCCATAAGTGGTCTATTTATATGGTAAATGGTGGAAAAGTGGGTCCGTCCGTGAAATTTGTGTGCCATAACCCGATGTGTGCTAGATCCGGGCGTGCCATAAGCGCGAGTTGACTGTATCGAGAATGTCTTCTAATACCGGAATCCGGTAGACTCCGCTTCTAGCCCCTACCATACCCATAGGAGTACTAATGGGACAATAGCCGGCCACCACGGATCCTCTTGTTTAAGGTTCAAACTACGATGGCAGTGTGGCTTATCATAGTGGTTTTAAACTTCCGCGTGGGTTTTGGTCTGCGCTAATAAGAATGATAAGGAAGGCGCCCCCGATCTAGGAAGGTGGAAGATTAGCTAAGACATTGGGTTTCCCTAAATTAAGGCAAATGTTAAAGGCTCCCAAGGAACAATGAGTTGTGCATATAGTCCCGGTTTCTGGGGCCTGAGCTATCTCGCTTGACTATATAACGAGGGACGCGTCTCCAATCTTCAACTCTTCACGGCTTTCTACAGTCATTTAAAGTAAAACTAACATGGCGGAGATAGAGAAGCAGAACGTGAACCCTGACCTTAGTCAAGTCAACACTAGGCAAGCTGGGGAGGTCGAGGTGTGTGGAGGAACGGTACACGATGCTGTGTTTGGAGACCTTAACAATGACGGTCCCAATTATCGCAACGTACGTCTTCGCCCTAAGTCACCTTGTTGAAGAGACTATCTAACTTTCTTTCCTCAGGTTGGTTGGATCGGCACTGTGGTGATTATGATGAAAACACAAATTGGCCTAGGTGTGCTTTCGATCCCTTCCATCTTCCATACGTTGGGCATGATTCCGGGCGTAATCTCCCTCCTTTTCATACTTTTCATAACTGGATGGGCGAATTGGGCTGTTGGTGTCTTTAAGTTGAACCACCCTTCGGTATATTGCATCGATGATGCCGGGGCCTTGATGTTCGGTAAGATTGGTCGGGAGGCATGGGCTGTGGCCTTCTGTATCTGTGAGTTACCTCAATGAGCTAAAACAACCGAACAGCTGACTGATGAAGCAGTCTGGACATTGATTGCTGGATCGGGTATGCTCGCGGTCTCGATTAGTTTGAACGCTGTCTCAACTCATGGTGCCTGCACTGCCGTTTTCACGGCGGTCGCACTTGCCATTGGATTCAGCTGTGCCAGCATTCAGACACTAGGTAGAATAGTCTGGCTGGCTTGGGTGGGCATCGTTTGTATACTCATTTCCAGTGAGTACAACTCTACCACATCTCACTCCTACGTGCTAACAACAACACTAGTCTTTACTGTCACTATCTCCGTTGGTGTTCAAGGCCGGCCTTCGGCTGCCCCAATCAATGATGCTATTTGGGTCTCCGACTTCCAGATGTTCAACAATCCCTCATTCGCTAACGCTATCGCCGCGGTGTCTACGCTCTTGTTCGCTAATGGAGCCACGCCGGCGTATTTCTCTATCGTCTCAGAGATGCGTGATCCCCAGCACTACACACGAGCAGTCCTTGTATCCCAGTTTCTCATGGGCTCTCTCTACGTCACGATTGGCGTTGTTATGTACTACTTCTGTGGATCCTACGTTTCCTCGCCGGCACTTGGATCTGCAGGGCCTCTTGTGAAGAAGGCTGCCTATGGCTTTGCACTTCCGGGATTGATAGCCACCACAACCATAATGATACATGTAAGTCATCTGTTTGGTATATTCGAAACAGTTTTGACTGATATGCATAGCTTCCGGCAAAGTTCATCTTCATCCGACTCCTCCGAAACACACATCATCTCAATCAAAATACCTTTAGGCACTGGATAACTTGGTTTGCCTGCACTGGTGGCATTTCACTGATAGGATACATTGTGGCCGAAGCTATCCCTATCTTTGACGATTTGCTATCCTTGATTGGGGCTTTGCTAGGGCCAGTCATGGCATTGCAGCCCACGGGTTGTATGTGGCTATATGATAATTGGAGCAAGCGAAAAGCGGAACGTAAGCCGCTCTGGATGCTGCACGCCAGCTGGGCCATTTTCGTTGTTGCATTCGGCTGCTTCCTCACAGTTGCTGGAACCTATGGATCTCTCGTAGGCATAATCGCCTCGTATAAAACGATAGGTGGTACCACTGCGTGGACATGTGCTGATAATTCAAACTCCGTTTAATTATGAGTACACCCGACAGCACGGAATGAAGTCAAATGTGATGTGTACTATACTATTGTATATAACTCTGCAACTTTCTGTAATCCTTCGGCTCGCTATGGCAATTTTATCGGATAAGAGATTAGTAGAACACAACCTTCTGTCACTTGGATGTGGAACTGATATCCAAGTCGGCGGATATGCCGCAGCCTAGTTAGCAACATAGGACTCGATCCCTTCTTCCTTTCCATGGCAAATAGTGGCAGGTGTTGTTGTCAAGGAACCCCATGATCCTAGGACATTCTCTTTTTGTCTCTCTCTCCCCAATTTCGCTGCCTTCGTTATCAGCACAGAAATCGATCCCTTCTGCCTTCCTCTTGGCGATTAACACAAAGGTTGCACGAGGCTAGGTCTATTCTCGGACTGAATGTGCTCATTATGCTGGAATTAGCCTGAGACCAAGGATTCCCTTTTGCTGGGATCCATTGTCCTCAAGTAACTACTCCTCATCGTGACGATCAGCGGACATGTCGAATAGCACAAGAACAAAAGCTCGATAAGAACTGTGGCAGAGCGCCGAGTTCGAAGAAGCCGGTTGTCTGTATGGATTTTAGGGATCTCAGACTCGGGCGTCTTGCACCTAGAGATAGCACGATATATATATAGTGGCGGGTCTATACTTTAGGATGTCAGACGCCTCATTCCCGGAAGCCGTACGAGCCGATAAGTCTATCAAGAGTTAGGCGCACGCCTCCTAAATAATACGAGCAATGGAAATGTTTGTTAGATACCTATTCAGCACTACGGGATGAAAATATCCTGTAGGGAGCATCAACGCAGCGCAACACCTAAAGGTCCACTCCGTGCTCCACCACATGTATAGGAGATTGTCACCAATGAAAAGTACGCGTAATACCCAACTCGGGCATATTCCGCTGACTCAGCGCATTTACATGTGTCAAGCCGCAATTACATCACCACAAGGCTGACTCTGAATAGCCCAGTCGGTCCATGGGCCGATGATCACCAGCACTCGGGATCGGAACAAAAGTGCGTTCTTCCCGAGAGCTAAACCTGGATTCTGGCTCATCCAGCCTGTCATAATCCGTCTATAAGCTGCTGACTAAGCGGATCTGCTCATCCCATCTTCAACAGATAAGGGCCTTCTAACGCGCTGTTTTTTATCCGAGAAATATTCCGGAAACACCCAGGTAATCATATACTTGCACAGATAGTGGATTGCCTGGAAGAAACTCGGCTCAGTCGGGGAAAGAAACCACCGTTTCTCCGACGCCGTTCTCCGACACCAAAAAGGGGCACTTTCCGACGTCGCCTTCCTGTGAGATGCATTGGTTAATGATGTTTTTCGTATCGGCGCCTCCGAGACATCTCCCGTAGAATAGCACTGCGAACGTAGCCGCCCTCCAATTAAAACTTGTATCATAGGGCATATCGTAGGAAACACGTCCAACAATATGTCCAAAGATATACCCTCCGGAGCATATAAAATATAGTGCTGAGATGATTGCGATTATATGCCCCACGAACTCCACTTTGTAGATGAACCCTTTGCTAATTTCATTCCAGATGATGGCTTTCACGTGTGCGACCCCATAATATCTCCCACAGGCTAGCACTGCAAATACAGCCGCTTTCCAACTGAACTTCGCATCATAGTGAGGCCGGGCATATTCGCTAGAATCCGTTTTAGCCATCTTTGCCTAAGCGTTAGTTAAATATTGCCAAATGTCTCTTACAATAGAGTCATATACTTGCCTTGGAGTTCTTGTCAACGATCTGTGCTACCTTGGGTCGGTCAAGAAGACGAGAAACAACAATGTCAAGGGGACGTGACGAATTAGTTGGCGGGTACTTAGCAAATGGGTATTACCCTAGTTTGTATAAGTAGTGTTTACAAGGATCGTTCTCAGCAATGTAACCATAAGTCATGGACACATGAGCCGACACCCACTAGGAGCCTATTGGTGGTCTAGTGGCGATTGAAAAGTCCCTTAATACCTGGGTTGCTCTCAAGCTCCTTAACCGTATTCTTCACTGATAAATGGCTGCTTTGCAAGAGTAGTTTGATTGTATCATCAGAGTCGAATTTGTTGACTGGGAAAGATTTTCCTAGTTCAGTCAACGTTTGGAGCCGATAAGTAATAAGAATGGAGCCGTGATCGGCCGCGAGGAGGAATTCTCCAATATCATATGCATCACCAGCAGCGCTATGGACGGGACAGTATTGATCGATGTTGTCAAAAATGATTAGCCAGCATGAGTTTCCCTCTAGTGAGAGCCAACGTAATACATGCCTGGCTCGTTGCTCCACCTCCTCGTCATTGACCGCCTCGGTATTCTGTGACTGTCCTGGTAATCGGGGAAAGATAAAACTCAAAGATTGCAAGAGCGTGTTTCGATCGTTGCCACTCAGCCGAAAGATGGCAGTGAAATCGTGTTTGTGGTCTCGTGCGAAGCGAATCGCTAGCTGCGTCTTTCCTATCCCTCCAAGCCCATGAAGGATCGCAACTTTTCGTGACTGGGAACTTGTCGGCTGTAAATACTGCCATAGCTTGCCTAGTTCGTCTTGCCGTCCCAAGAAATTTTCAATCACCGGCACAGCGGTAAGGTCTAATGGTACGTCAAAGCGGTGAACTATATAATACAAAAGACCATTTAGCGATGAATTCGAGCAATTAGCAACAGTATGACTAAATAATCGTCTCCTTACCTGACTGCCGTCTAATGGTGCGGATGGTATATTCCTGTACTCTTCAGCAAGAAACAGGCTGGCCGGCAGCAAGGCACATACATGTATAACGGTGGCAAAAGAAGTCTCAGGCTTGTCTGCAAACATCAGCTAAATGCTTTGATTCGCTAAGCAAAGTCTTCCAGATACACACTTTGCTTGATTCTCATGTCCTGAATGCAGTCCCGCACACGGAACTTCTGTGCCATATGCGTGAGGTAGTTCTCCGTCGCCGCCTCCAGACAGGGATTTATAATGTATAATGCTAAGCTGAAGCCAATATAAACTGATCCACAAAATCTGTCAGGCAGCAGGCTACAGAGCCAGAGCCAGTCCAAGGATACCAGCCACGCCAGCAATGCCCGCAGCAACACCACCGGTAGCAATCGGAGCGCCACCAGTCGAGGTCGAAGACGAAGGAGCCGACTTTTTAGTACTAGAGGCACCGGTTCTAGTCGCGGCCGCAGTGCTCATAGTAGAAGCAGTATTATGCGCAGGAACACCAGTAGCAGGAGCATTAGAAGAAGCCGCGCCAACAAGCGTAGGAGTCTGTTCAGCGCCCATAAAGACGTCGATGTAGACACCCTCAGACGAAGCCCAGGCCTTGACACTGCTAGGCAGAGAGTTGTACCAAGCAGGCAGGGTGCCAGCCTGGATTTCACTCTCGATGGAAGAGCGGAACGTGGGTTGCAAGATATCGGTGTACCATGAGGGCGGGATGGCGGATTCAAGCGCCGTGAGGATGGAGTGCGGGACGACCATGGAGCTGCTGTCCTGGTTCATTTCGGACGAATTGGAGGAGCCGGACCAGGCGACTGCTGAAGCGGTTATGGTTGCGGGCTGGGCGTCGTAGGCAGAGGCCAGGGCCGTGGAGGAGAGAAGGAGGGTGGCGATGACCTTGAACTGCATTGTGGCGGCGGTATTAAATGATGTTTAACGAATGTAGAGAATATTATTTGCAAGAAGACAAGAAACGAATGGCTTGTGGTACAATTGATCTTGAGAAATAGAGTAGAGAGAGACCTCTATAATAGTCCCCATGAGAAGAGCCTCAAAAGGTCTCTCGGCCGAAATACCCATCTTTTACTTTTGGTTTCGCTAGGCAGGGGCTTAGACCCCTCTCTTTTTCCCCTTTTCAGCGCCCACCACGCTTTTTCTCGCTACGCCGCCGATCTCTATCTTATCACCGAAATCATTGGAGAGATCCAGTTGCTTATCCAGCTGTCGGCATCTGCTCACGGACGCGAACCCAATGTGTGGAGATAAAATTTAGCTATCGCCATTTACATGCGAGGCAATCTATGATCTACGAAATGCCGATCGATTGAATCGCAGAGATGAAACAGACAGCTGCATTTGAAGACACGCGGTAGTTACCGAGCAATGTAACAACCAGTCATTGGCCAGTCAGGAGCAGGCCAATGACCCAGGCTCTCGGATCGCAGTACAGTACAGCTGAGTTGATCCTGTCCTTTCTTCTGGGGGGTGAATACGAGGGTGCTGGGTCTAACCTTCTGTAACACGCTGGCAAATATAACTTGTTTTGGTGTAGCTTCATTTGAAGGCTTTGCAGGGGTGGAATGGGTAGTCACGAGTTCATCGCCTTATCTACCCCCTTATCAGTGGTGACGCGAGGGTGGGTCATGAGTTGAACCCCCATAATAGGAAAGAGCATTTTCTCGACTATTAACGCGTCGAAATCGCCCGGGTGAACGTGTTGTTCCGTGTCTATCGAATGTTTTGTAGTTTATCTAATCCTTAGAACGAAGTGCGGGCACAAATTGGCTTTCTAAAACAGGGGGAAATCTCTGGTCCGGATGCTTGTTAAGTTGTTCCGAAGTCTCATATGGATATATATATATATCTATGCCGGCCGGTGGTAGCGACAGGGATAACCAATAATCCAAAAACAGGTCCACTAACTCACACTGATCATATAAAGCAGACATCTCGTAACAGATCAAGGCCATACGTACATTTTTCAATCCATAGATACTGCAAATAGGAGGAGAAAAAGGATAAGTTGCTCAGACACAATCCAGTAATCGCCATTTGTGCACAAGTGGTCATGCCCCGTGTCAAGCCCCTTTGATACCGCCCAGCTGTCATCCGACATTAGACAGCCCGCTCTCCTGAAGGAGAAAAAGTTCTCCATCTCGGTCGGTCTGCAAGCTCCGGATTTTTAGAATGAATGACTTCACGTTATCCGGGGTTCCAGAACGAAGCTTAACCACGGCGTAGAGCAGTGCTTGACGCAATGTGGATGGTTCAC